AGCTATTAAGTCACCTTATCGAAGAAGTGAAGCAATGTCATTTAGCTTTTTACCACAATAGTCATCATTTGCGGCCGAAAAGCACCATATGAAACTCCATGCCAAGATATGTCCAGTCCGCAGTGCTGCACTCGGCCGATGCGTACTTAACAGACTGAGGGAGGACTTCTTTCCACAAAACACGACTTCCGTAGCCTCTTATCTTGCTAGTCTGTGCATCATCTACGGACGGCTGGGGTTCGAAAGCGACCGGTCCTGGAAGAAATGCGACTGGCTGATCATCCGTTGGGACCATGTGTAACCAGGGCGAGACACTGTGATGATCTTGGCTTTCGGAACGGCGATGTTCCTCGATCTCTTCCAACTCAATACGCACCTGGGTCCTGAGGAACGGGAAGAAACCAGAAAGTCAGATTATCAAGATACTCAGGAACTTGGACGATACAGTCATGTTGAAGCCTGCGTTCCGTTTTGTCCGGCTGCCGTTCATTGATTGAGGTACATAACTCATCTGGACATGGATCATAGTCGCTACCGGAGAGAAGAAATATGCCTCGCCTGCCCACACAGCCAAGAGCTCATCTTTCGTAGTTCTAGAGAGCAAGTCATATAGGGCATGATTTTGATGGACCGGAGGGTTACATAGCCGAAAGGATATTGGAGCCGAACAGCTAGTCGAACCGAACCTCGAGTCGAGTTGAATGCAGATCAAGCGCTCGGCGTGCAAGCGCCATAAGGACGGAGGGACTCCTCATGGTATTAATAGATAGCACGTCGCCTGCCAATGCCATTGACGTTCAAAATTGTAGACGTCGACGTCATTGTCAGGTGAGGAGCCGACAAAAATTGTTTGCCAGGTGCCCATGCATTCTCAGTTTCATCGTCGACCCCGTTTTGGATGAGGTTGAACCAGAGCTTACCCCGGATACTACCACGCGACACCCCTTCGACAGAGAGTTGGCCCATGTTCCAGGTCGGACATACTCCGCAAAGTGCTTTCTGTCACGGGTCCACGAGACCACGACCCAACGAATGTGTCGGTAAAAGTTGACTTGTTCGTTTGCAGGCAGGTTGAGCCAGATTCTGTCCTTGCGCCGATCACGACTGTTCCGTGGCCCAGCCGCTATGCGTGGTAAGGCATTGAAGCAAATTGGCTCGGGGCTCGCCAAAAGTTGCGCTGTTAGGCCAGGACGGGTTCATGCAGACGTCAGTTCTCGAGTTATGCGATAAAGAGCAGAACGCTGCAGCCAGCGTCAACATAATTTTGTCGCAGTATCAATCCTACGGCAAACGAACACGAAGTTGCACCGAGGGAAAGACAGGAGATGCAACAGCAGTCGCGGCCGCAATCAAGAAGGGACGGAAAATGTTTCCAGGCTCAGACAAGGCCCCCCAACCATGTTTCTAATTCTCTCCGTCCTCGAAGCGCCGGGGTGGAGTTTTTCGCGTGCAAACGTCAGAAACTATCACTCTTCAGCACCTCGCTCTGCCAACAAGTCTTCGTGCCTATCCATGGCTTGCACGCAGTCGCATTTTCGGTGGTTTCAGACACCAAAAAGAGGGCGCCTCCGGGCCAAGCCGCCAAGAAACGCGTCAAACACGACCGAGGGTTTTGGTGCGGCACGGCGGGCTCATCAGAGTGACAGCGGCCGGGGTCCGTCTGAAACCCTCCGAACATGGGTACCGGTGTGGTTCGCGGCTCGCCCTCTCAGAGGCTTCAGAGTCCCATTGCCAGTTGAGAACCTCCCCGCCGTCCGGGCCTCCTTGACCCCTTGGGTGTAACTGTGCGGTGCACTGAGGCTGGTGAGGAGGAGCTAGAACTGGGTAAACATGGCTGATGGTTCTAGCGGCTGCGCCAGAGTCATGTTAAGTCGCCTTGGGAGTCTGGGTTCCATCCGTGTGAGCGTCCCCTGGAGCGTTCCCTCGCGTGCGCTTGTCGCACCAAAGACCAGTGCCCACTATCCTTGAGTCCCTGAGCCGTCCGCAGCTTGTAAGAAAGGCACATCTCGAACCCCCCTTGCCCGTTCTTCTTGGAAGTGGTTTGATGTGGGAGACATTTTTACATGGATGTCTCCGAACTTATCCGTGGGGTTGGGCAAGATGATCGACACGGCGAGAATTGATAACATGAAGCAAATGCCGCCCACCCCGTCGTGACGTCTGCTTTGGCTTTTCTTGTTTCTGCTTCTGCTTTTGTTCAACATCTTGGGGATCCGTGACTCTGTTTCTCATGAGGCGCTTGCGTCATTTTTCCTTTCTTGTTGTTCTCTTTTAGATTTGCAGCTGTGCTGCCTTTTCTTCGCTCACTCGCTGGTCGATTTTATTCCGTTACTGGTTCGTAGATTAGACGCAGAAGACGCGTGGGCTAGCAGCAATGGACGCAACTGCGACTTGGTCCACTTTGAGGTACGGCATCAACTAAGCATTCACATCAGCCTTTCAGGTGAGGGACGCTAACCTGTGTAAACAGACAGCGGAGGAGAAGAACTGTGCCCAAATTCCCTGGCAGGCCTCGTCACAATCTGGCCCGTAGGCAAAGTCCGGCACCACCGCCCGCTAAGGAAGAGGAAGCCGAAGAAGCAGACGGGGAGCAAGAAGCCGGCGGCAAGCAGGAAGAAGAGGAGGAAGACGAAGAGGAGGCCAAGCCTAATCAACCCGCCAACCAGAGAAAGGAACAAGAGGAGGAGGAGGAAGAAGAAGAGGAGAAACCTTTAGGCGGCGCTGCAAAGCAGGCTGAGAGCGATTCAGAAGCCGGCGGCCAAGCCGGCGCAGCATCATCAGCAAGCGATTCCGACGCACCACAACCAGGTGCACCGCCAGGCCAGCAATCCGACTCAAGTAGCGATTCAGAACAAGAGCAGCCCCCGCCAGCAGTATCGCCGCCACCGGGAGCAGCACCGGCCCCTCCTCCGGGCATACAGCCGCCACCGGCCGCACCGTCTCTCCCACCCCCGGCAGCTCAAGGGTCCCCGATCCCATCGGCAGTCTTGAACCCGGCGTTGCCGGCAAGCCTACCGCCTGCAAGGGGCTTCATTACTCTTGTTCCCGGAGCGCCGCCACCCTCTAACCCACCGCCTCAAGAAGCTCCCGCGCAACAACCCGCCCCGGTCGCGACACCGTCGAATCCTCCTGCTCGCCAACCGCAGAACCCTCCGCTTGTCAGTCAGCCGCCTGCAACACCATCACCGCCTCCTCCTCCCGCCGCCGAAACCACTCCTTCTACGAATCTGCCACCACCGCCGGTTGAAAATGCGGCGTCCGGAACACCACAGCCGGAACTTCTCCCACCAAGCTCCCAAGTTGAGGCCTCAAACGCGCCATCGGCGTCAGCTGCGCCTGCTGATGGCACAGACCGTGGATTCGCCATCGGAGTCTCCTTCGCCGTTGTCGGTAAGTCATTGTAACCCCCGCGTTCTACCCCAACATTCTAATCAAAGATCACAGCCATCATTGGGTTGCTCATCGGCGCAGTAATCTTCGGCGTGAAGCGCTACAAGAGGAAGAAGAAGGTCGCCGCCGTAGCAACAAACATGACGCAAAACACACCACCAGGAGGTAACGGCTCGCTTCCACGAGAGTCCGCCATCCTCAGACAACCCAAGCGCAGCACCCGCGAGATGGAGCGCGCAATGGTCACAACCTTCAGACAAACAAAGATCGCGAACCGTACCACCAAGGAGATGGAAGAGCAGATGATGGAGCAATTCAAGACAGACAGAGCTTCCAGAGTGGACGCATCCTCCGCCAGGCCTCTACCGAATCCTTCAACAACGAACGCAGCTGCTGCGGTCCCGCCCCTTCCCAGCATGCCCAACAACAACGACCCCGTTGGAAATACTAGAAACATGCAAGCGGAGAGCTTTTACTACGAAAAGTCCATCAATGAGCCGACGGTCGTACCCGCGCCACTGAGGATCAGCACAGCGCAACGTCGGCCGCCGGCGGCGGTTTCGACGGCGAGGGTGCCGTACCCTGCTTCAACATATGATATGTATCAGGAAGTTGGACAGGGCCCGTACCGGGAGTCCATCAATATCGGATACCAGCCCAACAACAACAATAACGGCTATCGACCATATAATCCAGACAACTTTTATCAACCGCAGCCGGGTCAGCTCCCCCGAGCTGAGAGGGGACCTGATGGGCGGTTTTCACCCGAAATGGGGTACCGCGGTTGCTAAGTGCCCGGACTGAAGTATCGTAGCACGCCAATACGGTCACTACTGAGAGCACACGGCTACATTCTTCTCGAGCTGGGATCAACCCATGATAGATCGTACCAAGGATCGGATGATGGACCCTCCGAACCAGACCTTGCGAATCACACACGCTGTACTCAGGCATAGATGGGATGACTGCTGTCACTGATCTCATTTGTCTCGTCCATCACTTTTCCTTTTCCTTTCTTGTTGAATACCCAGGCGGAAGATTGTCGTCCACAATGTACTATATAAATATGCAATAATATCACGAACCATGATGATTGAAACCCTTACACAATCCCATCATTGTGTTCTTTTCGACAGCCGATCCGAGAAGTCCGCCACAGCCGATAGTGTCATAACCTGAGTCCTGATAATCTCTTCATTTCATTGGCACCCATCTCTAAGTGCCGTACTGAATTTATTTACCTTTAGACGCCCGGAGGATCCGCAATGCAGGTCAGACGCACGCCTCCTGAAACGAACATCGTGACAGACCCCGGCTATACCCCGAAATAGTCTCGTCAAAAGTTCCCAATCTTGGGATCCACACGAGAAGTTGCGTAAGGACGGAGTAGGAATTGGCGATGCCGCTGCCATCGGAGTGTGCTCATAGGTAGGTCGACACGGATGTCAGCCGCTTGTTCGAGATCTTCTCTCCTTTCGGTCGTGACGGAATCATAGCAAAGCGTAAAGAGCGATTCGAATGTGGGTCTGTAAACGAGGTAATTGCCATGCGCTCTAGAAAGATGGTGATTCGTGATTCTACCAACTATCCATGGCATCTTCCATAGCCCGTTAGATCTTCGTCGTCTTTAAAAAAGTCATCCTATCCGAAATGATTTTGATAACTGGGTCCTCTGGCTTCCGGTTCTTCAAGGCAAGATCTAACGGCGTCTTCCCGGAACTCGTTCTCGTGAGAAGACTGGCGTCAACCTTTCCTTCGTCAAGTAGCCATTGGACAGTCCGCAGTGTCACCCGATCGCGCACTGCAACATAGTGCAGTAGCGTTTCCCCCCGGTAATTCGCTGCGTTTGGATTGATTAACCCCGTATCATGTAGATATCGGGCCACCTCCAACTTGTTTCCATCGATGGCCGAGAAGAATGGGGTGTCTTCGGCCAAAGTTTGCGATTCTATGTCGACCTTTTGTGTCTCGACAAGGTATTTAACTATCTCAACCCGCCCCATTACCACTGCACTTCGTAAAACCGAACTTGGCCGCTCCGAAGCATCCAATTCAATATCGACCTTGCCTGTTTCGATCAGGAGCTTAAAAATATCGACGTTGCCGCAAAATGCGGCATGACGGAGAGCCGTGTTCCCCAAAAAGTCCTTGGCTCCAAGATGAACTCTATTCGTTCCTATCAGATCGCGGACAGCGGCTTTGTTTTCGCAGTTCACAGCGATTTGGAGTGGGAACATATGGCTCTTGTTGGGACCTGCTTTTTTGTTGAGTCTCAGCCCACCTTGCGCGAGGAGATACTTGAGAAACTCTTCGTCGCCTCCTAGGATGGCATAGAAAAGTGGCGAGTAACCGTAGCTATCCTCGAGGTTCAAATTAGTCTGCCGATCAAATTAGCATGCCTAATACTTTGGTATACCGAGCAGGAGTTCGCTGACTTTTTCAGTTCCTTCCAAAAGCTCAAAGATCCTGATCAGACCAAAATATGCTGCAAGATGTACTCCACGGACATCTCGAGGGGGCGGCCTCCAATAGAATAATTTGAAAGCAAACTTGCTCTTGTCCAGGAGTACATGGAATGATGAAGAGCGATTATATCCTCTGTCGGTAAGGAAGCTGAGTGTATCCTGGTCCGGGGGATGTATGTATTTCGCGTGATAACCCCAATTGCAAGCGGCGTAGTCGTATAGCGGATTTTCGCTGGTGACAAGTTCCTTGACCATTTCCGAGAATCGATACCCTCGAAATTGGGAGATCATGTGCTTTTCTTTCGTGTCCAGATGTAACCGCTCTAGATGTTCCTCAAACGTGAACTGAAATCTATCATAAGAAAGATACGCAACGCAAGATGTCGATAAGAGCCTCTGTGCTTCGGGCATCCATCGTCCCTTCGTCCTCTCGAAATATTCCTGGGTCGTGTAGTGGACCAAACGAATAATCTGACTCTCCTCATCAATCGTGACTAGACCAGCACATGCTGAGACAACATCCTCCAGCTCAGGAATGTTGTCTTCGTCTAGTTCAGTCGTTCCTCTCTCCACGGCGAGAGCGTGTTGCAGCTCCATGGTTTTGAGTGGTCGCCGAGCGCACACTATCCAAGAAAGCGCGTCTATTGCGAGTGACTTTTGGTCTTCGAGCTGTCGATCGATACGCTCCATGGCCTTTTCATACGCAACGTCATACGCCTCGGAACCGCTGGAAAGTTTGCAAAGTGCTTCTCTGACAGCTTTGGCTGAGCGTTTGCCTTGTAGTGAATCCAAATGAAATTGCGCCAATAAAAACCTTGTAGATCGGAATCAGTCAAGCGCAATTCCATAAGTTGGTAGGTGACTCGTGTTGCATACATTCCTTGGACAGCTTGAACGATAGTAGTCTTGATTTGGTCCTGCAGGTCTTCGTTCTTTCTCACCGCTAAGGGAAGCTTCGAGATTTGTCCATCCAAAAACTTCATCACATCTCCATCAACAGCCCGTATTTCGATGTGGGGTGTGCCGTCGAAGTAGCGCTCGACTTCTGGTATGTGCCTAGAAGTTGCAAAAATGTTGACACATGATGTTTCTTGCAAATTCAATATAGCTTCGAGTAACATATTTCGATTATCGTCGAGTTCATCCAGGGCGTCGATGACAATGTACACTCTGCTGAATTGGAGTACCACAGCTTTGAGACAATGTATTATGTCTTGTCTCGACGCCGAAGATATCTCGTATTCGTAGGTCTTCTCTACTATTCCGCACTCTGCTGGCGTCGTGCAATAAAGTTGCTTCAATATACTGGCAAGCAAGTCACGGGGCGTTTGCTCATCGTGTCGTCGGAAATTGCAAAACATGAAGCTAACCTCAACCAACGAGTTTCCCTCAAACCGGCGTTTTAAATGCTCGATGACGATCGACGAAAGCATGGTCTTCCCAGCACCTGGCATTCCGGGACAGAAAAGTGTTCTTCGATCTCCATGGACCCAGGCTTCGAACTCTGGGGATTCAAGAAGCCATTTTCCAGTTCCCTCTTGTCTCCTATCGAGGTTGTCAATCTGCTGCGCTGTGAAGTCGATCGACGTTATTCGATCCAAGATCCGCCTTCTGCTTTCGTCTAAATCTCTTCCGGCAAGAATCTTCTTCAAAGACTGGACTTCGAGGTTGGTTTTCACCGCAAGTGTAGTATTGTCGATCGAGATCATGCTGTTGATCACTTGGCATCGACGCTGAAGGTTCTCAATTGCCGACTGCGTCATTTCGCCAGAGAACATCGCCTTGAATCGTTGCCAGCCGAAGCGGCTTCCCTCAATCTGTTTCTGTAGGCCCTTGAGAACACGTGCGAGTTCTTCCTGACAAGCAGAGAGAAGGCTTTCATCGTCGGGACTGGAAAGTGTCGTAAGGTTAGACAGCACCGCAGAATGCTGTCCCTCGAAGGCTGCAATAAAGTCGGGGTTCTGGATCAGAAGGCTTGAAGTTTCCGAGAGTGTTTTGTACAGCCCATCCATCTCATTCTTGAATTTCTTGGCGTCTTCTGGAGCATCACGCCAGCTCAGGCCAAGTTTCGAGCACGTGGTGACGATCTGAGCCACCACGCTGATGATGCCGATGATCCCTGACGGATCCATATCGACAGCTTCGACGCAATCAGTGATGGTAGAAAGGAGTGGGAAATGGCTATGAAAAGTGGTTGGAAAAGGGTGATGTGGAATGAGGGGGAAACCAACGTTGAAAGCCATCGACCACAGGCTCTGGAATCCAAATCTCATTATAAATGGCGCAGGCTCAAAATCTGCCTACGCATGTAGTTCGTACATTTCACAGCTCCAACTAGCCAATCATTCCTGCTAAGACTCATCAAGTCGTATGGGGTCAGCTAGGTGTGGCCTTTTTGTTGGCCATCTGACCATTTCTGTCTGCCTGATTCGCCCTGGAAGCGCTCGCAGTCCAGGTAGCTACCCGATTGGTTGATATGCTTTCTGCCCTTGTGTAATTTGACTGATGCAGTGCTTTGGTTCGATCGTAGTAACTAAACTGATCACCTAAAGCTCGTTTCGCAGCTCTTCACACAACTACCACGCTGTGTGGCCCCCATCTACACGGACATCAGACCCGGTCATAAAACTGCTGGAATCGCTGAGCAGAAAGGTGATGGGACCTCTGTACTCATGCGCCTCACTCAATCTCATCAACATATTGCCGTTGGTCCATTCTCTCTCTATATCAGGATTGCTGAGTGGTTCTTCCGTCATTCGTGTACGGATGGACCCAGGCGAGATTGAGTTCACACGAATGAGTGGTATATCTGCGCGGCTGCCCCATTCAGCAGCAAGAGAACGAGCCATTTGAACAACCGCCGATTTTGAGGAATTGTACGCCACAGTATCAACACCCTGAAAGTTCGGTTAGAGTCTTCGTATGCTTTTGCCATCCCATCAACTTACCTTATTGCTCCCATGAGCACTCATGCTCGTAATAAGAACAATACTTCCAGCTGATCCTTGTCTCTGAATCTCCTGGGCCGCAGCTTGTGCGCAGATGAGCGTTCCAATGACGTTGATGTCCATGATACTTCTCGCAGTGTTGATCGGGAAGTCGATGGATGGCGCGTCACCTGAAATGCCTGCACAGGCGACTAAGCCTCTAAAGGGGAATCGTGTCTTCTTCATGGACTCCGCGAAGACAAACTTGACGTTTTCTGCGTCCGTGATATCGCACCTGTAGTACCATGCTTGTGTTCCGTGACTCTTGGACACGTTCAACACACGACCTAGTCAGGATAAATATTCAGCGTAGTCCAGAAGCCAACATGGTCCAGAAGTCTTTGCGTAAGCTTGCTCCAAGGCTCTTCGAGAGGGCTCTCTTGTCGGTCAATGCATATGACATCGCCGCCACTTTCAAGTACTGAGCGAGCAACTTCTAATCCCATGGAACCTCCTCCGCCGGTGACTACGGGTATTAGAATGTTTAGGTATATGAGGAAACATGGCTGTGCACACTCAATATAGTCCGCTCATCAAGCCTGAAGAGCTCGTTCACTGACATTTTCGGGTCACCCACTGATGGCTTGGCTTCTCTAACGCTCGACGACATCGTGATCCACGGAGAAAGACGACTGATGATTACTTGTCAAACTTGTGTTCGGCCGTGCAACAGGGGTTGTATCAATGTATTCGGGGAAATAATAGGCCAAATAAAGGTCTGCTAGAAGGTTGGTGCCTCGCCCTTATTAGTGTTGAGATCAGAAATGCGAGGATGATGATTTCCGGTTAGACTTCAGCAGAAGTCTGCTCCCCCGCATTTGCGTCCCGGTTGCCCGCAGTCTGCAGATTTACTTCCGTCGTATCATTCGACGCTTTAGCACGTTATTTTCTGCAAAATGCAACGGCCTTGATCAGTCACATGCATTCCATAGATGTGGATGTTGGCCATGCAACCAAATTCGAGCCTTGTTAATGAAGACCTCGGACGTAAATCAGTAATGCGTCAGGATGAGTTATCTTCAGCGCGCTTCCGAATATTATCCTATTCTCTGCTTTCTCCTTACCCACACCTCTTTATCTCTACTTTCTATATCTGGAACATCCTCTCCTATTGGTGTTGAACCTATTGATGCTGTGTCGCGCAACTGAACCTCCCAGATACCCAGCTTATATCGCGCGCGGTCTGCCATTCCAGAATGTAGATCAAACGACCATCCATGCTTCGGACATGTCAAACCTGCGCTCAAGACGATCCCGAAATCTTCGATGTCAAACGGTGTCCCATGTGAAAGCGGATACGAAGAATGCGGGCATTTCTGATGAAATTAGAACTTACTCTGATCACAAAAGCCCATGGTCATGGAACGAAAAGACTCACATGGTCGACGGCGTGAAACTTGCCCTTGAACTTGAAAACCAGTACTTGATCTTTCAGATCACCCTCAAGCTCAGCGTAACTGAGAACATCAGGGGCCAAGAGTATCTCTGTGCTCCGCGAAGGATCCGATTTCCGCACTTGAAAGACCTTGCAACCAGCTTTCAGATCTGTACCGCAGAAACGGAGATCTGATAGGTTGCTTTCATCGGTCCCGAGATCAGGGAATGACGAGTCGAGGCCTGCAAAGAACCACCCTGCTGAGGACCGCGACCGCCCTCCAAAGGCATTCATCCCTCGTCAATTCAGACAAGAGAGCTGATGGGCGTGAGTTCCGACTACGCTGATTGGTGCTTGTCGGGATCGCGAAATTAGCGGTGGTCCCGTGAACTTTGTCGTGGTCATCGCGTCAAGATTGATTCCTTTGATGATTTTCGAAAGGTCACGTGTTGATGCACGTGAGTGGAACCGTCATGTTCTAGTCCGCTGGAGTCTCGCAGTTGGCGATGCATCAAATTCAGGTGCTCTTCCAGAGGCAATCTCACTGTTTTGATTTCTCATTAGGTTGATTCTTACAGCAATGATATTTCTGTGTATGTTTTGATGGATCTCTTTCTTTCTTCATGTGCCCAAATCGACTGTGGATCCGTGAAAGAGAAGCAAATTGATTTTGTCTTCCCTGACCAAAGATCTAGATCTCATCTAGAGTCTGTAGTAGTCTCAGCAGAAGCGACAGAGGTATTACCTTGCCCAGAATTATTGGCATGAGTCTTCTGGCTTGAGTGCTTGGTTGCTTGGATCTATTGGGGATATGCTTAGCCAAGTTCGAGAGCCTGGCAGCTCGCCGAACCTACCATTTCCGGCGGCCCGGCCCTTTGCTGAAGAGTAAGCATATCCTCTTTCCACGTGGGTACAATATGTTTATTGAACTAAGATAAAGTCTAACAAGGCCTAGACTCATGGCAGTTTGTCAAGGTAACGTAATGAGGAAAGGAGAAGAGGTGTCTTGCTGGAGACAGCTGTGGCTGTATATCTAGACTCCTTCCGCTCAAGGGTAAGCCACCACATTAGAGCCTTCCAGATACCAGGGCACAGAGATTGGGTGCTTCTGGGGCGTTGAACAGTACCAGGAACGATGATGTGGGAATCTAAAGATCTCCATTGCGTGAATGCACCGTCTGATTAAATGGTCAATCGACAAGGACATAGTTGTTGTTAAATTGACTGGTCCTCACGTTCTGTTGAGATACATCCCTGCTTACTGTTTCTATCATGATCTAGCAACATGGGGGTGATAGACAAAGAGCGTCGAGCATACCTGTCCGGGACGGTGGTGTCTTGGCAATCTCGGCTCTGGTAAGCGATTACAACCCGACCCGAAAGCCGCCTCAAACGATTCCTCCAGTACCATGTACTTGGTCATGTAAGTAGAATATCCAACGTGGCTAGAACTGCATGCCACGTCTAGATTCAATATCATTGCCGCACACTTTCCTTTTGAGTTAACTCCCGCAACGCATGGCTCGCAACATGACGCGTTCTGGTGCTCGTTACCCGACTTCTCGGAGTTCTTGGCACGGGTACAGGTGCCATGGGCGAAAGGGCCGCTTTGTGTCGAAGCCTCAAGGCTTATCGTGGTATCCTCCCTTATGGGATCTGCGGTCGATTGAGTCCTTGACAGCAAAAGGGACATTGCTGATTCGTCGCTTTGCGAAGTACGAGTACGGGCCTAGCTAGATGCAAGTGAGACTAATATAGGTCCCAGACTCCCGGGACGTCGATCGGCCTGGCCGTTTAGCCCGGAATGTCTGACTGGTATCAGCAGAGACACATGGCATGGCGCCTAGCTACCACCTCCCTTGCCCGCGTTGAGATTCTTCATGGCTGAACGCGGCATAGTTTATGGCCGCGCCAGGACAGGGCGATCCCGCGCACCCCACATTCGGGATGTCAACCGTATGCCACGATGAAGGATGATGTGTCTTAACCCATTTTGTATAATGCAAAGCGAGATGCTAAAGAATCAAAGGGCTGTAAGGGCTGTTAAGTCCTGTCTAGAGCACTTTCACCCTCTGGATTAATCCTAACGTCCAAGATTAGATCCGATATCAAGGGCATATGTTTTGGAGGGCTCCACGTGTCTCATTTTATTCTCTTACGGCCGTCGTGCGCTTGGCTGGATGATCACAGACGCAAGCGGTAATTCCTTATTCAACCGCTCACGGAATGCCTCGATGCATAAGTACAACCTCCCGCGCCTTAAAATCTCAACGTCTTCTCCAAGCATCCGAGCTGTCTCATCTGGCATCCGCCCTCGATCCCTAGTGCCTTCGTCCTCAAACTCTCACATCGGCATCATGTCTTCGACTCATCTTCCGAACGGCTACAAGTCGTTCGGCCCGAAGGCCAACTGTACTCTCGAGGTATGCCCGCTGGAGGCCAGTCTCCTACGTTATCGCCCATCGGTGCCAGTCAACGGAACGTTCATCGGACTCTTTGCTCTGGCCATGATCATACATACAATCCAGGGTCTTCGATCCAAGAACTGGGGGTTCATGGCCAGCATGATTGGTGGATGTCTGCTCGAGATTGTTGGCTATGTTGGAAGACTGATTCTCAACGACAACCCCTTTTCATTTGGCGGGTTTCTTCTGCAGATTAGTAAGTCTCATCCACTTCCTGATGGCATGGCTCGGTCTAACCTCCTCTTGCTACAGTCTGCATTACTGTCGGTCCAGTCTTCTTCTGTGCTGCGATCTATGTTATGCTTTCCAAAGTGTAAGTCCAGCCCGCGAATACCAACAATTATCCAGTGACGAAGGATTCCGACTTACTTTGGGAACGCAGAATTATCCACCTCGATCGATCGATCTCCAGGTTCAACCCGAGATTATGCTACTTCGTCTTCATTCCGTGCGACATCGTATCCCTCATTCTACAAGCAACCGGTGGTGCTTTATCCAGCATTGCAAGTGACAAGGCGGCTGTGCAAAGGGGCGTCAATGTCTCGTTGGCCGGGCTCATCTTCCAAGTTGTCTGCCTAGTCGCCTTTTGTGCCCTCTTCGCGGACTACCTCATCATCTGCATGAGGACAAATGCTCGACAACGCATGACGAAAAACATGAAGATATTCCTGGCATTTCTCTTCATCTCTACCACCCTGATACTGGTACGATGCTCTTACCGTATTGAGGAACTGAAGGAGGGATACTTCAGCCCAATGTTTCGCGATCAACCTTTGTTCATTGGACTTGAATCTTCGTGAGTCTTTCTAAATCTGGGATATTACTCGATAGTCTCGCTAATTCGCGTCGTAGTGTCATGGTAGTTGCAGTATTCTGCCTGGTTATCGGGAATCCTGCGATTGGCTTCAGCACAACCGGAGAGAGAAAGGAATCGACCGCGTCAGAGGCATTCGATCACCTCCCATCGCGTCAGGATAGCATGCCCATGCAGATGAGCGGCAGGAAAGACACACTGACAGGCTCGATCAATGTATGAAACGAATGATGCCTACGAAGAGCGTCCGCTGTACTGTTTATTCACAAAGATACCAGAACTTTTAACTTTGCCCAGTTCTTTCTTGATTAGATCCATTTCAACATAGTTTCCTAAAGTACTTTTGTACCCTTTTGCGGTATGTTTCGGCATCCACCAGGTCATAGTGACTCTATTCTGGCGGGCTTTTGTTCATGTGATTTCCAGAGGTATAAATAGGTAACCTCTGTCGCTAGTGTTACTCAACCGAAAATGCATCGAGGAGGCGTTCCGTCATGGATGGTATTAGACGTTCATCTTCCTGCTCGGTGCACTGGACGCCGGGGTCTGTGGAGTTCCATCCCCATCTTGGCTCGTTGTCGGCGCGACGTCCACCACAGGGAGCCCACATCTTGTGCATGAGGGTTCATTCGCGGATTCGCAACCGCATCTTCCCGAGCTGGAAAACGATTAGCGCTGGGCTTTCTGCAGAGGTTTTGGCATGGCCCCCTTACAATCGCGTGATAGCCAGCGCATACCACAGCGCCATAAGAGTCAAGCCCACTGCGGTGGAAATGCCGAACCACATCAGAAAGACCGAGGTTTCGGGATCCATCTTGAATGATATAGTCTCGGTTGCTCGCTTTGATGATTGATTTTCTCATTTGGGAGGTCTTAAGATGATTTTGAGTGCGGCGCTGGTGTGCTCGTGTCTACAAACTTTTTCGTTCTGCTTCGATGGGTCGGGTGGCGGACCTTTAGAAGTTGAGCGTCACTGATCGTGGGAAACTACTTTTTATTAGACACAGGCTGCAGACTACAAGGTGCCACGAAAGTTCAAAGTTCAAGCCTCATGGCTGGCGACCCTGAGGACCTGCAGCCAACACTGATAGAACCCTTTTGATCGGCCGAAGTCTCGTAGTGAAGTTAAAGAAGCACAGCTGTGACTACCGCGTTACTGAACCACAAAGAAAGAATTTGATTCAGATCATTTCATGCCGCCAAACTCACGGAGAATGTTCAGCAAGACTCCCAACTTTTCTGGGAAGCGACTTTGTGAAGTACATTCATTCTGCGGAGCACTTTGACGGGCATTAGAGCTAGGAGCTCCCAGTAACCCCCCATTCGTCACTCAAGAGATCCGTCAAATGCAGCAGGTTAAAGACGTCATCATGTGTATCAATACGCATTCTTTACTAAAGCAATACTTGACATGTTTTATGACTCAGCATACTGGAGCTTTACACTGACTCCATCTCTGGGAGCCATAGTAAAGTGGATGTCTTTTCTCGGCTCGCCTTGTGGCCCTATCCATTCCATACTCTTGAACCTTTGAATGAGCCTGACCAAGAGATACGCAGATTCCGTGAGGGCGAATTGTTCTGAAGCAAGTTAGCATTCTACTCCAACAACGTAATCTATAATTGTCAGCGAGTATGGAGCAACTTACGTCCCAAGCAGATCCTTGGGCCACCACTGAACGGGATGTAGTTCCAGTCCAGTCGGACACCCTCCCACCGCTCCGGCTTGAACTCCATCGCATCCGCCCAGACATCCGAGCGCCGATGTAGCAGATACGGTACAAAGGTGACCGTCTGTCCCTTCTTGACCACGATAGGCGACAACCCATCGGCTCCGCCACCTCTCGGCAAGACCGTATCCCGTGCCGCATACCGGCTGTTAAGAGGCACAACATTGTACACTCTCAACGTCTCCCGTAGCACGAATTGAAGATATTTTGACGACTTGAGCTTCGCAAAGTCGATGCCCTCAGGCTTCTCAGAGTACTCCCCAAACTCCGCCACCACCTCAGCCCGAAGCTTCTCAAACACGGCCGGGTTCCGCGCAAGTATCATCAACACCCACGAAAGCAGCGTCGCCGTGGTATCCCGACCCGCCATCAGCAAGCCGAGGATCTGGTCCCGCAGCTCCCCGCGGTCCCGCGTCTGCTCTACGAGGGTATCCAGCAAGCTGAACTTGTCCGCCGACGGTTTCGCGCGCTTGAGAGCCAGCTGGACGTAGTGGTCGACGTATCGGCGGATGAAGTCAATAGACTTGTTGCCCACGCTGCTGGGTGCTAACCAGTACAGCCCCTGCAGCCGAGCGCGCATGGCGATGTACATTTGCGCCTCGTGGAAGGCCGAGGCAAACGACATGTCGCTTCCTGCCTGGTCGGCTGCCATAGCCGTCATCGCACTTGTCGATGACGACGTCTTGCCCAGAGCAGCGGCCGTTTGTGAGTCGACGGTTTCGCCGAAGAGGAAGCCGGTTGCCGTGTCGAGTGTGAAGCGGAAGATCAAGGGCATGATATCGACAGAAATGGCACCGTCGCTTGTCTGTTTTCCAACGAGAGGGAGAGCCCGGAACAGAGCTTGCACGGCACGCTCCGTACCCTCGAGGTCGTTGATGTTCTCCCGCGAGAACTGAGGTCGGAATAACGATCTCGAGTGCTCCCAGAAGGGGCCGTCGTGGGTGAAGATGTTGTCACCCTCCAGCGGCTTGAACTGGGCAATTCTGCGCGGGCCGAGCTCAAAGTCGCGGAACTTTGTCGCGAGGATGGCCTGTATGTTGACTGGGTCGATGGTGTTCACTTCGGCTGGGCCGAAGAAGCCCGTGGTGCTGAAGGTGTCGCCGCACCTTTTGAACTTTTGGGCAATGACATCGTCGAGAATGTCGCCGCCGCTGCGCACCACCTTGAGGGTGCGCCAGACATAGTCGATGCCGAAGGGTAGTTTCGAGGAGTAGTGCTTAGGAAAGGTTGCACCGTTTGCCTTGGCAAAGAGAAGAAGGCGGCGACGGGCAAGAAAAGTTGAGACAATGTAGTAGATCACGAACGCCGGAAGCGCGAATAGCACTATTGGCGAGGAGAGCAGCGCCATGATGGAAAGTTGTCTGGCGCCCAATGTCGTCAGATGCAGATTTTGAACAAATCTGTCACACACCGTACCAACGAGCCGGACCCCCAACGAGATATATATCCCTCTCACGATGCCTGTCAAAATGGCGGCAAGGATTGGCACTAGACTAGTCGTGCAAGGAAGAGGTGGGTTTAACCCCCGTTATCGACCATGATCGCTGTCGCACTGGCCTCCACTAGAACCCCAGCTCTCTGAAGTTTCCGAACTGACGAATCGTAGCACTTGCTACTGCGATTACCCGGCGCGGAGATCGTGGGCAATAAGAAGTCCGTCTCTACCCCCATTGTTATACAACTCAGGTATGCTTTCGTTCTCGTTTTCGCGTTTCACAAGTCGTAGTACTGATGGAGACACATGAATGCCAAGGGAGGAATAATCGTTGACCTTGTGTTTGTGTTGTATCGGCCGACGACAACCTGGACAAACTTCATCTACAGGAAAAGCATATGCCCCACCAAATGCTGTTTGCCTGACTTATCATAGTTGAAGTTCATAGCTTAGGTCCCCGAAGTGATATCATGCCTCGGTCGGCAAAGCTCAATTTTGTGACAACCTTTCGGCGCCGGGATCTGAGCTGCTGGCGCGTGTCTTGGTTCGGACTCCAAAGGCCTAGAGCTCGGACTGCGTGGGGTAGCGGTCTAGATTTATGGAACCCCCACAAAGTAGGTTCGTGATGTTGATTCATCATGGTCCACACGAGATGCAAAACATGACTCGATGTTGATAGAGATGTCCGTCTGCTGAGGTTGCGTCTATCTGCACCTGAACCAATGTCTTGGATTAATGGTTCTTTCACGTCGAGACGAAATAAGGTTCTGACCATCAAGTCCGAGGAAGGGTAGCATTTAGCGGTGTAGCATCGCTTCAGAGTTCGCGCCCTAGGAACGACCGACGCTCTACGACTCCGAGCAAAACTACTCTTGTATTTTTTGTGAACTGCAATAATCAAATATTCATTCGCCGCATCATGCGTGAAGACTTCGAATTCATGTGCCAGCATAAGAGAGACTCCTACGCACAGCGTGTGGCTTGCTGTTTACCTCTTTTCAATTGCGTCTGTCGGTCATTCCCTTGATATGCCGAACTTGCGGCTAAGCAGTTGAATCTCTGTGTGTCATGGTTATCAAATCATCGCATAGAAATTCGGCCACCACATGGCTCTCGTGCCGGTGGTATTAATACCGTCATCTCATATAAGCGGCACGCTGACAGATGAGGAGCTGATGGCATAGACTGTCAAGACCGGCAATTATGATTGGAGCCTATACCCATCTAATTACACTGCCTAGCTGAGTTGTTCTACGCAGTACAGGACAACTGGTATGTATACCATGAGAGTTGATAATTTTGAACTTCGCCGTTTAATACTGGTCGTTAACATCGTGGCCACTGGCGAGGAAGGAAGCGAAGAGCAAGCACCAATTGCAAGGACTGAACACCGCCACGAATAACGTTCCATTTCAATGGGAACTCTGGCGCTCTAACCGTGTCTCAACTTTAGATACATGCGATAGAAGCAGCTCCGTTTTGTGCGCGCAGCACAAGTACAACACCCCACACACTATCGTCGAAGCCGACCAACTGGTATCTCACCACCTATTGTATTATTCTCCTCTTCATGTAGCCGTAACCCCCTCGCTTTTGCTTGGTGCTAACTTGGTGGCTGGGAACGGAATTGCTTGTCGAAATCTGCCAAAGTCTGAGCTATTCTATTTTGATGATAGGCCTTGCTTGCTTCCGCGCTGGTACCGTTATTGTGGATGTGATGCATGTTACTGTGTCTAGAAGATTTTGTGTAGTCGACAATTCGTTCCTTGGAGAGGGTGTGGTTCATGTCCGTGTTTGACCGCGCCTCGATGGGTTCGGCAAAGATACTCCTAAGGCCATCACTGTCAGCTGACCACGACCAACTGTTCCTCCACTGAAACCTTTCCCCCAACTAGAATGGGATGAGGTACCCGTTACGGATAGTTTCCTTGGAATTCATTTTGCATAGATTGCTGCCCGCCTTGGCGACTAGCTGTCTTCGACTGAGCAAAATCGCTGCAGGAATTGAAGTAAAGGCAGTTGGGACAAGGTGCTGGAGTCTTGGTGTGCTTGGTATCACAAGGGGAATTATTGCGCCGATGGCCTTCTGAGTGCTGTAAAAACATTATGGCATCAATACGTTGGATGATTCAATTCTATTTTATACTGTTGTGCCTGGCGAACCAGGCATACTCAACCAATGAGTATCATATAGCCTGCCATACTTGCTTCTGTCAAGGGATTCCGTGTCCAGACGAATAGCTTGCATCCTTTGGCAACCCTCTGGCCTGAAGCTGAGAGACTCCTGCTTGCTTCTCTGGCGAATTGTCTAGGCGTAACTCAACAAGGCGTCGACATGCAGTCTGTAGATACCATGGGTGGGTAGCAGTCGTGAAGAATCGAGTGGTGGGGTGGTCCCAACCAAGCCGATGACTTTCTCCCCCGCTAAAAAAGTGACCTCGATAGAAGCATTTCACAACGTCAGACTACATGAAGTGCAAATAAAGCCTACCTGGACGGTTTCCAGTGTGTACTCGGTTAGCGCAGCATGCATCGCCGTAGGTTCATTCCTATCTAATGTCGACATAAATATGAGGGGTATTGATCCACTATCAGTGAATGTCGTAATGAAGATATGTTGTTGTCAATGACTATCATGCTCTATGCACTAGCACGATCCAGTGCATGCTTCTCATTGAAGACACAACCTAATATGATCTCGCGAAATTAACGGTACAAAGAGACGCTGAGTATGTCAGTCCGAAATACGATAATGATGTGTGAAATAGAGAGAGAGGAGAGACAGAGAGGAAACTTTGGGTCCGGGTCCCCCGTTGATGAACGGGCTCCGGCATCGTGCTATTGATCTCCTCCGGCCGGAGCGGCGAACTTCCGGCTTCGGCAGCCGAGTGCTCGGGGCTGGCCAAACAACTCATTTGGCTTGTTTGAACTTCTCCGAATACCCAGGTAATCAACCGTACTGGATTTCGAAGTGACTGTGCAAAATTCGAAAGCAATGACACTCGTCATTAATTCCATTCCGTTGACGCCGCACAGCAAGAACGAATGAATATCGCATATCTAGCTTACGTGAAGATATCGAGGTGTGTAGAGCCACGCCTAGTTGACTCGGCACTGGAGTTGAAAGCCTTGCTTTGGGAAGGATTCATTCGAGGATACGGGGTTAAGCCGGCAATGCTCCCTCGGAAGGCTCTGAAGCAATGCTGATTCGCTGGCTCGCCTACCCGGCTGCTTTCTGCCCCGAGAGCATGCCGAATCTCGGTGTCGGTAAGCGGGCACAGGTGCAGATAGAGGTTGTCGACGTGGCCCAATCGAAACCCCGATGAGAATCAGCTGATATGCGTCACCGATTCTGCCTGAAAATAGCGTGAGGCATCCAATGCGCAGATGGGCGCCTCGTGAGGGGTTGGGGCGCCTCATTCTCGCCTGATTTCAGGCATCTTTGGGTCGCAAAATGGTCCCAATGTTCGCGGTTGCCTGGCTGTCGTGATGTGGTTCGCGGATATCGGTGTCGGTTGCCGAGCCTGTCTCCTTTGCGGCTGATGGGGCCAAGAGCGGCTATCTGTGATTCTTCGGCACCGTAGGTCGTGCTCTTAAGACGACTTTGTTGAGGATTGTGCCGTGTCTGTCGCGCGTATGATATGACGATCGGAGTCTAATCCCACAACCATGGACAAATTCGTGTGAAGGAGTCGAGCGGGAGATATTGAGCAGAGACTTTACTCGATAGTGACTTGAGTAAGGAGTCATTCTCGGCATCGAGTCGTAGAGGATCGGGTCGAGAGCGATTGAAAGCGTCCGGTGGAAGTAAAATCGTCGCTCTGATGCGTAGAGAGCTGGAAACTGGATGGAAGTAACATCGAATGGAAGTTGGGGGATGAAGAGGGAACCGATATAAAACCTTGGAGTATTCGACAGAGTTAATCGAATTCACCCAGCTCAAGGAATTAAAAAGAATTGAGACATTCCCGAGCAAGGGGTAACGCATCTTATATGGATCTTTCGGCCGTACAGTTTTGGGGGCCAAGAATAAACCTGCAGACTTGGGGGCCAAAAGGCTGCGTGTGCGCGGGAGGAGGGAGGAGGGGGGGGCCCAACGATTTTGCTCTGTCATGGACATAGCGGATCGGCTGACGGCGAACACACCCAGCACACCCTTTTCTCCAGATCCCTGCCTGCAACATTTCTCACCCAATCATCGAGGTGATGATATAGTCACAACATGGAGTCGGTCAAAGTGCCGTACTATTTCCACACCCATGGATATCAGGCATTCCTCAAAGGATATCCAAGTTAGGCGAACTAATCAGGATACGCTGTGGGCGATCATGAAAGGCATCCTATACAGCTGAACTTGAAGCCCAGAGAAGTGGGTATTTCGTAGAACCGATGCTGAGGTCTGCGCACGCGGGTTGTTTGACCGATTGGGTCCTGTTCGGGACAGCGAAGTTGCAGTTTGGGGCTGTACGGAAGAATCAAGCAGCGTTTGGGGGCGGTGTGGGAGGACAAGGCGAGAGAGAAAATGTGAGTGCACCGCGAACGTCGTCCAAGGGTTCACGGCGAGCTTGAGTCTCCACGGCGTAGACTCTCCTTGATGAGTTTGAGTCTTCAACTCGAAGAGAGATACAGACTCACAGAGTATCCGTACGAAAGACGTACTCTTGTCCATTGGGTGGAGGGGCCTGACACGGAGTGTCCAATGTAAGAGACGTCCGACGGTGAGCCTTTTCTTTTGAAGAACGAGAGGTGTCTGTTATAGCCTCAAGTTCCTGGCATCTTTGCTGCTGTTAGAACTAAAGACTAGCGCGCAACTGAGGCGTTCATTATGCGATGCTCAGATTCCATCCTCTTATTTCATCTACTGTAGCTTCTTTTGTCAAATCTTGTGACACTGACTCTAGACTGGCCCTTAATCAATCGCGACCAAAGTTACCGACCGAGGTTATTGACAACACTGCCAACCATGACAGCGACCTCCCGGTCCCAATTACCTTCCCCTCTCCCCTTGCCCTTCAATGCACTCGGCATCTGGCATCCTCTAACGACACACTCCCTCACAGCATCCCCAACGCTCGCCCTATTGGACCTCAGTGTACGCGCAGACACCCCACCCCGATTCACAATCTCCTGGACCCTCGTGCCCAGGTTTCCAGCCATCGTCCGCCAGAAGTAACTCGGTAGACTTCCCGTCTCAAGGTATGCCAGGAGAGGCTGCAACATATTGGTCTGTTTCTGCGGCGCCGACACAAGCGGATGCGCTGGCAGCTTAGTCGATTCGAGAACGAGCTCCAGAGCGACAATGTTTTGACACCGCGCTGAGATCTCAGCAAGAGTACGTTCGAGTGAGGGAAGCTGGCCTAGCGACCGCGAGAGCGAGGCGATGGATGACTGTAACGCCGAGCGGAAGTATGTCTCTAGACTTTGCAGGAGTAGCTGCGGCGTCCATCGTTCCGTCTTTTGCGTCGGTGCCGGGGAGAGCAGGAAGAGTGTGACCATAGCCGATACGGTCCTGGCCTTGACTTCCTCGCCCTGCGCAAAGGTAGCCGAGTTGGGAATTGCAAAGTCGCGAATGATCTTTTCTGCCGTCTCCTTGACAGACCGCTCAACCGGTGTAATTATAGACTCCCGAAGAGTGCGAATCGCATCGACCTTGCCTAGACCGTGACCCTCTTCCCCAGGCGCTGTGTTGTCAAGCACCTCTCGTAGCGACAAGATGGTATGCGAACATCGTACCAGTGCGCGGTGGTCCTCTTTCTTTCCAGCAGCAGCGGCCGCAGCACTGACGCTAGATCCCGCTATCTCAGCGTGCTGGACCTCAAGCTGTCTCCCAAGCTGCAGACAGCGTCCCACGGAGCGACCAAGCTTCAGCGTCTCCCAAAGCCGTGTAGCAACTTGTCGCACCTCCTCAGCCTCTGCATGCTTATCAATGACCTCCTTCTCGAGCTGCTTATAGCTGTCGTTTAGGTTCTTGATCTGGGCGTCGAGCTCCGAGATGATGCGCTTGCTGGATGTCGTCTGCTCTTTCGTGTACTGCAGGAGAGGAGCAGCCGACTTTGTCGTCAGGACATCGATGTGTGAGTCAATTTCTTGAGTATCGAAGAGGACGCGGGAGAGAGGGGTCGAGAGATCGAGGGGCGCATCGTTGGGGTTGTTGGTTGCGAGGACGAGGGTGTTTGCGAAGGAGGAGGGGCTAAATTCGGGGTCGAGGAAGGCTTCGTAGTCGATGTAGGAGGGATCCTCTTCTTCGCGGGCGGTCATGATGGGCGGGTATGGGCCATTGACTGTCGTGGAGTCAATGTGTGTTGGTGGATTGGTGCTGTCCTTGTCGGGGTTGGGCGTGGGAGCTTGGAGGGGATAGCTCTTGGAATTGTTGATTGCGATGCCCAAGCTCCAGCTGTCCTGTCTGGGTCGAGGGGCGGTACGTCCTGCAGCATTGAGGCCTGCCTTATGTAAGTCAACCTCATCAGCCACACCAAGCTCTAGCCACACCAACTTGGATATCAGCCGCCCCGCAATTTGTTTCTTCCAGCCACAAGTTTAAACTCGCCATTTTCTCTCACTGCGTAAACTCACCGATGACGCTGTGTAGCTATACGCGGATAGCTTCGGTCGATCAAAAAGCATATTCTTCCAGATCAGATCATACACCAACTGCCATCATTTTGCTTGTGGCAGAAGCATTCACTGGATACCTGTGTACCCTCGAGTAATCATTCCCTCAAAATCTCATGATTTAACCATTTGCACTGCTCACTCGCCTGTTGACTCAAGGTCCCGGAGCTTCGGTATCTCCACTGACGATCCCAAAAGAGGGAAAAACAAAAAAACACAAATCCGCCGCTCCCGGCCATTCCGTCTGGCTCCTCTCGGTTTCCCATCTCTTCCCGCCGCCGCCCGAACTCTTCCCCATTCCCACACCAAGCACCACTGCAGTCTGGCACCACTTTCGGCACCCAGTAATCCAGTGGAGAAGCAGTCTGTCATCAATGATCTGCGGGAAGCGGGTACCGTAGCGTCCCATTCCCGGCACCTCAATCACCAGCCTACTGCGCAGTAGCCTGTATGTAGGTGGTTCGTCACTGGTTGTTGGTCACCAAGGTAGCGTGCCAATGCGCTGACTACTCGAACGAAAAAACGCGCCTAACTGGAAAAAAATCCCCTCCTCCATCTCCGCCTTTCCGGGCGTTCCATGAACCATATTGTCATAATACATCATTTCTCGCCAATTCCTCTTCTTCTCTCTCACTCTTCCCACCTCTCTCCCGCCAACCTCCCTCGACGCAATGCCCTCCCTAACTTAATCACTGTCGCCAATCTCTCGCCGAGAGCACGCACACTCAATCGATCAATCCCTCCCGCGAACGACCGAAACCAAACATTGGACGACGGCCGATCGACGGAAACAATAACACCGGCCACAGGCCCCGCTCCCGAGCGACACCTCCGGACGACCCGGACCAAAACATCTCGACACCACCCCGTCCGATCATAACCTCGAGATAAGAACCCGATCAGACGACGACGGCGACGACATCCAAACTACCGCCCACCATGCTCCATTCCCGCGCCCTCCTCGCCTACCCCCATGGCGCAAACGACTCCGACACAATCCTCGGCGGCGTCCACTTCAACCTCACCGTCCTCCGCTTCTGGAACTACACCCTCTACACAAACGGCACAGTCTCCAACGGCTCGAACTGCTACGTCACAGAACAGCCCTACACGCCAGTCTACCTCCTCCCCAATGGCACTTTCCAAAACTCAACATGGTGCTACGACCCCGTAAACCCAATCGGCAAGCGCGCCGGCGTCGGCGTAGGCTTCGGCGTCGTCTACGCCTTTGCCCTCATGTTTGTCCTCGCGAACCTGAACCGCCACGGACGGCACTACCTCCCGACGACGAAGCGGTTCTATCCCATTGGACGTCGGTGGCAGTGGTACTATGCGATTCTGGTCTGCGTTGCGGCGTTCATCAGTCTGTTTACCAATATTGACGTCGATCGCTTCTACGTCATTGGTTTGCCGATTATCATCAACAGCTTCTTCTGGTACCTCATGCAAATGTTCACCATTGCGCTCGTATGGGAGGCCGTCCGCCACTGGGGAAGCTGGAGCGAGAGACAGGCCATCGACCCGGACCCCTTCTCCCTGCGCGAGGGTGATCGCCGAAGCAAGCTCGAGTTCTGGATGCCATTGTGGTTCTACCTATGGCTCTGGCTGGTATGTCCCCTCATCTCGCCGTCAAACTCACTGAAGAATATTACGATCTTAACGAGTCGTATACAGAACTTCTTCCTCATCATCCCCCGCAACTGGGGTGAAATCGAAAAACAACGCTCCCCAGACCAAACGGCCGCCCGCGCCGCGCCCTCCGCAACAGACGCCCGCTTCAAAGCAGCAACCTTCTGCCTCGTAGTCTGCTTCCTCACCATCCTCGCCTCCCTCCGCCACTCCATAAAACACTACTACCCCCGCAACCGCGGCCCCCTCAACAAATTCGCCGGCCTCCTCCGCTACACCCCCTGGCGCTTCCTCCTCATCCTGCCCCTAACAGCCTGCCTCATCGCCTACCAGGGCCTCGTCTCCTGGAACTTTGCCTACTCTGTATTGAACGCAAAAGCAAGCCTGGCGGCCGTCTACGCGGGAGGGTATGGTCCTGCTCTTTTGATCTTGTACACCCAAATCGCATACGGCTTCACCTCCCCCAACGAAGACAAGGAACTCATCCGCCAGCGCCGTGAGCGCGGGACGCAAATCGATCGCGAGATGGGATACGTGCCCAAACCGGCCTGGTGGCGCCGCGCAAAGAACAACGATCACTTGGTAAGCCAGATGAGCATGCGCGAGCGCATCGCCCGCAACGTCCGCGAACTAGGCGGCGGACGCGCCACAGGCCGCGGGATAGATGAGACCCTCGAAGCGCGCGCGGCAGAGCAGGAGCAGCAGCAAGCGACCGCGGAACGAGAGATTGAAATGGGCAGTTTCAACGGTCGTTCATCGAGACCGAATTCCATGCATGGGTCCTTACGACCTGGCTTTGACGCAACGGATCCGTCAACGTTTACTTCGTATACCGGGAAATCAGACCGCCGGAGAAATGAGAGGGCGATGAACGCCGCTGCGGAACTTCTATTCCCCGGCGCCGGACCTCGTGTCGACCGTTCCGCGGAACTGATGCAGGATGGCCCGCCGCCGCCGTCATACACCGACGCTCAGAGCGGTAGCGGAGGTCTCGGCGCGGGACGGGGACGGACGCCGGACAGCGGGTCAACTGCTCATGGGCCGGGGGAGAGGAGTCACAGCGCGAGTACCGCCGTGTCCATGACGCAGCAGCCGCAGCAAGTGAAGAGTATGTTGGATATTTGATTGGGAGACGCCCACATAGGATGGGATATTGGAAATTATAAACGTCACGAGGTATGATGATTAGTCAAGAGAATGTATTTAGTGTATATCTGTCACCGGCGTTTCGAAGGTCTAGTATCTGGTATGTAGAGTCCAGTTATATCTAGACCAGCGCCCAGGTATTGTTCAAAAATATAATGCTAAAATTATTGTCAACATCATGTTCATAGATTTGGTTCTCGTAGTATGGTTCTCGGCGTCTCTATGGCACAGTCATGGAAGGCACCTTGCATGTCCTTCTTGATTTCGGAGAGGAAGCTCGTCGAGAAACCCTCGCACACCTCGTACCTGGGACGCAGCATACAGACAGCTATTGCTTGACCAGCGTCGACTTCAATGATGAAAACATAATGGCCGGGCCTCTCTCCACATGTCTCATGGACGACGCTCAGTGTGTGGTGCTCATTCCCTTCTTATCGAAAACAGAATGAATCTTCATCGCGAGTTCCCTGGAATTACGCATGGCATACAAGGCTCATGGAGGAGGACTTACCCAGTGGGCAGTGACTTGCCAAAGGACAATGCTTCATAGGAAGTCTTGCCACTTGGCTGTCGAAGTACCATATATCGACGGTCATGTAGCAACGTGCCCTGTACCTCATCACACATATGGCCAGACCGCACTTCGCTCTCCCGTTCCCTTCTCGGGGACCTACAGCAGTCACCCTCTGCATGTCGGCTTGTCGCATCCTGTCCCACCTGACAGGTCGTCTCCCCGGATCTGTCCCATCACAATGTTATCGTGAACCTACGCCAACTCCGACATGCCTCACATCGTGAACTTGAGGTACCAGTCTCGTATCAACAGCAGCGCCAGCGAGGACCTCGTCAGCTCGGGGCGAGCATCTCGGTCTCCGACTTGGAATAGCCATCCCAGCCACAGCGCCCCTACCAGGACACCACATCTTCGGACGAGATGTGCGCGCTGCTCAACGTGGAATGGATGGCCTCATCAGTGGTCGGATCAAGCTGCTGAGTAAAGCAGCTCCCGGCGGTGAGGAAAGCCGTCACGTCGTCCGTCAAGAGCGTGCGTGTGCTCGGACGAGTCAAAAAAGCTTCGATTCGAACGACGAATATTCCACGTCCTCTTTTGCCACCCCGCGGGAAGTGTGCACCCTGATGTAAGTCTCTCTACTCAGCGACAGCATGTGAACTGAGCAGGCCTAGAATCAGGGTACCAAAGCCTTGTACCCGGCCGCATGTGAAGTTTGAGTCCATGACTCGTCAGCCGCCATCCCATCAAGAGTTCGAATTTGAACACCATCCATCTGTCACCCGATTGGAGGTCAAAGCAACGGCAGAGGTCGTTCATCCAATGACAGCAGCCAGATAACCCAGGAACAGATCTCAGTCGATGCGGAGAAGAATAAGAAAACCAACGACGTAGCTAGCCGCAGAGGGGGTGGGAGGGGGCCGTGAGACCAGGAACCAGGAGCCATGAGCGAGAAAAAGCAACGAGACTGGGTATTGGCGATGCAGGCGGCTTTGTGCCTCATGCCTGGAAAAGATCTGGCTGGCGTAAGGCGACTATTGCTTCTCTCATAGACTCATAGTCTAATACCTCACGGAAAGATAAGGTAAGATGCAGGTCGGCGGCCCCCCTCGGTCCCGACCAACTACCTCACCCGGGCGATGGACGCACTAGGGGCGTACCGGAGGTTTATGCCTGGTCATAGTCATGGAATGGATCGGTCGGTTGGTCGGTCGGCGGGTGAAGGATGACTGCATGGACTGTTAGCTGGAGCGGAGGGCAAAACCGCCCACTCACACATTAATGTCAGTCCTCATCGGCAGCATTGGCATGTGTGTTCGAAACGAAACATGTCAGCCAGCGCAACCACGGCCGCCCCTCAGCGCATGCGTTGGCTGCATGTCACAACAAGGGACTTTCCACGAAATGCGCAGGTGGCCGATTGATGGAGACGACAATCTCGCGGATTCTCGTGGGTAAGAGGCACCGGTCAACAAGATCTGTTGAGCAAGACTGCAGTGCTTCCAAGGAGGGGGGAATACTCTAGCTGCTCCGACCAGATAGGTAAACTGCTCTACGGATAGCAGTGTCTTCGGATGCGAGCCCATGCACGTCTGCATGTTGTGCGCCGCACTGGGGACAGCTCGCAGGCTACTGCGTGCGCATGCATGGCGCTATTCATGCGTCTCGTTGTACACTTTTAGCCCAGCTTGCCAGCGACGGTCTTCCAACATCGATACGGAGAGAAAACGGTGCGTGGCGTGAGCCGGTCGGCCGTAAGTCGTTGTATTCGAGAGCAACTCGAGACTCGAGGGATGTCTGCGCGGGACAGAGAGGCTTCATCCATCGTCGGAGGCCGCGTTGGTGCAGTTGCTTAGACACCGAGGTAAACCCTTGTAAAAGAGCGGTGAGAGTGACACTACGCCGGTGACAAAAGACAGGTTTTGTTGGAATGGGGCCCGAAGCGCCTTGACTCTTGACCAGACACGCCAGAATGAGGGAAAAAAAAAAGACCGCCCTCAGGGATGGGCCTAGCTTGATAAACGAACAAGCCTAGGCGGCGGGCAGCGTAACTCGCAACCTCTAGATCTGCGTGAGGCGAACGATGGTCGATGTCGGATGGATGGCATCTTCTGCGGCTCATGGAGAACATTGTCGTCTCTCGCTCGTCGCTGGTCTCGCCTATCGTCCTGACCGACAAGACGGTGTGAACTACCCATGTCCCGTCCTTACATCCAGTCAATCCAGTGCAAGGACCAGTATCGATTGCCTTTCCATCTCACATCGCGATTGCAAGTGGGCATTTAGCAACCCACGCGGTGCAGTTGACACGAAGCATCGACAGGTGTAGTGGGGATGAATCAGCTGTGGAGCAGACATTCGAGCATGTACTAATCGCCGGTAGCTGCGAGCGTAAACGCTGATTCAAGATATAACGCTGCATGGCGTTCGTTGGGCAAGTCTTAGTGAAGCATACACTCCCTACTGCGGCGAGGAACAATTATTTGCACAGACTCTTCACAGGTGGCCTGTTCTAGTTGCGCTTGCCAAGAAGATGCATGAGACAGGTGACCTTGGACCAGTTTGATCGCGAACCAGTACAATTGAAAACCCCACGGCTGTCGCGATGTCTGCAGGGGTTGAAGCTTCAGCCGTGCAAGCCCGCCGATGCGATTATGGAATTCTTGAGTGTCGTTCCCAAAGACTCTCGTCTGGTGCCTGGAGCACAATGTGGCGTAGAATGTCGCACAAAGTTGATTCAGCCCATGGCTACGGCAGCTCCCTTGCCTGGATCACAGGTTCGGCCATGTCTTAGACCTTGGGCGGTGAGATCCAAGCGAGCGGTCACTTTGATAGACTTTTCGGGACAGACGTAGCTGGTCGCGTCTAACTGGCAGAAAGTACCCCTGAACCACGAGATGCTTTCGGGAGAAATGGTACCCAAGTGGCTGTGACGAAAAGCCTCGCTTATTGAGCCTTTCCCCATGGCTTCCGGTGTTCGACACATTCGGCAGGCAAGTCATGGAGCAGCAGCTTTGTCTCGACTGCCCGCGGGTCGGACTGCCGATCTTCTTAGCGTTATAATGAGGCTCTGTAGAGCAACTCGAGATCCAGGCGTATTCTAAGGGACTGTAGCGATTCGAGATGATGGGTGCGCTGAAGCTGTACAGATATGCAAACAACCACTGACTAGAGAGGCACACCGAGAATCCGAGCTGCATGAGCAGGGTCGCAGTCGAGAACGGATATGCAGATTGTCCCAGTCGGGCCAAAGCACAACACCCGCAGCAGCGTGAGAGCATTGCGGGTGCCAATGCCAATTCCAGGTACGGTTCGAGACTTCGAGTATAGCGACCTGCATATGGCTGCAGGCTTCCACGCGCGTCTCCCAAAACGGCATCCCGTCTACTGCGTATCCGTAGGTAGTCACAGCGATCCTCCGGGCAGCCCATCCCACCCTCCCTCGACGATTCGCATGCATCAGCGCCTACTGCTGTCTTCTGCACTTTGTTTGAAACGAGCCAAGATATGTCCTCGTGAGGGGGGCTGCGAGGTGTGAGTGGAAGACAGGTCAGATTGCTGAGCGCTCTCGTCATCCCTCATTATCAACCCGTCAACCTATAGTCTAGAGTGGCTCATCCTGTGTTGGATGCGGAGGGATGGCTGCGATGGTTGACCAAATAACGCCGCGGGACAAAGAATATCTTACCATGTACTCTGCTTCTGTAGAACCTGATGACAACGGCACAAGGAGAAGCCTTGCTCGAGGGCCAGTTGCAAACTCTTGATGGCGCCAGTGACCCATCGCTCGATGCATTCCAACCACAGCGCTTCTAAGCTTGCGTCCTTGGAAGAACGGGCGGGATCTCGCCCTGAGTTTTGATCAGCGATCCGATGCTTGCGCGCTCATTGTTTCCGCTGACAAGCAGTAGTAGCTAGGCGCTAGGCCGCCTGTGTACCGGCATCTTCCCAGCACACCGTTGACACGCGAAGCCAAGGGGCGGGGATTCCGATGCATTGTTTCATCCGCGCAGAGTCTAAAATTCCTCATTCTCCGAGCAAGGAGGACGGGCTGCCAGGTGCCAGGATCATTTGGTGGGGGGTGCCACGCAGTAGCCGACCTAAGCTGGGCAGTTCAGATTGACGCAGATACTTCGTTCATGGCCGTTGCTCTGGGCCAACTGGGAGACGAGGTCGAAATCACCTGATCGCTGGGACCACGCAGTCACTGGGCCTTTCCTCAGTTATTTGACACCGACGAAAATCGAAAACCAACTTCGTGCTATACGACAGTTTATCGTGGCTGTGAGCTGATGCGGTGATTGACGGCGTAGCGCAGCGCAGATAAGCAGACGCAACGTTGTAAGAGTCATCTATGTAATTTTGCATTGTCGGCGCGCTTGGTGAAGAGGACGGCAGACGGAAAGTGAGCGGTATACCTGGGAACGATGGAGGGGCGCCGAGTTATCGAGCATTGATGGGCGCTGTGGGATTCTCCAAAGTGATCCAAACAAACCAACCAACAATGGGCAAAATGGTGTGGGATTTCCGGTCAGCTTCTCGACTTTGAAAGAAAACGGTCAAAGCTGATCTACCTGTCCGGCGAGGACGACGATCTAGCCCTTAAAACGATGGGGGCGACGACTTGAGGGCGGCTTGGTAAAGAATTCTTAAGCGTCGCGCATGATGACATAGGGTCTTGGTGATCTTCAGCAGCGACGGTGGAGCGGCCTGGCGAGGAATTCTGCGATCTGGTAGTGAAGATCGGCGGGCATCCTTGCCCTCCACGCCCTCTGGCCAGCGAGCGGCGCCAGCCTTACTCTAGAAGGTAGGGCATAAGAATCAGCGTTGCGGTGTCCCTGCGGCCATCACCCAGCAGTCCAGGACCGGGGCTGGGTGGCCAGCCCCCCCGCGTTCGGTCAAGTGCGGGGCAGTAACGTAGGGCATCGGCAGGTTTCCTTCTATCCCGGGCGTGTTGTGGTACGTTCTGTAAATGCAGGCATGCAGGCACGAAGGGTGCTGAAGCACATCGTGGAGAATGCGGCTGGAGGTTGTGCGTGCGTATCGCAGACGGGCGACTTCTCTGTTCTGGCTGGCTGATAAGAAAACAGCAGGCCGGCAGGTGAATGCAGCTTGGCGACGAACGAGAGGTCGGAGTTTGCGAGAGACCGGAACATGACTGCTAGGGAGACGTTCATGTATGGATGATGAGAGGTGGCGATGAGGGCGACTGAATCAGTCCCGGCCCGCAGGGCGAAGATAATGTCGGTGATTGACTGCCGCACACACGTTTAGCGCAGAACGGCGACTTGGTAAGCTGGTGGCATATTCGAGACCGAAACATTTGGATTCGAGTTTACCGTTGACTGCAACTGTCGGATCGATTGTTGTACCGTGGCAGTGGCAAGCTGAATGTGGTTTTGACGAGGTGGGGGAGAAGCTGGATAACGACCGGCTTTCATCTGCCGGACTGTGACTCCCGCTCGGAGATCGCGAATGCGATTGGGCTGGAGGGACAATATCTCGCAACGAGTGATTCATTTGGAAAGAGCCAAGAGGAGTTTTTCAGCAGTGTTTCCTTGGCGCGTATGCAGTTTGTGCCGACGTTGCTGGCATCGTTCCAAGGATGAATAAGGATTCGGCGTGGAATCCCGATTGACGATGGCTTCTTCGATAATCGAACTCGGGTAGACGTCTCGAGACTAGATTCAGGCCCAGGGGTAGGCAGCTCCCACCGTGGTTACGAGATGGTTGTCACGGGACGAGTACGGATCCTATCGAGCGGTGGTGGTGAGATGTGACGGCAGTGACTTTGTGTTTTTGATGGTGTTCGTCCAGGGTTGGACCTGGGTCACACCGAGCTTGACTGTGGCCGGGCAAGGGAGGGCCGCCCTTGATGGCTGATGTCGAGAACGATTGCCTGGTCTCGGTCTCTCAGACGAGGGGCTCGCTACAAAATCACAGAAAGTATTGTGTGGCGATGCACCATTTTCGCTGTGATGCCAACATGATTGGCGAGAGTAGAAAAGCCCGTCACTCCCGTCCTTCTCCTAGCCGGGCGGTCTGGTCTGGTGGTGGTGGTGTCCATCCAAGGGAAGGGCCCGATGAGAGGGTTGTGAGGGTGTGCCAACAGAGCAAAAGTACGCGAGTGTGGGTGGGCTGGTGGGTTGGCGTGCGTCTGGCGTGCGGTATCCCTTGAGCCAAGACGAAGCCGCGAAGGAAGTTGTCGGAGGTAAGATACCTAGTCAGAGATCAAAGACTATTGGTAAGAATTCGCGGAGAACGTAGTGCGGATAGAGCTGGAGGAATTCGATGCGTCTCAGGATGTTGGTCCGGCTGGAATGGAAGAATTGCTGCCGAGACGTAGCTGAGGTTGAGAGAAGATGGTGGTGGTGGTTGATGGAGGGTGGTGACAGACGGCAGATGCGGAATGGACGTTGGCAGTTGGCAAATGGCAGATGGGTACGGAGGTACGGCGGGCGGTACGGAGGTACGGAGACGAGGACACAACCTCATGGAAGGAGACAACGTGGGCAACGGCCGGGCATGCGGAATTCTCGGCTGTCAGTCTGAGACGAAAAGGGAGAGTCCAAACCGCTGGAGAACTTGGATGACCTGATAGCCTGACAGGTATCCATACCTTCCCTTGGAATAAGGTACATTATGGCACCGTACCTTACCTAAGGCAGGAGATGCAGCATGGAAACGGAATTGACCTAAATGAGGTAGAGAAAGATGCAGCACCTTGATGAGTAACAATTTACGTCGGGCAAGAAAGAAACACCAGCAGCGGAAACGACGATGACGGCTCTTTCCCGGTGCTGAGTGACCGTGCCTGGTCCTTCCTCTCCATTCTTCAGACTCGTGGGGTCCGGCCCCACTCGGTGTTAGCATCGCCTGCCCGTTCCTGTACCTGATCTGCCATGTCACCTTCCCGTCGTTTCTGCTTTCCAAGGTACCTTACTTTTTGGAAAGGTGAGGCAGGCATAAGCTCAGAATGCCCCGTCTCTTGCTCCTCCTTCCATGACCGGGACCTTCTTCGACAATCGATCGCCGACAGGACATGGACGAGGGTACATGTGAAGAAGGCGAGGCAGGACCGAAAGGAACGTATCAATGCCGTAAAAGGAGTTTCGTAGGATATTGAGAAAGGGCACTTTGGCTTAGGCAAGGCAAGGCAAGGCAGGTCCAAGAAATAAGGTAGTGAAGTAAGGTAGACACGTGTGATGCGGCACAACGGCACGAATAAGGTGCACATTCTCGCCCGGTAACATGGCTTGACCAGACACGTTTAATCAATATGCTTCCCATGGCTTGTGTCTATCATCATGCGACCCACGGTTCGGCAAGATACTACCTTATACAGTCGTCGACATGACATGACACGGAACACTTGTTATCTGCAACTGTATCCGTGTGCCTCACCTTAGCTGCTGCTGCTTGCGAAACGGAAGCGACGGAAGGGAGGAGACGCAACAAGGTCTGATGGGCCGGGGCTGAGAACTGGCACATGCCTGGTTGTCGTCTCCGGCACGCCGTGCTGTCCCGGTCTCCCGTGGAGAAAATCACCCGTCTTGGTCCGTGTCGTCGTTCGCGGCTCGTTTATCTGGGAAGAGGGGTTCCGCTCTACCACTACACCTGTTACCTTGACGTGGTTGACCAAGTGGTTTGCTTGTCGTACGGATACTTGTCGAGACACATAGCGACGCACATATATCCTCGATCAAGCATTGTAAGCATTGTGAGCCTTGTAGAAGGCATAGGTATATGGAAGGCGCATATCGGTACCAAGGCATGTCTGTCTCTGGTAAGAAACCTTAGCACATTGTAGCTTCCAGGTCCACCTCAGGTTGAAGACGGAACGGCGGCGCCTCGATTGCGGGGTGGATTCTCGCTTGGCGGGTGACGGGTGACGGACTGAGCGCACAGGCCCCGTCAGGTCTTTCCCCTCTTGGCCATGGCTTTTTATAGAAAGGAAGGCCCCTGCCCTGGGCTCTGGGAAGCCTGGAGGGACGTTGACAGGGCCACGGCCAGGGACAGGCACGGGAGACGGGGGTGGAAGGAAAAAAATTGAGAGTTGAAGGTCACAGGCGGCAGACGCCAACACCTGGTCCCCACTTTGAGGTGCCTGGGCTAAGGCGGCGCTAGGCTGTTAGTGGTGGGTTAAGAGTCGAGGAAGCGAAGCTGCGAAGAAGTTGAGATGCTTACCTGAGAGGGAAGAAAAAAAAGAGAAGGCGGCCACTCAGGGCGCACCCAACCCCTCGCATGATGCAGCAGGGAAAAAAAAAAAAGAGGGGCGGGGTGATGGAGGGGGAGGGGGAGGGGGAGGGGCACAGTCCTTGTACCTTTTTCACGAAAGACATAGCCAAGGGGTACATGCGACACATCATCCCGCCTTCCAAAGGGGACTTGTGAGTTTGCGACCGCCGATAGACAATGGACTCAGTCAAGTAAGCGCAACGGAATTGGTGGATGGATTTTCAAGTCCGGTCAGGCAGGGAAGGCACGTATTGTTCCCAAGCTCCTTCTCCTGCCTGCCTCCTGCGTTGACCATCTGCACCGACCACTCGTTTTTTTCTCTCTCTCTAATGTACCTTACTGTGAGGACGGGAAGGGACCTTGAAGCCAGGGCCAGGCACCGCACCTTCTCCGAGTCCCAACGTGCGGCGCGCGGCTTGCGGCTTGCCTTCTTCAGGAACATCGTGTTGGACCCGTCTTGGTGCATCAGCTAAGGCACGGAAGTAAGGCAGGTCAGGTCGGGTAAACCGTAAAGTGCCTCAGGTACAGCAAGTGGCTGCCTCAAGTAAACCACCTTTTCGTCTTGTCCCTGACTGCTTTCTTCGAGATGTAACGGAGAAAAGTACGGGAACCTTATACCTACTACATTATACGTATTGGTGAGATACTCTACGGAGTAACTACGTAAGGTATTGTGGAAGGCGCGGATGGATCGAGGCTGCATGTCATTGCCAGAGTCATCCCTCCCTGTTTGTTGCTGCCGTGCCGTCCGTACCTGACCTGGACCTGACCAAACTGACTTTTCACTGACCCAAGTGACCTCGCCCCTGCCCACTTGAACATCGTAAGTTTGGTCGTGCCTTCCTGAGTTCCCTTCCTGTCGTCAGCCCGCGCAAAGTTCGGGCTGTGCCTTCCATTTGTCGCATCACCGGGCCTTGGCTTGTACCTTATCGCCTTATCCGCTTATCCTTATCGCCGCCCCTCCGTCGCCGCCGGTCATTTACGTAGTAAGGTAGTTCCATTGCCCAAGCCTCATCCCTCCACCTCCACCGTGGAAAGCCACACAGGCACAGCACATCATCTCTTCCAGACTCGACCCTCTCTCTACTTGAGGGATCCTTGGATACTTACGTTGCCTTACCTTAATTGCTCTCTCCATCCATCGACATATCGAGTCATCCATTATTACCAGCTTACTGCTGGAAGAAATACTCAGTCAGCCAACACGTTGACGGCGTCGAGCCGAGCCCCCAATCCCCAACCGCCGGCACGCACACTTTCAATCAATATCACCAACCCCATCCATCCATCAACTTGACGCTCTTACACGGATACCCATGACATCTCGCCAAGTGACACTTTTCAGCTTCGGTCACCAACCTCCCACCGCTCGTTGTCGCATCCACATCTCTCAAGACCACTTTCTACGGTTGCCTTCCATACACGACACTATTACCGATACAGCACCACCCTAGTCGGATACCTACCTACACCAAGCAGCCGTGCCTCGGAGGCCAAGCATTCACGCATCCACGCACCCGCCCATCGTGGCACCGAATGCATCCTGCCGTTTATCCCTTTTGCGTCCGTATCCGTCCAACTTTGTCCCCGCCTACTCTACCGCCTACCCCTGCGTAGGGTAGCAGCACAGCGCATCGGCAAGGAAAACGCCGCCAAAGTTCAAAGGTCCAGCTGCCAGCAGCACAGGCAGGGCAAGGTTCTCGACGGCACCGTACCTTGCTGTACGCATACACTACAGTGCAATCCACAGGACGGGAACACACTGCCTGGCGTATCAACCACCGTTAGGACGTAGTAGCTGCACCAGCACCAGCACCAGGACTGGCATCACCAACAACGGCGGCATCTAAACTACAACCACGGTGTACAGCGGCGCATCGCAACCTCGGGCCAGGTCCTTCACCTCACACACAGACTGGCTTGGCCGCCGTCCTTTTTGACTTTGACCTCGTCAACCTCGCATTTCGCAACTCGCACCCGTCAACAAACCCCCTCCGAGTTCCCGACCTGACCACCAATCCCCTGCCGTGCCTCGACCTTTCATCCTTTGTTCCTGGCAAACCCTCGAACCCACGGACAATCTTTCCAAGACCAGCATTCGCATTGCACCCCCCGTCTCTGCCTGTGTGCCTGCACTCGATCAAGCCAGCCCGCCAGCCAGCTATAATCGGTACCTTACGTCTGGCCCGCCGCCCTGTCTGGCACTGGCCACGCCGTCACAGCAACTCCGCCAACCAACCTCCCCGTGTGCCCCTCGCCGTGGTGGTGGCCCGGCGCTGGAGTCACCACGTTCTCCTCCCTCTCGCAGACGCCTTGCCGCTTCTCGTCCACCGCTACCTTAGGCTTAGCAACTTGGGCTGACCGTCGCCTACACCTCGCTCGACACTGTCCTCCGTTTCTCACGCGCCCGTCAGAGACCTTAATCAACTGCCACTTTCCTCGAGGCTTTTTCCCGCCCGCAGACGGATGAGCAAGCCACCTTTCCCACCGTTCCGGCCACTCTCGCCTTCCGTCCGTCGCCAGTCCGTCAAAGTCCTGGACCTGGACCTCGACCTCGACCTTGACCCCCCTCCCAACCGCCCGGCTGACTGGGATCTCACACCAAGCCGTCTGACTTTCATGTACCCCTTGTACCTCCCGCCAATCGACTCCACCAATACCACTACCGCCGCCAGGTCCTGGTTCTGACCCTGACCCTGGCGTCCGGCCCTGGCCCTGGACCTGGCCTGCCTTGGGTCCACCAACTCTTTCTCGTACACGAGTACCGCCAGCGCTTCCGTGTGCTGTGACCATCATCAACTACTTACGAATCCTCCCTCGCCATCACTGCAAGCCATATCATTTATCCCTTTTTCTCCCTCTTTCTATGATTCTCAACGGGTTTGGTACACAGAGAATCGCCAGGCCTTTGACATATATACAGTACCGCCAAAGAAGACTCTTTTGTGCCCTTCAACCCGCTCCAAGAATCAGGACCAACACGGCCTGCTCTAAAACGCTCGGTACTTGAGCTGATATTCGGTCCATACATATACTGCAAGTCTGCAACCTACGAAATCGTCGACCAAAACGCGAGGCACCCAGCTTGCAAACCCGTCAACTCGGATCTTGATTGGCATTGGACCGGACTACATTGGCTCTGCGATAGCCCACAGACACTCCCACCCAAATTCGCCGACTTGGTGCGCCGGATCCCCCAAGACGCACACGACGCACACCCCCAAGAGGAGGCTGGTTGGTTGGCTCCTCCAACCCATCTTAGACAAACTCCGCCCAGCTCTCGACACTACCTGTCGCTAGACTCGAACGAACGCAAGCAGGCGTAAAGCCGGAGGCAGGGGGAAGAAAAGTCAGCGAGGAACCACTGAGAACCACTTTACTGCAGCCAGCAGGGTCAGATCAGGGCACGTCTGTCATCATCGACCATTCATCGCCACACTCCCCTGGCAGGTCCTTTTCTAGAGCCGCCTGCCCCTCGCCTTACTGTCTCCGTACCAACTTGTCTCTCTCCTCTTCGTCCTCCACTCTGCTCCGTTATACTACGAAATACGCAGTCGGTATCCGTCCTCAACCGCGCTACCGCTACCAAACCGGCCTTGCACCTTGTTCCAGCAGACCACCCCACTCTCATCCAGGCCCGGGGGGATAGATCATCGACGTCGGTCGCACTTCCATCGGCGCTCTACGATTCTCATCTCTCTACACACATCCGGCCCACGACACCTTTGTCGCCCTTTCAAAGCCCGTTGCTGCCGCCACCACCACTATCATCACCTCCTCCTCCACGCATACCTGGAACGGAGAGACATCCAAGAGTTCGAACCCAGACAGCAACTTCTCGGATGACTTGATTCAGATTCGGGACATTTTTTCTTCTTTCTTCTTCCCTTTTACCCCTCTCATTCCGCCCTTCCCCCGCCCTTCTTCAGCCCGCTCTCCTCCCGGCTCAAATCATACTCAAATACCACCTTCCGCAGCCCGCACTCCCCGCACCTGTGCTGCTTTTGTGCTCGACTCGGCCTCGCGAGCCTGCGTCCGCACTTCCTCCTCCACAGCGAAGAGGATTTTCCCAGGCTGTCCTCCCCGACGCCCGCTTATCCTGAATCACAGCACAGTTTGAAGATGGCCGCTGCATTTAGACCAGTAAATTCGCCTTTGCCTGGTGCCGATGTAAAAATGGACGACAAGATGATGACGACGTCACCAACCACCCCGAAGCCAAGCACTGCACCGCTCCCGCGGACACCACAGGCCATGGCCGAGGACGTGAAGACGCCCACGAAAGCAACTTTCAGCAGCAGTAGCAGCGGCACCGCCGGTCTGGCATCCCAGAAGCCTTTGCCAAGTTCGCCATTTCCTCAGGCTGTCCAGGTTCCCGAGAGTGCCGAGAAGGTCAAGACCCCGACAAGAGCAAACTCACAACACTCAAGGAGATCAAGGGACTCGGAGGATGTGGACATGGACGAGTCCGATGGCGAAGGTGAAGAGGGATCTGATGACGACAGCGTTAATGCCGATGGCACCAGATCCAACAAGAAGAAGAAGTCGCAGCGATTTTATTGCACGGATTACCCGCCCTGCAACTTGAGTTTTACTCGAAGCGAACATTTGGCCAGGCACATTCGGTAGGCCCTCTGACGTCCCCAAAGACGGTGATCGTTTGCTAATCGTCCCAGGAAACACACCGGCGAGAGACCATTCCAGTGTCACTGTTCGCGCCGTTTCTCCCGTCTCGATAACCTGCGACAACACGCACAGACGGTGCACGTCAACGAGGACATCCCCATAGATTCCTTGGCAGCGACTGGTGCTAGATTCCAGAGGCAGATGCGCACTGAGCGTGTGCGTCAGCAGGGCGGCAGGGCTCGCGCTTCAACAGCTGGCAGCGCGCCTGGTCCCGTCAGGGGTCACTCCAAGTCACTGTCGACATCTAGCATCGCCAGCGTGGGCTCCATCGGCTCAGCCTTTGGACCTCGAGACGACATTCGACGACGCCCGCCGCCTCTCGTCATGGCAAGCGACCCCCGCTCCCGCCTGTCACTCGAATCGTACCGAAGTGCCGGAGACGGTCCGTACGGCTATCGCCCTGTCTCGCCAACTGACTACAGCACGCCGACGTCAGCGACCTTCTCTACTGGTCAAAGCAGCCCACGATGGGGTTCGGCAATCGCTTCTCCCACCACCACGCACTCCCGGTCTCACAGCATGTACTCTTCTGGCTCACGAACTCCGGGCCGGCGACTCAGCGTGCCGTCCGGCGTCAACCCTTTCCAGTCACCGCACGGCGCACCGGTCAACAGAATTGTCTATGGCAATGGCCCCGTCAACACTTCCAACATGGGAGCCTTCTCCCCCGCCCCCAGCAGCCATCTGGCATCCCCGACAACGCCGACATCCGCATGGTCTGGAAGGAGGGACTCGACCTCGTCTAACGCAGACGAGGCTTGGCGTAGGCGAACTTGGCATCCTGATACAAGGACCTTCAACACCAACACCAGCCACCTCAGCAACGTACTCACTCCCGGTCAAATTCAGCCGAATCCCGCGCCGCCCATCGTCAATGCTCCCAATCCTCAGCAGACGCTTCGGTTGCCTGGCATTGAATCCTTTGATCCCCTGCCATCAAGACAGGTGTCGCCTCCCAAACGGATCCCGTCGCCGATGATGGTCGATGCCGAGGGTACTCACCGCCGCCCCATGCACCCCGGCACCGAAGCTGTCGCTGATGAACGGCGGAACGTGGCTCAATGGGACATGAGCTTGCACCGCGGCCTGACAAGATTGGACATTGCTTCTAACACGACACCTCCGCGCGATAGCGCTGGTGCGTGGGCAAACGAAGTGAACCAGGCAGTGCAGGCACAAGCAGAGCAGGTACGCTTGAACCCGCCGACCGTGAGGTTCGAGGTCGACCCGCCTTCGTATGCCAACTCGGGCGCATTCACCCGCAACCACCAGCACACGATGTCGGCGCCGTCTTTTGCACACAGAGACACCAAACGCCACGGATGGTATCATGGTCCCATGGGAAGCAACGTCCATGGACCTCGCCCGGAAGCGCCTAGCCAAGATCCTCGTGGACCCCACGTTAACCGTATGGTCCATCCCAACATGGGTCACTTTGCTGGATTTCCCGGACGACAGCCTGAGCCGCAGCAAGCCCAGCAGCAACAGCCTGGCAACCCTGACCCTCTGAGACGGTTGGAGGCATTGGTGGCCGTTGCCACGAGCGAGGGAACCACTGCCACCGCGTACTAAGACTCTTTGGTGGACCCTCAACCCACTTCCTACAACATGCCCGCCATGTGCCGAGAGGCAATGGTACATATACGCAACACGACTGACGAATTTCCTTTTTCCTTCCCTGGAATCCATGTCGGCAGAGCTTTCAGTCTCTACACGACATACAGTCGCTTTCTTATCATGATATCCCGTTTTCTATGAATTTGGTGGGCAACTGCATTTTATCTATGGCAGGCGTTGATACATAGCGTTGAATTTATTTTCCTGTCTGTCTGGGTGTCACCACCCTCATCTCAGCTCATCTGGATTACGGTCGACTTTTCCACTTTCTCTTTCTTATCATCTTTCTTTTTCATTTTGATATCCTGCTTCGAAGTTGACGGTTTCCTTTTCAGTTTGCCACCTGGTTTGGTTTACCATTGACGGTTTTTTTCCTTTTCTGGCAGCGATTTCGCAAGTAGAATTTCCCATCTTTGTTTTTTGATTCCCCGTAACGCTTGCTCACGATCAATGAGATACCCACTCATTCCGGGATGATGGATTCAGTGGTGGATAGTAATGTGTCGCTCTCTGAGCGGTTGAGACAGACGGACAGTCGGCCTGCACGCATGTATATGGAAGCAGGCCAAGGAATGGAGGCAAAGGTCGGCGGATATGTGTGTTGACGAGATACCCAAGCTTGGTAACGACCGGCGGCTTTGCTTTATGGGAAGCCTGGTCGATGCTCACAAAGTTGGAAGCGATGGCTCAAGGCCATCACCAAGGATCGGGCGGTATACATGTGTCTGTAGGCGTACAACCGGAAGGAATAACGACGCACATGCTCTCAATGATTATCTTATCTGGAAACTGTTCTCTCTCTCCTGGTGAATGATGTGGTCTAAGAATTTGCTTGTGATGAGGGGAAGCGTGCTAAAGTAGGGCGATGGATGGCCAGCCTTTCATGCATGATGATGTGGTTCATGTAAGCGGTGCTGCAGCTTGTTTGTCAGGCGGCAGCCAATAAAGCAAGTTCAGTGACGACGATCAAGAGATTGAGAGACGCGGGGGGCAAGATTTGATGGATTTGCGCCGAGTTCAAACTTTCATTAGGGGAATAATGACTGACAATCTTCTGAAGATGCCCGTGTACGGGGTACGGATATGTGCAGCCCGGCTCCTTCAGGGGAATGCCGATCATGTCTGCCGAGTTTTTCTTCAGCGGTCAGGCCGTTGGGAGGTGGATCTGAGGGACCGGGGCTGGAAGAATGCCGGTCACGGTCGGTATAAACCCAATTCCACTTCCCTGCTTGACGGGTGGTGGATTCTAACATACTGGAGATATTTCCTGGTTACTCTTGTGTCTTTAGCATTCGGGGTTTTGGACGGGTCCGGGAGTCCGTTGGGGGTATCATTGGCACGTTGGATGAGGAGTGTGACTGAAACTCTGGATGTATTTTGTGCTTTTCATCTAGAGGTGTTATATGAATACCAGGTGACTAACAGGTGTAAGACCAAATGTTGGAAACTCGTCGACTGCAAGTTTTGTTTTTTGAGTAGGGTTTCCGAGGTCGCCAGTGAGACCTGATCTAGGCCATGAACTCCTTTGCTTTGAAGAATTTCATCTGATGGTTTGTTTCGAGGATAGGTTCGGGAGTCGGGCGGAGCGGTAATTGGTACCTAGTTCTTCCTAGTCTGAGCACGGTAACAACGCGGGGCAGAGGAGGAGGAGGAGGAGGAGGAGGAGGAGGAGGGCGGGGAAAATATGAGGAACTTGGGAAACTGGAGAATGGAGAATGGAGTTGTTTGTTAGCTTGACACTTTGGTATCCACAATGTTGCAAGAGACGAACGGGGCCGAGGGATGGGGGATGAATATTTATTACCGATTTGCCTGGTGTTGTCCTCAGTTTCCGTTTTTTGTTAAGAAGCACAGAGACTGGTCTACCCTCTCTTTGTAGACCTCTTCATCTCTTTTCCGACAATAAGACTGATACATTCTGAGCACATCATGTTCTCTAAACCACCAAGTCCTCCGGGCCTCTTTGGGACGACACTCCTCGCCCTCGCCGTCCTCATAACCTCAACCTCCGCATCAGCATCCACATCAGCAAAATGCGACCCTTCAACATTCACATTTCCCGTCATCCCAGGCCTCCAACACATCAAAACAACAGCCGTCCAAATCCACAACTACACCTCTTTCCCAAACCGACTCTCCGAGGCCTCTCTCGCGACAACATCCGCCTCCGCCACCGGTATCCCGCCCTTCTGCAACGTCACGGTATCATACATACACCCAGGCCATGATGACCTGGTCAATGTACACGTCTGGCTTCCCCTCGAGAGGAGCGCGTGGAATGAGCGGTTCATGGGGTTAGGTGGCGGCGGGTTCGTCGTCGGGGAGGTAGACGGCGATGGACCGAGCGCCGCAATCCAAGAAGGCTATGTCGCTGCCGTTACCGACGGCGGACACCTCGCGAGTTCGCCGCCTGATGTATGGGCTTTACGAAGCACGGGGAACATTGATTGGCCGTTGTTGGTCAACTTTGGATACAGAAGTCTTCACGAGCTCGCTGTCGTGGGTAAGGCGGTGCTGAGGGCGTATTATGACGCCGAGGAGAGGTATAGCTACTTCAAGGGATGTTCGACGGGTGGACGGCAGGGGCTGGCGGTTGCGCAGCGGTATCCGGGGGACTTTGACGGGGTGTTGAGTGTTTGTCCGGCCGTGGAGTTCCCTGCTATGGTGACATCGTTGTATTTTCCGCAGTTGGTTATGCGGTGGAGGGGGTACTGGCCTTCTGGGTGTGAGCTGGGGGAGATTGTGAAGGCTGGTGTTGAGGCGTGTGATTTGAGTGATGGGAGGAGGGATGGTGTTATTGGACGGTTGGGGGAGTGTGGGTTTGATGTGGGGACGGCGGAGGGGAGGGAGTTTGTGTGCGAGGATGGGAGGAAGGGGAGGGTTTCGAGGGAGGCGGTTGAGGTTGTTGAGGAGGTTGTGAGGGGGGTGCTGGATGAGGAGGGGAGAGAGATGTTTCCGAGTTATGTGCCTGGGACACAGTTTGCTGGGTTGCTTGCTATGATGAACAGTGTCTGCGAGGACGGGACGGATCGAACAAGGTGTGCAGGTGTGCCGTTCTCCGTGACGGATGAATGGATCCGGCTGTTCATCGAGAAGGATCCGGCGTTTGACCCGACGTCGATGTCGAGGGAGACTTTCCGGGATATTTTCCGGCGTGGCGTGGAGGAGTACGATTCCGTCATTGGGACGCCTATCCCGGATATGAGAAGATTCAGGGAGCGCGGGGGGAAGGTACTCATGTGGCATGGCATGGCGGACCAGGCTATCTCGATCAAGGTCGGAAGGGGACTGTATGAGAAGGCCAAGGGGATCGAGGCGAAGCGGGGGTTCGAGATTGAGGCGTTTTGGAGGTATTTTGAGGTTCCTGGGGTGAATCACTGCGTTTCGATGTATGGAGCGCCGTTTCCCTGGAGTGCGTTGGAGAAGTTGAGGGCGTGGGTTGAGAAGGGTGTTGCGCCAGAGCAGTTGGATGCGAGGGGGTTCAAGATTGGAGAGGATGGGAGGGTTATTGTCGATGAGGAGGTTAGGAGGATTTGTCTTTATCCCGAGGAAGGGGTTTGGAATGGGAAGAAGTGGGTTTGTGTTAAGCCTGGCCAGAAGGTTGATGTGTTGAAGGAAAAGGAGGAGCTTTGAGTCAGGGGTTGTGGGATGCTTGCTTGAAGGCATTTAACAACGTAATGACACCCATTGGTTGTTCATAATCCGGCCATAAAATTTATACATGATATATACACACAGAAGTCTACTCCGCCTCACTTCCATCTTCTGAAAGGATGCGCCTCAGTATTAAACACAAACTCGTCCAGACTCACTAACCCAGGCTCACTAAAGATGAGATAGAAGTACTTCAACGTCTCCCCCATCCAAAACGACTCCATCGAGTCCGACTGCGGAGGCTTTCCGTCGGCTGTGACATCCCACACCGCCGTGTTCGCCAGCTCCGTGCTCGTGGCATTGTCAATGGACGAAAACATGTCCCACGCGGAGTCTAACAAGCTTGCATCGGCCGTGGTGCGGTACATGATGAAAACGCTCTCGATTGCTTCTGGCCGGAGAATGTAGCGCCGGTCCGGAACGGCGGAGAATCCTGGAACAAGGCGGTCCTTCTTGATGATTTCGTCTGCTGTGAGGACCTCGTCATCATCCTTTCCCTCTGCCCGTTCGAGGACGTGCTTCTTGTAGAGGGCTTCATCCCATTTGCATTCTTGCTTGGAGGGGCAGGGTACCATGTAAAACGTCTCCGGCATGATGCCGTGCGGAAAGGACTTGTAAGCATACACGCACCCGTCGACGAGTTTCCTTGCCACAGCTACTTCATCAGGGTGGTTAAACAGCTTCCCACCAAGGGCAAGAAGCCCGCCCATGAAGCAGACAAGGTGCTGGCCCTGCGGCTCCTGCTCAATAGTACGTACGCCGTTGGATTCGCGCGAGTGTGCCTGCCCCGCGATGAGGATATCTTCGTTGGTTGGCGTCATGGGCCGGAAGAGGTTATGCTCGATGGCGGGGTTCACGGCGGCTTCGTACATGGACTTGTACATTCCGCTGCGTCCGCCAACGAGGGCGGACATTTTGGGGAGGTATTCGTAGAGGGAATCGGCCATGGCGCCGAGGGTGAAGTCCTCTCCCTGGTTGAAGACTTCGTCTTTGGGGTTCACGACGAGGGGCCAGAGACCCGGGATATTGGTTTTGTTTTGCTGCCGTTCGAAGATTTTCATGATGCGTTGGGTCGCATCCCAGAACTTGGGGTCGCCTGTTAGTATTGAGAGGCGTGTGAATTCCATTGACAGGCTTCCTATCTCCGCTACCAGGGCACCGTTACCGACGTCCTGGGCGTCACCGCGCGCGGCTTCGCCTACTTTCCAGCGGGTGATGGGCATGCGGTTCGGCGTGTCAAAGGCCTTGTAGAGCATCTCGCCGACCTCGGCAGCCTTGCGGAGGAGGCGGACGTCGCCTGACAGGTCAAAAGCTGAGAGGAAGCCGCCCAGATACCGGATAGTCGTCTCAAAGACGTTGATGTCTTCGAGGTCAGTGTGCGTAAAGTCGATCGTCACCGCAGCGGTGACGGCCTCGTCGAAGTCGGACTTCATGTCCATGATCCAGAGGGTATCGAGGGAGTCCACGAGGGTCGCGGCCCAGCCTCCAAACGTGTTGCGCCGGCCGCCTGATACGGGTGTCAGTTCGTCTGAGAGCCAGGCGTGTCTCCGGTACGACGACCAGGCTTTTTGAAAGGCCTTTTTGACGGTCTGTTGGCGTTCCTCGCGAACGCGGCGTTGGGTGCTCGTTTCGGGCGGGAAGTGGGCTTGGACTTGGGGGAAGCGGACGGAGGGGACGGCGGGGAGCTGGCGGAGAGGCTCCGGGGCCGGGTGGTGGACTTTGACGGTCCGCCAGAAGTATGTTTCGTCTTGTTCTGTCATCCATTCTATCGGTTTTGGCGGGATGGCCGATGATGAAGAGGATGTTGGGAACGTCGGTAGACCGCCGTCATTGTGCCATAGGAGAAGGAGGAGGAGAGAGACGGGGAGGCCTAGGAGGACGATGCCTGGCATTTTTCGCCTTGCCAGGAGCATCTTCTCTTTGTGTGGTTTTGGGAGTATTTAGGCTTGTCACTCTCCGGTCAGGATACACACGTGTCAAACGTGAATATCGCGTCGTGGAAAGTGAGAAACGGGAAACGCGCGAAGGAAGGCGAAAGAGAGAGAAAGAGAGTGAGAAACCAAGACTGTTGCCGTTTTCTCTGCTTCGCGCCTAGGATCTGGCGGTCGTTTACGTATTTTGGACTACGGCCCGGCCGGATTTCTGTCCTTATCAACCCCCGTCTGTGAGTTGTTGGTGGGTAACTTGCAATGGGCCTCAGGGGTTGCGGGCTTGTTTGCTCGTTTATCTCCCTCTTCTTTATTTTTGTTGTTCCCCCGTTTGCTGTGCCGCCTGAGGAGGCAGAGGTAGAAGAGGGGGGCGGGAAGTCGGGCGCTTAAGAATTTTGGGTTGCTGCGCGGGCGACGCCCCTGGGCAGTCGTTCTCAATGCGTATGCATGTGAGGTCTGTTGGTTTGCGCACTGGTTGTGATCCTTGTCGTTCACATCTTGGCGGTTGATCGCAACCAGTTTGAAGCGGAAGAGTGGATGGTCTGAGGGCTCAGAGAGGGACGCAAAGCAGACGCATCTCCCGCGCAGCTCTGTGTGCATGCAATCCGTACGGTATGGTGCGTTTAAGCGATCAAGGTCGCGCAGTAACTCTTGTGATTCGGCTATATGACCACTTTGGCTCGTTGCAGCGTCGACTTTTGTCTGTTGGATCAGGGATCATGGGTAGCTCGGTCTGGGCATGGCGAGTGCCGTTGCGCCATTTGGCACGCCTTGCTTCAACTGCGGGCCTCCGGTCTTGATGGCCGGAGAGGAGAGTCAAATCCAAGTGAGTGGGATGATGACTCCATGTCGAGTCGAGCCAGGTTCGAGAGGTACAGTACCCGGGCCTCACGGCGTGAGAAGCCTCAATGGCCCACGATAAAAGGTTGAATGGCGACCACATCAGAGACCCCTCGAGGCTAATTGCTGCACAGTAGTGACGCGCGCTCAAAGCGCCCAGTCTATCTTCGCTCAATATGCAGCTTAACGCCGGGCAAAAGCATCTAAGTGGTCGTACCGTTGCGTCGGAACGGAAAGCCCGCTTGTGGCTTTGTGTCATTGGTTGAGTTTCTTACTAGCTTCGTTATATAGACATGGGGGTTTGTCTTGGCTATCCTATCACAGCAGATGAGACTGTCGGCTTTTCATGCTGGGACCTGAACCAACGGACGGGTCTACATATTGGAGAGACACTGTGTCGGCAGGTGGCAGAAGGACTGTGCCAAAGAGTGTACGATGCCTCCGACCATCGAGGCTGTTTTAGAGTTGACCAGATTCTGTTGCAGGAGGCTGAAAAGGGTTGGGCGTACCGGCCTGTTGTGGTTTGATGTGAGTGTCTGAGGCAGGCGGCGCAACCCGTGGAGTTGGAGTTGCGGTGGGAGTTGTGGCAAGTAAGAAAGAGTTGATAACTTGCTGGTGCCTCTCTGCAACCCTCTTGTCACATTCCAGGTGTTCGCCTGCCTCTCCCTTGGGAAAGTTTCTCTATTGTGCAGTGCCTTCCAGGAACATCAAATCGTCAAGTTCAGTCTGGAACCTGGAGTTCCGGGTTGACAAGAGCAACAGCATCATGGCATCTTTTCTGTTCTTATTTCTCCTTATCCTCAACGTTCTCCCCCATGTGGCACGAGTGAGGGCCGCCTGCTACTACCCAGACGGCAGCATCGCCCCCAACGATACACCATGCCAGGACCTCACGGCCGAGTCGACGTGCTGCGGACAGGGCTACGCGTGCCTCTCCAACGGTATGTGCCAGGCGACGGGGAAAGAGTTGTCCAAAGACGGAGCCACAGAACTCGTGAGGGGCGCGTGTACTGACCGATCCTGGCGGAGTTCGAGTTGTCCTCTGTTCTGCATCAACCCGGAGACGGATAACGTGGCGGGTGGGATCGGGATTGCAAAGTGTGACGGGACGGTGGAGGAGTTGTACTATTGTATCAACTCGGTTATGAATACGGTCAACTGCACCGCCAAAAAGAATGTCTTATTCTTCCAGCGTAAGCCATCTGTCTTTGTCTACCACCTGTACCTCGTACTCTTCAACTCGGCGCAATTCTTTGGGTAAAGTTCTGACCAATTCATCATCGCAGAATCACCCACTGCCATCACAACAGTTGGCGTGGCAGCTACACCAACTCCATCATCATCGTCAATAACATCATTGTTAATAGCAACAACCGCTATCATCGCCTCTTCTGCAAACCCTTCAAGCGCACCAAACCCGAGCTCGGTAGCCCTAAGCAGCGCAACTCGAAGTCCACAAAGTAGCCCTACAAGTAATCCCGAACCCAGCCCCAATGCGGAGACGGAAGTAACAAATGACAAGACTGTCATAATCGGCGCAGCTGTCGGTGCTTCCATAGGCGGTCTTGCGCTTGGGGTCCTGGCGGCCTGGCTGTTCATCTGCCTCCGTCGACGGAAGCGCCGCGCCCGAGAGGAGGCCGCTGCCAACGCCCAGGCACAAGTGGAACATTATACACCAGGGCCGCCGCATGCCAAATACGTCAGTCCGCCTGTGTTTGATCAGGTTTACGAGGCGCCCAATGAGTGGAAACCTCCGTTGGTTTCGGATCATTTTGCTCCTCAAGAGCTGCCGGCGTGGCAACCGGAGCCTCGGAGAAGCTGAAATGCCATAAATCGAGGGTATGACTTTTCTATATCTTCACCTTATGATAGCATGTAATGATACCCCAGTCGGCTTTGGCTACTAGGGAGATAGAAGCGCGTCTTAGCATGGTCGGTGGCATATTCTATTTCACGAGTTGAGCGTGTTGGAGGTCTGGATGATTCTAATTTTGTCGTGTTTATGTACTTTTATAACTATAATCAATACAAACAAGAAAAGGTCCTATGACTAAAGTAGGAGGGTATCAATAGCATTCTTCCGCTCAGTACCAAAGAGCCTTGTTCCAGAACTTGGCCTGGGCATTCGCCAGGTCGTCCTCCTCAAGGTAAAAGGTGGTGTTGAAGACGAGCTGGGTGCCGGCAGCAGAGCTGTTGCCGTACTGGGGCCACTCGATCTTGTCCTCGGGCCACATGGTGTTGGGGTTGCCGGTCAGGACGAAGGACATGAGGTACTTCTGCATCATGACGGCGACGGTGGCGTTGACGGAGGTAGAGCCACCGCCGGGTCCGCCGGCACCGCCGGAGGGGGGGCCACCAGCGCTGGAGGAAGCAGTCGCCGAAGCGGCGACGGAGGTCGCGGTCGAGTTTGAGGCGGTGGAGTTGGATGTGGCGGTGCCTGTGCTGGAGGTGGAGTCGGAGAGAGAGTAGGTGCTGTACCCTGTTTGATGTGTTAGGTGATATGTAACACGTAGAATGAGAGGGGAAATAAGCTTACAGTAGTAGCTCTGGTCAGTGCCATGAGTGGCTTGGTCAAGGGCAACCATGGCGTTCCAGGTCTGGTTGTTCATGGCGTGGGTCAGGGCCAGGTTGTGGGCAGTCAGATCAAAGTGCTGCTTCATGTCGGAGAAGCGCAGACCAGGGGAGGTGTAGTCATCCTCGGGGTAAAGTGACAGAATCTCGTCAACAACGGCATCGTTGATGGCGGGAAAAAAGATGCGGAGGTAAGCAGCAACATCCTCAGTGGTGTTCACGCCGTCGTAGGCCTGGCCGTTAGCCTCGTGCTGCTCGTGAGTGATGACGACGGGGCCGGAGAAGTTGAAGCGGCGCTGGTAGAACTGGGCCTCGTAGGTGTCGGCGATGATGTCGCCGTCGACGCGGGGCTGGAATTGGTAGTCATATGCGTCCTGGACCGTGGTGGCGGCCGTGTTGAGGGTGTCGAAGTCGATGGAGCGCATGCACTCGAGGCTGCCGCCGGAGCAGCCGGCCTCGGTGGAGACGTTTTGCCAAAAGGCTTCGGCGTGCTGGTGGCCGGCGCCGGGAACAAAGCCGGGAGACATGACGTATGCGCGGTTGTAGAGCTGCTCGGCGTGGCCGGCGAAGCGCTTCACGGGGGTCAGCTTAGATGCCTGGTGATGAGTTCAAGACGAGTACTTACAGTCATCTGGAAGAGGGTCTGGGAGCCACCAGCAGAGAAACCCACGGCGGTGACATCGTCGGGGTTACCTCCAAAGTTACTAATATACTTCTTGGTCCACTCGAAAGCGGCCGTGACGTCCCAGATTGCGGTGTTGGAGGTACCACCCTCGTGCAAGAAGGTAGGGCCGTTGGCGAGGCCAGTCATACCGAGACGGTAGTTGTACGCGACGTAGACGAAGTCGGTGGAAAGGTCAAAGAGACCCTCAGGGGTGTTCTCGGACTTGCTTCCGCCAGTGAAGCCACCGCCGTAGGTCCACACCATGACGGGGAGATTTTTGCCCGCAGCATCGGCGGGCGCCCAAACATCGACGTAAAGGCAGTCCTCAGCGGAGCTACAGGCGACATCGGCCGAGGCCAGGTCACCGGTGTTGACTTCCGTCTCGACGGGAGGCGCTTGCGGCTTGGCCCATCGGAGATCGCTGGTGGGAACGGCGGCGTAGCGAATGTTCTGGTACTTGTAGTAGCCGACGGACTCGTTGCCGGCTGTGGCGACGACGGTGCAGTAGTCGAGAGTTACGGACGGGAGGGATCCGGGGCCGGAGGTTGCTGTGGGCGCCGGGGCGGTGGTCTGGGCCGCGGCCGAAGCTGCCATCAGCAGGCAGGTGTTTGTGAACTTCATCTTGTTTTCGAGCTTTGAAGCGAAGGTGAGTAGCGATCGGGAGGTGTTGTTGGTTTGCGATGCTCCTCAAAAGCCTTTCCGCTTCAGGGCCAATATCGTGGGCTGTTTATATAGAAGCAAGCGTCCAACTGCAACTCCCTTTCTCAATCGAACTTTTCACCAAGACGGTGATCGCCGTGCTAGCCGGTGAGAAGGACGCGTCCTCCGAACCGGGTGACGTTGTTCACCTCTGAGCCTCATTTGCAAATCGTCATGCCAGCCCCTCGGGAAACCCAACATTAAGGGTCATTTCGACAAACAAGCGTCGTGGGGAAAATCTTTGGGTCTCCGAGGTTTGTTTTTAGAAGGTTAAACAAATGCACAATTGGCCGATTTGGCTCGCAACAGCCCCACCGAGAGGGCCTTATTAGTGGGATGAACTCTTAGTGTGGCTCATGTTCATGAATCGTCTGCGCGGCTTCGCCATCCCATGGCTTTAGCGCAAGGAACTTGCCGTCCCCTTTACCTCGATTTTGACTTTTTTGAGTCCACACGTCTAAACGCGTCCTCGGCGACCTTTCCTTTTCCCCAGGGTCAGGATTCGAGAAGGGTTTTTAGTCCTTGGGGGCGGCGAAGGTTGAAGCTTGACGCGCCGATCTTCAGCCCAGCCAAGCCAGGCGGAGTGTGGGAGGTGGGGTTGAAGCGAGGAGACGGCCCGGAACTAATATCGAGATCATCTCTGATCCCATCAGTGATCATACTCTACCCACTTCCCGAGTTGCGATGAAAAACATGGATCTGATAACTGGGTATCAATCTTCGGATCTCCCGACAAAAGTGCTCATATCTTGATGGTTTAGGGAGGTCTTACCCAGTCACCCTTCGCTCCTTTTTATTCCTCGATAGATTGAACCGGTCGTCAAGATGCATAATTGCTGACAGTGGCCAATCGCGAAAGCGAAACTAAGATTCTTCCAGCTTCTAGTCTTAGCCTTGGCCTTCAGAATCCTCAAAGTCGATACACCATCTAGCTCAAGATATCATTCCTGCCCAGTAGCTTCTCAATGACTGGCTCATTGAAACCACGATCCCTCTCAACCATTAGCCAATTTTCATCAACTCATGTTAAGACAATCTCTTTAGCGACCACAACCACGAAGTCTAGCCACATCCGTTTCGCCACATATTCCATGGATATCAGGCAACTGGGACATGGCTTCTGACTGATCACAATCTCTGCCTTGGTGAGCGTCTCCATGTGCTGGTAGTGGAACAAGATACCAAGCCTGATCTGTCTGTCGCGATCATCCTCGTTCTCAATAAACAGCTGATGTTTATGCGCGACGAAGCAAAGCAACTGAGCTATAACGTGACTGGCGTGGTACAAGCCCCTCGCGGAGCCAGGGTCTAACTCGTGTTCCTCGAAGGTGAACCCGATTCTCTTCGCAAAGCTCAGCGTCTTATGAGCCCAGTAATTGGAGTCCAGTCTGCTATAGTCGTCGCCACCCAACGGGGACTGGTAGCCACCACCGGTCCAACCGCCAACAGCAACGACTGGCTCAAAGGGCCTGCCTCGGAGAAGAACCCCTATCGTCTGATTCTGTCGCGCGATTGGGATGCCTCGTTTCGGATTTATCAAGAGAGCAGTCTTCGCGACTAACGATTTGACAAACCGGGGTTGGAACGAATTGGCGAGTTCGGACTTGGCGACTTGGGCTTGTAAAGGAGGCGCAACTCCGAGAAGTGCCCTTATATGTCTTCGACGACTCTTTGATTCGAATGGTTTCTCCGCGTAGTCGACATGTCGATACTACCTCTCCTCGTCGTTTCTGTCATTCTCCTCGGCAAAGTCTGCAGCGACTCTCCCATCTCGGTCTTTCTGTGACGCACTCGCGCCGGCACCGAGGAGTATCCCGACTAATTCGACCCGAGTCCAGAGGGCAGCCTCCATCAGGGGTGTACGGCCTCGGTATCCCCCGCATTGACGTCTGCGCCTAATCGTAAGAGCTCCTGAACATTTGTGCGATTGTCATGAGCTACCTCCAAAGAGAGCCTCGAAGAGCCTAGAGTTCCCTCAATGCGTAGGTCGTGGTTGAAGTGAGGGCAAGTCGCGTAGTCGTGAACACACCCCCAACGATCCCCCTTTCCATTTGCTCCTGTCTTAAACTTGAGCGAGTCTCTTGTCAGGGCGGAGCTCATGCGGCTTTCTTCTCCATCATTTCCGGAAGGAAAAGCATGGTCTTTGATGCTGATATTCTCAAAGTGATCTCTCGGGCTGCTACGGTGATTTAAATGGTTGGGCTGAGGCAGAGCATTGAGTTCGGACTTCCTGAAGCCAACCGTTATAAAGTACTCAAATTGTGAGTCTTCATTCTTTTCGGAAGTAGATGTCCTGATCTCCCAAGATAGCCTTTCTACAGCATCGTGCTTCTCAAAAGGAAAGATGAGCCTATATGTGTAGCCGGCGGTATGGCATGGTGCGACAAAGAACCACATCGCCGCAGGCTCTAACCCTCGGAAAGTGTATGGACTATTCGATCTACGCTGAAGTTCTCTCTCATCACCGCTCGGAAAGAAGCTGATTGGATGCTCATGAGGTTGCTCGCAGAGAGGGCATTCAGCGAGTGCTCGTGCCGTATCCCATCGTAAGACTCTTGCAATGGCCCGAGAGCCGTTTAGTCGTTGGAACTTTGAAGCCAACGATGATGATGGAATCGTCGAATCTTGTGTAGTCGAGGCCATTTCAAGGAGTGATGATTTGCGTTTGTGCGGGCTGAGGGCTGAACAATGACGTGCACCGCGAGAATTACGGGAAGAGGGAATGAAAGACTGGAGATCCAGAAATCTCAATTCTCAAGCCTGTTTCAATCTCGATGACATGTTTCAATGTCCGAGTAACGGTTTTGGGCTGAGTCAAATATTGAAGCTTCGTAAACGATTAATCCGACATTGGGACCAATCAAACATGATGGTTAACCTCGCACTATGACGGCGAGCTTACTTCTCATCATGGTCTTTCCCCGTACTCCGTAATAGATTTTGAGTTTTTGAGACCTGTGTCAAGTGCTTATCAGCAATGAAATGGGAAGTTTGTAATTGATGACTTCTTTAACCTTGGACAGTGACTCGGGCTAGTTGTTCGTCATACCGAATACGAGCATCCAGAACACAGCTATTGCTATGATTTAATATGGCCACTCAACATAGTCTCATTACGTTATCATTATCAGGAGTATGCACAATAGTATCATTGAAGATTCAAGAATCAGGGCCCAATGTTATAGCGTCATAGTGGAGAAGTTGCGAAGTCTCAATGAAGCCTGAAGCATCTTCTGAATGGAAACTCTAGGGTCTCTATGGAGCAGAGAGACAATTGAGAATCGAGGTCACAAGTGACTATCCCTATAACTGGTCCCAAGCATCGTTTACTGCGAGCCTCCTTCAATCTGGGTTATGGCTAATGATGTATCCAGCGCTTCTGCTTAATACAGTCCCATTCCGAGGTTTATTTGCCACTGAAGATTTAAGTCTCGCCATTCACAGTAACTACAAGAAGGCTAGTGAGGTGAGAGATAGGTTGGAGAGACTTCTCGACCACTGGAATTATCTCAGTCTTAGATGTTTCTACTGTGCGTGATGCGGCTAGCGAACATATCCCCATGTCTAATATACTGACAGATATGTCGTTTCGAAAACAAAAGATAATAGAATGTATCCTAGAGACTTACATATCGCTCCAAGATCAAAAGGGAGTCCTCGAAGGGGAATTCTTCAAATTCAACAACGAGGAAACATCCTCCTCACTAGACTATCGCTGGTATCGGGAATGGATGGATGTGATCATCCATAGACAGTTACGAGGTTGGCGACAGTTGATATACACGTCAGCGGGGCACCACTTTTCGGCTGGTTCAAAGCTCTATAATCTGGTATTGAACTGCAAGTTTTGGTATGTGAAAGAAACGAGAAGCGGGCGAAGCCCATGGATTCCTCCGAGATGGGAATAGGTGGCGGAAGAGCCGTTTCCAACGGCCCCGACCACTTTCCATGTGGACCCTTTTCTGTCGATATTCCAACAACGACAATGGACACAAGTCGCCTCGTATTGGTCTGCCTGTGATGCGTAGACGTTACTAAGTGTGACATTGCAGTTGCTATGGTCTGCTCGTATCAAATCATTGAGGGATGGTCTTGTTCTAAATATTGATGATACGCGATTGAACCCAAACCCATTTGACTCCAGTCTCAGGCGCCTCCGTCTTTGAAGTTCACATCATGTTCATGCGATGTTGACGATCAGAAGTTAGGCACAAGTAGCTCGTTGCTAGCGTACCTTACTTTCGGGATCCGCTTCTCGCCCTTCAGGGCGTTCTAGCCCGCGGAAACGCTAACTTCGCGCTCACACGAAGTGTCTCCCATAACCATGGTGGAGGTGTTCAAATAGTGCCTGACCCATCCTTCCTGAAATGGCCCTCTATGGACCCTCCAAACTTCACGACAAGCCACGAATTCACGCACCTCACATAAGGCAGCTGCCAAACCCCCTCGTCCTGGAAATACTTTTTCGAATTTTCATTTCTGCCCAATCTTTCTGTCGCAAGCAGAAATCCAAGACTCAGTGTGGGGACTGGCGACTCCCTTGGCTCACAAGGGCTAGTCTAGCTTCCATGTCTTAGTATCAAAATGGCAAAGTCAGCTCGACAAGGGTCAGGATGCCGGAATACCGGAAATATCTAGCCAGATAGATTAAAAATGGTAGAGCTAATGATAACGATTCCAAGGCTAATTACCCCACAAAATGAAGAAAAACTGCCACAAAATGAGACCGGTGTCTCACCCGAGCTTCAACGGCTTTCTGACTCGGACCAACGACAGGCCACTGACCAGCAAACTGACGCATCCACGCATTATTTAGCCCCCATTACCCATTACTACAACCGTACAACTCCCTCACAGCGAAATTGTCTCTTCTCTTCTACTTCCTTCGATATTATCCACATTTCTCAAGGAACATTCACCTCGACTAGCAGATGAAGAATCCCTCTACAGCCAAGAGAATGAAGACCAGGAACATCTTGGTAACTGAGAGAGACGAAGCTGCTTGAGATCCAGTCGAGGCCGAGACCTGAACAGGCGTCTGGGATTGCACACTTTGACTCGTCTGCGAAGGGGCGTTTGCTGAGGTGTTTCCAGTGATTGTCGACAAAGAACTATCTGTCTGCAGTGGGGCACTTCCACTCTGAGAAGTCAGCGTGATGGGAATCACGGTTGTGATGGTGATTGGCTCTACACCGCCGACCTCAGTGGATGCTGTTTCCAGAGGCGATGAACTCTGGCCGCGAGTTTCGGAGCCCTGAGAGGCAGAGCTGGCAGCATTGGCATTGAAGCTTCCAGATTTGGTTGATGCAGACGGCGACGACGGTGCAGGTTGCTCTCCCACCCCTGACTGTGGGACTTCAGGCGTAGCGGAGGAGGTAGGGAGGATCGCACTCGGGGTAGAAAGCCCGAGAGTAACGATGAAGGTTTCTTTGGGCAAGGCGGTGTTGTTGCTCCACGGGGAGGCTCCATGAGGCGTCTCGGAAATCCCAGGGGCAGACGCCGGGGGAGAGCCGGGAGAGCCGGTAGGGATTGCCGTATGAGAGGCATCTGAGCTTGAACTCTCGGTGTAGGTACTGACAGTAACTGTCTGCACTGGAGAGACAACAGTGACGGTGATAGGCACAGCAGAGCTGACGATCGCGCCACAACCATCGTCTCTAGGGCCAAGATGAGGGGCCGCAAGGGCAAATCCAACAAACAAGGACAAGAGCTGCGGCTGCATTTTGATGTGAAGCAAGGAGGGCAATCAAAGAGATAGAATTTCGGCAAAGGAATGAAGAGACAATGTAAGGTAGGTTGTTGAGACTTGGGACTGATGAATCTGAATGGCCTCAGAATGTGTTTGGATATGACAGTCTATATAGGCTGCCATACGTGATCATTGTTGTTTTCCCTTATCAACAGCCCAAAGCGGACAACTTCTTTAGCAATCAAAAATTGTCTGTATCCGGCTCTCGATGGTTCTGCAGCCAACGGGACCTAGCCGACGATATCTTGTGATGTTTCTTTGCACTTTGACTCCATTCCGACTGCGTAAGATTTGACGGACTGGGAAAGGTCAACGTTTGCAATTGACAGCAATCCTAGAACTTTCGAGCGGGGAATGGCCTGAGAGATCCGACTCAAAACTCTTTTGTCCATATAGAGACCTCAACGTAGATGGGATGAAGTGAATATTGTGACATCGCGTCAGAGGTGAGGTATTATTTTGGAGCTCAAGCGCCGCAAGTGGTGTTCTAGACCGTTTTCAAACAGAAATGAGGATCTTCGTCTTGGACCCTTCTCTTCGTAGCTGGATGTCGAATGATTGGTGTTCTTGGTGGTGGAGTGATGCTCAGCCGGGATGATGCTAGGGAGGACGGAGCAATCCTTGTGTCTCTCAATTTCAGCTTCGATGTTGGCCCACAACATACTCGCCCGTCGGCAACTACGGCCGGTACTGGACAACGTACCGCGCTGTTATTGGATATTGGAAAAACATCGACCCAAGAGGGAAAGTGTGAGATATGACACCGAGGGCTGAGAATAAGACGTCAAGCTGTAGAAGTCGAGATCATGCTGTTTTCATCATTTAGAAGCGCGTCTAGACTCAGAGCATGCACGTTCTTGGTCCCTGGTTTGCAAGGGCGGGGTTCCCGTATCACTCGTACGATGTGTAGAATTCTGTAGATTCCTATTCTCTAGCCGAGATGCTCTGAATAGTTTGCTTGGCTACAGTGGCAGCTGAGTGTAGTTCTCCGCATGCGTTCCAGTTCAATCATTTTCGACGTTACGGCTTGACAAGACGGAATGCAACGGATAAGAAAGACTGAGTAAGTTCTATTCAGTATCAGCTACACGGTTGCATGATTGCTGTCTTGATATTCACATATAAACTACATGAAATCTTCGAGCTGATTGAGAATAATACCATCGCTATCTTCTCTTTTGCATCTTGTCATTCACTTGAACCCCTTCAATTTCAGCAAACACTTTCTTCACCTCTTTTCCTGCAATGCGCGCCTCACGGAAAACAGCGCTTGCCACTGCCCTGGCTTCGGCTCTGGCCCCGGAGCTTGCGTCGGCTACCTCTAGCTGCCTGGCTCCCACTGGAGACCCAGTGACTGTCCAGGCCTACGTAATGGTCAAGCAGATCCCTGTTCATCTTAGCGCCGATATTTGTTCCAACACGACGTTGAGTGTTGCCGGCACTGTCTTGTCCATCACCAACGCTCCGACTTTCCTTGTGTCGGACTTTGTGGTCACCAGTACCATTACTCACACCTCTACTGTGTAAGCCTATTCATGGTCTTCCCCTATCATTACTTCCTTGGACCATACTAACGCTTGGTTTGCCTCAGAAACTATGTCTCTACATTCGATGGTCCCTACGCTACACTTACTGCTCATGGCGGCCCTGATTCTGAGCCTACCACCATCGTCATCCCCCCTAAGGCTGGCGATGAGGTCGGAACAAAGATCATCTGTACTCCTGCGGCCACGGACAATGATGCCTTCTCTGGGCCCTACACGACTATTACTGCAGGTCAGTGGTCTGGTCAGGGCACCAAGACCCTGACTTTGGCCCCGGCTGGGGGTGATCCGACAGGCACCGTCATTGTTTTCGGTCCCGAGTCATCTGGACAGGTTGGCGCTCTGGGTGTCTTTACGGGGCCCTACACCACGCTCACCGAGGCCTGGGCGGGAAGCACCGCAACGACTGTCACTCTTCCACCCCGTGGTACCGATAAGACAGGCACTCAGATTGTTCTAAGCCCTACTGCCGCACCGGCTCTCTTCACCGGGCCTTACACGACGATCACGGGGACCTGGACTGGACTCCAGCCAACAACCTTGTCTCTAGCGCCTGAGGGAAGTGACCCAACTGGAACTGCCATTGTCTTCTTGCCGACATCCGCGGGCTTGAGCTCCTTCACTGGCCCTTACACCACCGTGACCGGAGCCTGGACTGGCGCAGTTCCTACGACCGCCTACCTCCCACCTCAGGGTACCGATCAAGTCGGAACTGAAATTGTGTTGACGCCTACCTCCTCCCCAACAACTACCCCCTTCACCGGGCCATACACAACCATCTTTGGTCCCTGGACTGGAACAGTTCCAACCACTGCCATCCTCGCGCCTCAAGGAACCGACCAGGTCGGAACTCAAATCGTCTTGACACCCACTTCTGTGACTGGCTCCTTCACTGGGCCATACACGACTCTGACTGGCCCCTGGACCGGGACTATTCCCACCACGGTGACCCTAGCTCCGGCTGGAACAGACGCCACCGGAACTCAAATTGTTCTCGTTCCCACAACCGCTGCTACATCTTTCACTGGTCCTTACACAACTCTGACTGGACCATGGACTGGTACTATTCCGACTACAGTTACGCTTGCTCCGTCTGGAACCGATGCCACTGGAACCCAGCTCGTGCTTCTTCCCAACACCGCTGAGACTCCCTTCACGGGCCCTTACACAACTATCAGCGGTCCTTGGACTGGCACTGTCGCCTCCACGCTTTCCATCGCTCCTACTGGCACTGCTACTGTTGGAACCGTCATCATCTTCACTCCAGCTGACCCTACGACTTCTGCAAGTGCCAGTTCTGGAGCTTCAAGCACAACTCCGTCTCCGTCGTCAGCTACCTCATCTGACCCAGCCACGAACTCCAGTGAGACGTCCACTTCTGCGAGCTCAACCTCTGTCATAGAAACCACTACCTCTACGGACCCGAGCAGTTCCTCGCAAACTTCTTCGAGCGTTACTTCTAGCTCCTCAGAGTCCTCTACCGCCCCCTCTCCGTCTTCTGAATCGTCAAGCTCAACCTCTACCGACCCTAGCAGTTCCATCTCGTCTTCATCTACCACTTCGACTGAGCCTGCTACATCTTCATCTTCCTCAAGCACAAGCTCTGAGGCCTCAAGCGCAACTCCTTCTTCATCTAGCTCATCAACCGAGTCCTCCTCGAGCGCGACTTCGTCCTCATCTAGCTCGTCAAGCTCATCCTCGTCCTCGTCTAGCTCGTCATCTGAGTCTTCCTCTAGCACGCTGACGGGAACTCCAACAACCACAACCTCGCAGAGCTCCACAGTTTCTGCATGCGTCGTGACGGCAACAAGCACCTTAGAATACTGCAACGTTGCCTTGCCCGGAGCCTGTGCCTCACTCTCCACCACCAGCGGTCTCGCTCTCGTGCCGGTTGTGGCATCTTGCACCGTGGCCCTTGGTCCATATGCAGTAGGGAACGTTGCGACATGTCTTGCAACCAACGTGGGTCTCACTACCGCTGGCTCGGACATCGCAAGCTGCATTCTCACCGCTCTCGAAGGGCGTTGTATTTCCACCCTGCCGACAGCGTGTACTGATCTGGCGTCGTCCAACGGTCTGGCTCTCGTCGCAGATGTGGCCCAGTGTACCATTGCCCTTGGTCCCTTCGCCGCTGGTAGTGCCGCGACCTGTCTTGCAACGGGAACCATCACGGCATCTACTACGGGCACGAGCATCATTCAGTGTCTCGAAATTGCCTTTGGCCTCCAATCTGGCGTGGTCACAATCACCAACTCTGCCTACTGCCCGACTGCCACTGCGGCCCCTACGCCTTCAGTCTGCGCCACGGTCCCTGAGCCTTGCCAGAGTCTCGCCTCTGTCAACGGCATCGCCCTTATTGCGGCAATTCCGGTGTGTACGGCAGCTCTTGGCGCTTACGGCGTTGGAAACGCGGCAACCTGTCTTGCTACCGATGTCATTGGCCCTCTGAGTGTTGGACAGGACATTGTGACCTGCCTGACGACTGCTCTCAGTACGCAATGTATCTCGACTTTGCCCGAGCCTTGTCTCGCCTTGGCAGGTGATACTGCAGCGGAGCTGGTCGTCGATCTGCCGTTGTGCACAGCTGCCCTTGGTCCATTCGCTGTTGGAGCTGCACTTACTTGCTTGTCCTCGACTGCTACCAACGGAGACTCGGTCGTCGCCTGTCTCAATACCGCTTTGTTTCAGACTTAAGTTTGAATCTGTGATAATTCGAATGACTAAGAATTGAGTATGGGGTTCCCAAGACTACATGTGGTGTAACATCAGGCTAGTGCTTGGAGTTAGGCTTGCAAAGAGACTGAGACTTCTTTATCAAGCGTGTATCTCATACTGGAGAGGGTTACGAAACGAATGGATGTGAGGCGATTATGTTGTGGCCGCGTTTACTTCTTAGCACAGTTGTTTGTTGCTCTTAACTATTCTAATGATATTCTCTTACAATCTTCCATGATCTACGACGTACGGGCAAGATGCATGTAGTTATCACTCGGTTTGGATCAGAAAAAGTGCTTTCCTGGCAGCGTGAGTACTACGAAACATTCCTTCGGGGCTGGAAGCTTTCCTTTAGGTTAAGTTGAGGAAGAAATTAGATGGAATTTGTCTTTATCAAAGTTTTTCAGTCCAAAGTTGGATGTCTTGGATACCGTCGCAGTGTTCTAATCTCTTCTCATGATGATAGATTATCCGTCTCGCGAAAGAGCCGAAGTGACAGTTCCTTCCGCCAAACCGACGATGTTGAAGGTGTGCTCATCAAATTGCGATGCTCCACTCGATGCCCTTGCGAAGAGTCCCATCATTGTCGTGTCCTCCAAATGCTTGCCACGTGTCCAGGCACATGTCGATAGACTGCTCGCTGCTGGTGTTTTGATCTGCTACAACAGCCTTTCGAGTGACACCTTTGTGCGTCAGTGTGATGACTTTGCCACAGAGCCTGTTCTTCTGCGCTTGACCGTGCGGCTCGAATATGCCGGAAGCATCGCGACTAGTGGTAGGTTGCGGTCGACCGAGTTGGCAAAGTAAGTACTGAGACCACAGGCGCCAGACTTCCAGAAAACATTGCGGCAGGCAGTTGCGTCCCCGAACATGAAGATCGAGCCCTTCGTGTGAGAGCCTGAGATTGCCTCGCCGGCGACAGCCTGAGACGCACCCAAGACAAGAAGAAGACTCGGGAGCAATGAAGAGAGCATCTTGCAAGAATTGTGTATAGATAGTCGACCTTGACTTTTGATCCAAGATATATAGCGAAGTCAGAGGTGGTATTTCTGTGGCTGAAAGGACTGATGGAGAAAGTTTGTTGGAAAAGATTCACGTAAACTGGGAGTAAGGCTTGATTATAAGTAATCTGTTGAGATACTCGGCTGAAGACATGCCAAGCTTTCAACTGTGCTTTTCGATTCGAGAGCGATGAGTAATCCTGTTTTGCACTGCCAGCTACCGTTGATAGAGGTCTGGTGATCGTGTACTGACTCTCGATGAACTAAGGCTTGATTTCGGCATGGCCTACTTCTCGTGTCCTCAACTAGTTTGCGTCGCAACCCATAGGATCAAATGCCCGCAAGACCGCTGGCTAGCCATCCGGTATCCCACATGTACCTTCCTTTTTTGTCCATGAAGCTGGGATTACTGACGTTGTCATTCAAGGTTGGCTCCAAGTCTTTACTAGTCAGTCGCTCAACTGCCATCTCAAGCCCTCAAAGCTTTTGACAGTACCCACTCCCACAACGACTATAGTATAGGTAAACTACGCCACTGTGCGTGCATGCATCAGCTGGTTGATACGCGTTAGTTGCGACTCGTGAAATTTAAAAACTATTGAATGCATAGAACGATCGGGTGTTAAAGTCCCCGAAGCTACCACTTCCGCTACTACGGAATTTGAGGGTTTGTCAGACCGTATGGGATAATTGACAATTGATGCAGTCCCGGCTGTCTTACATCCGTTCAATCGTTTTCAACCTGTCTTTTCAGGCTAGTGAAACAGACTAGGTAAGCAAGGACAATCGGCCCGCCAAAGAGCGATCCTTGGTTGTGGAACAAATCTCGAGCAAGTCTCAATCTGGCTGCCTAGACATCCCGGCCGGGAACATGAACAAGATTTCCTCTTCCGTCCAAGTTGAACTTCTATTACTTGGAAAGTCATCATTCCGGATCGACAGAGGAGTCAGTTGGTCCTTTGCAAAGGACTGGTTACAACCAACGAGAATTGTTTCCTGCATCACTTGGTTTCCACATGGTCATTTGACATCACACGTTTCAATGTACGACTCGGGCGCTATTCGTCTCGTAGATTTCATGGTTAGAAATTTTAATCCAACCCTTAGACGGCGCATAGCTCTGCTCATTGGTCAATTAATTCAGCGTGAGAATAGACAATGGCATCTGGAAATGCCGGAAGTCTTCTTTTCGTCGTCGTTCTATACATGTGAAGGACTGAGATCTGCAGCCTATTGTTCCAAGTGAACGTTACCCTGGGATAGCGACAAAAGAGAGGTCTTTTAATAAAAACATATTCCAAGCTAGGCTGATCATGGCGTGGCTTACACGACTCAGGGGCTCGGGAACTTGGATTAGAGTGCTCTCGGCCGAAGTCCAGTGCAGGAAATAGTATTATAAGAAACGAAACTTCATCGCTGTTCGATCAAACAATCTGTTCACCAGCTTCAAAACACTCCATTCATTAAAGTCTCGCCAACCTTCTGTTACCACCATGTTCCACAATTTCGCCTACGCGTGTGCCTTCGCCACGCTGCTAGCTGTACCTGCGACGGCAAGAGACGTTCCAGCTAACGTTGAGGCCTTTTACGACCAATTTCGTGGCCGGCAGCAATGCTCCAACACCCTCAAGACCGGCTTTCATAGCAAGGAGGGCGGCAAAGGAGGTGAGTCGACCGAGAAATGCCCCAAGCCGATAGAATGCCCAGCGACCCTAACACGAGCAAATTGTCTGCATCACAGATTACAGCTATTGTGGCGACTACTTGAGCAATTACAATGTAGTCTACATCCAGGGTTCGGGAGGTCGCCTCACGAACATGGACATTGATTGCGATGGTACACAGACTCATGGAGACGGCCGATGCGGTTCTTCGACCGACACGCAGTCGCAAACGTCTTTCAAGTCCGAAATTCAAGATTACCAGGCTGGGATCAAGGACCTGAACGCCTATGTTCACCCTTACGTTGTTTTTGGCAACGATGGATCCAAGCCCGGCTGGCCTACCTTCGACCCGAAGAAGCACGGCATTGAGCCCCTGAGCATCATGGCCGTTGTCTGCAACAACCAAGTTGTGAGTTTATCCCCTATACCCTTCGTTATTGAGTTTGCCTTTATTGTTGGTGCAGCTTCTAAAACTTGGAATCCGTAGATCTATGGCGTCTGGGGTGACACTAACGGCGATGATGGCAGCCAAGCCATGGTCGGTGAAGCCTCGATTTCTCTTGCCACGGCCTGTTTTGGAACTGGCATGAATGGCAATGCTGGACATGACCAAACAGATGTACTCTACATTGCGTTCCCGGGCAAAGACGCCGTTCCTGGCGCTCAGGGTGCCAAGTGGGCCGCAGGCTCCTACGATGAGTTTGAAGGCAGTATCTCGGCCCTCGGCAATCGTCTTCTCAAGAGGATCCGAGCTTGAACCTCAGGTTCGCCTTAACACTGGTAAAATCCACCAGATAGCCATAGGCACATGCAGCATGATGCAACTTTAGTTGTACCAATACAATCAAAGAAGGATGCGCATTCTCTCCGCCTTGATGGAAACTCTGGGAGAGGATCTGGATATCTTGACCATACCCCTGAATAATGGCAATTGATCCTTGGACATGTGAATCCGTCGAAATTGCATAGTTCCCTGGGACAGGCTCGCGCCCAGCCCTCCTCACAGCTCCAAAAAACTCGTCTCGCGCTTTGGAATCCTATGCGTTCGAAGCACAATCATCCAAGGCCGCCATGCGTCACCAATTCCGTTTGAATCATAGTATTCATTGATAGATAGCTGCCTCCTTTCTTGGATGCCTCTCATACGCTTCTGGCTTGCTGTCGCGGTGACGCATCATTCTGAATGCGGCTTATACCCCGGATCATCGCTGTATGTGGGGTGAATGTCATCGCGCTATTTCGACTATTGGACCCTGAAGTTGAAACAAAAGTATGTACAGACAAAGGGAGGAGAGGCTTGCAGCATACCGTTCCTTCGATGGCTTGAGATAGGTAGTTCAGAACAAAAGTCCCTGCTCCGGACAAGCGCGGGCGGCTATCACAAACAAGTGGTGATCAGACAGCATACTCCATTGAGACCAATAGCCGCAACTGTCAACTGGTTCTAGAACCGACTGTCATATAACATGGTCGTATGCAGCGATGATCTATCGGGCCGAAAGAGACGGTTCCTCACATATGATGTCATTTAGGCACCGAGATTTCGAAAGGGGTGATGCCATTGTCGAAATGAGGGGCGTTGGGAGGCAGTTGCTCATCTTGCGGAACTAGTGATGATGAAGAGGGTATAGTAATCACCGTATACCGGCTGCCTAAGCAGGATGCATCGAATTATTTTCCGTTTTAGCCAGCACTCAAGTCTCTCCATATCCATTCAAGGTACGTTATTGCCCTATAACATGGATAATGTCGGGTAGGTTGTTTCCCGAGGAAATAAAATGAATTAAGACGGCCTTTGGTTCTATCGTGGGAGAAAACGTCAAAGTGCCAGGTTCTAGGGCAACTTACCGTGTCCTGAGTCATTCTCGACACACCACTTATAATCCCTTAGCATTCAACAGTCTACCGTTGATATTTCAACGTAACGTTTGATGGGGCTAGCGACATACTCCTGATGCGGCGTATCTAGGTGAGCCTCGGGAGAATCTTGGATGGTGATTTCCTGGAATGCCCTGTTATGCTCGTGGATAAGAAAGCTGCATCAATGATGAAACCCACTTTGGGCATCGTCCACCTTTTGTAAACTTCCAGTGATTGTTGTGACTTGCTTCGCTTGAACATACAGGCATGACTCCACGTACGCATCTTTTGAAGTCTATGGAGGTCCTGAATGCTGGTACCATGGAGCAGCAATAGATCTTCTTCTTATTTAATGCTCATCAAACTGATCCTGATCCCATGAAATAGTGTCGCTTGATTTCGCGACGTAGAGTCGGTCTTTGAATCAAAGTAGATGTTGAAGAGATGCTTGAGACTTGCAACAGAAGATACGTGTGCACCGGCGGCCATTTTAAGAAACTGTTTCCTGATCTAACTTCGGATAAAACCTGTGGATCAATGATGCGATCAGTACTGAGACCTCGATGAGGCTTACTGCCCGGGGAGTCTGACGTAAACTTTGCGCGAGATTAGGGTTATTTCTCCGCGGCGACCTTAAACTGACCGCAGCCGACAAAGTATCTGAGTATACCTGGTAGCAGCCATCTGAGAAGTGCGCCACTATATTCGCCATTTCCGTGGCCTTTTTATGGCCACCCAGTGTCTATATCTACCTGGGTTCATTCAGTCCATGACACAGTTTCTATGTCGCCGTCTTTGGCTTCGCTGATAGACTCGTTGGAATGATCCAACGAATGAAGTTGTTACATTCACACGTCAGCACACTCTCAGAGGTTTGCGCGGCTTGCGGCAAGGGTGCCGTGGCTCCGACGCTCTCGCTCAGGCGCTCATGATCCAAGGTAGACTAAGAAAACTGATGGATGCTAGAAGAAAGCCTTCAGGACGAAAGCATTGAGGGGACATCATCCGTACATTGCGCCGCCATTGGCCAATTCCTGACGTTTTCATGAGGCACAAGATTTGTCACTGTCTTGCACATACACACCGCCCATTCCCCGAGTCCTAAGGTAGTCCTCATGACGCGTGGGCCTGGGCTAGATCTCAGCCTAGACTCACTAGGTTCATGCAGATGCCAAGTACCAAGGGCCATTGTACTTGCGCAATGCCTGTCTGCCGGCGCATTTCAAAACCGTGGCGCGTCTTGGGGGTTGCATTCCGCCGCATTGGCTGAGGCTCAATGAGTATTGAGGCGTTCTTGGCAGAAGCCAAGACTAAGTAATTGGCAGCCACATACAATTGCTTGGATGTTCTACCAAGGCCCTAAGGAACTCTTGGTTTTCATTTGAGCCTCATCAAGGCAAACACAACTTCAGAGACACTTTTATCAAGGACATCACGAAGATGTTCCTTTAGGAAAGTCTTCAATTTTGCTTTTTCGATTGAACGTATCGTGAACAATGGGGAGCACGCACCACCGACTGGCGGAGGAACAATACACCACGGACAAGTTCGAATATCCACTCCGGACGAATCCCGCCCGGCGGCCTAGCGAAACACCGCGGACGGCGTTGACTCGCGCCTTCGCTTTCGCGCTCCCCCCACCTTCATGGGCCGATAAGTGCGGCGTTTCTCGGAGGTGGGTAGCGGGAGCAAGCAAGGTGATGGGCCCCAAAGAATTACATCTATGCAGGTAGAGTAAGGTCTCGGTATGCATCCCGAGTCCATATACCGTCGGGCTGGCTGACTGATACACCCTCTTTCAAAACTGAATCAAGCATTCTGCGCGAAGTGTGTAGGAGAAGTGTGTCGATACTCTGCCGAAGTCCCGGATCTCTGTATGCTTGCATGATGCAAGAGGCTCTCGAGTCTTCGGCCCTTTTGCTCGCTTTGCCTTCGACCTCGACGTTTCGTCCTTTGTGATAGCTCTGTGCAGCGACGAAAAATGAAAGGTGTCAGGTGCCTCTGGGGCGTGTTATCTTCGCGTTGATATGTCTGATGATGAGTGCATGCCAAGAGGTGTCGCCAAGGTCTCAAAAGATGAGACCAGGGGACCAAACGACTCAGGACCGCCCAGTTCCCACGTCAACTGAGCACCATATTTCATCTGAATGGGATCATCAGCGTTTGCGATTCTGGGGTTTTGCGGAGATGAAGAAAGCTTGGCAGAAACGTTTTATCCAATGTATTGGCACTACCAATGAGACTTGAGGTGATGAATATGCCTCGAAAGTCGTAATCCGCTCATTCTCCTCGCAAATACGCGGAGAGCCCCTCCAGGTCCAACAAGGCGGGAGCTCCGAAGGCTCCGACAATCCACTTCGCACCCCACGAACATACTGATGAATACCGTCGTTCCAAGTGGTTGAGATGCCTCAATGAGGAAGCCTTCGACTCGTCAGATATATCCGGGGGAAGTGGACTAGGGGTCGATGTAAACGGCTAGAGTGGACGAGTTGTCCAGGGTGCATCCTCCTTCTCCCCCCAAAGAACTGTCGGCCTGGCCCCACGTCTCCGCACCCTCCTCTCCTCTCCACGTTGGACACGGAAGGCATTGGATACCTCCGCACTCTCCCACAAACGGCTCCATCATGGAGTTATCTAAGCGCTTCGTGGGGCCATAGATCTGTGTTGTGGCTAAAAGGCCACTCGTCTCTCCTTACACTCATGGAAAAAGACCGAGAGAAGAAGGACACCTCGCATCTTGTTTCCTTTCTTCTTCTTGTTTCCCCTTGCTCACTCTATCCGTTCGTAACGGCGTGTGTGTGCGTATTCTTTGCGGGAAAGCTGCAGGAATCATGGGTTCCAAGAAGTACTTTGGCCTCACGGGCAACGCCCTCAACAATCTGAGAATTGCCCTCATCATCGCGCCCAGCTTCATTCTTTACGGGTACAACATTGGTGTCGTCGGTGGTCTGCTGACGGAGGAAGACTGGGTCAAAACGTTCCCCGAAATTGACACCGTCAACACAACTGGTGCCCAGAAATCGGCAAACTCGACACTCCAAGGCTTCATCGTCGCCACCTTCACCATCGGCGCAACTATCGGCTCACTATCTTGCTCCTGGACCGGCGATATCTATGGCCGTCGAAACATCATTTTCGTTTCCGCCGTCATGACTCTCATTGGCGAAATTCTCATGGCAGCTGCTTTTGGTCTCCCCCAATTCGTCGTTGGCCGTGTTCTCACCGGCCTTGGCATTGGACAGCTTAGTTCCATCGTCCCGGTCTGGCAGTCCGAGACTTCTGCTGCTGCCAACCGCGGCCGACAAGTGGTCATTTCCGGTGTGTTCATGTGCGTAGGTTACATGCTCGAATCATGGATCGATCTCGGCTTCTTCCAGTTCCACTCTGGCCCCATTACGTGGCGCCCGCCTCTGGCCATCGCCGTATTCTTCTCCATCATTCTCATGGCCTCGATCTACTTCTTCCCGGAATCACCAAGATGGCTCGTCATGAAGGGCAAGTCAGAGCAAGCTCGCGCTGTGATTTCGGTGTTGAAGTCGCTGCCGGCAGATTCGATGGAGGTCCAGGCCGAGCTTTCCGGAATCGAGTATTCCCTCGAAGAAACAAAGGGCACACAGGTTTCCCTGAAGGATGTTCTGAAGATGGGCGAAGACAAGCTTTTGTATCGCTTCTGCCTGTGCATGTCACTTCAATTCTTCCAACAGATGGCGTACGTTATTCCGAATTCCACCCATTCCCATTGGCAATAAGATGACTAACTCTGCGTTCAATAGTGGTTCCAATCTCGTCAGCGTGTATGCACCGATCCTTTTCCAACAAGGCCTCGGTCTCTCTAGCCAGTACTCTCGCATTCTCAGCGGCGGAACCCTGACGTGGAAATTCCTCGCCTCCTTCATCGCCTTCTTCACGATCGACCGATTCGGACGACGCGCTGCATTCATCGTCAGTGGCACAGGAATGTCTCTCTGTATGATTGCACTCGCTATCGCAACATCATTCGGGACCGACAATTACCCTGCTCAGATCGCAGCCGCCTTCTTCATCTTCCTCTACAATACATGGATCCCAATCGGCCTCATGGGAGCGAACTACCTCTACTGCACAGAGGTTGCACCGCTGCGTCTGCGTATGGCGATGAGCTCCATCTCGACGGCGAACCACTGGTTATTCAACTTCCTCGTCATCATGGTTACGCCGGTTGCTCTCAATACCATTGGATGGCGCTACTATATCGTCTATGCCGTGATTGCGGCCGCTATGCCGGTGACAGTGTACTTCTTCTTCCCTGAGACGACGGGGCGAAATCTCGAGGAGATTGACTTGCTATTCCGCGAGTCGGCTTCGTGGATGGCTACGGTGAAGTATGCCAAAACAAGACCGATTGCCATGCCGCAGGAGTTCAACTCCGAAAAGGGCGAAAAGGCAGACCACTTAGAGGGAGCTTGAAGTCGCTTTGAATGTACATATAGATTGTCGTCAAAGGATTGGCTGACAGGAGGCAACACTTCCAGCGACGTTAGCGGGGGGCCTTCATGATCGCCCTCAAGGACCCACGTCAATGACCCGGGATACGTTGCAGAGCCAATTCCAATACAGATTTTTCCCCATTGTCTCCTTGAAGTCCCAAAATGCGTCAAGACCTACGCTCCTAACGTTCATCCGCGTGTCGTTTCGGAGTACCTTCTCTATCTTTCAGACTAGTAGAAAGCATAGGTAGACGTGTCTGGTGTTTCTCTCATTCTACATGTTTCAATCTTTTTGATAGGCCTGTGTAAGCGAAAGAAGAATGCTCCGATCAATGGGGAAGTTGTTATTACTCTGACAAGGACGTACACCTTTTACCATCCGGCAGCCGGTGGGATAGGGTGGCACTCCCTGGGTCAAAGAACGCCTGTGGATACTGAAGCAATAATGGATCAATCGGTGATCAATAATAATACCTACGCCTGCAATGATGTAATCTGAGTTTTTCGCGGCAAATGGCATATTCTAGAGATTCAAGTTGTAAAAGTTCCCTACATCAACGAAATTAAACTTTTTCTATAACAACGTTTCGTCTGGATTGTGACCATTTTGTAACAACCTGCCAAATCTCATCCGTAGTGGCTCAATCTACCCTGGATGTCACTTGATCCATCATGAATGCTCCAAAGACCCAGTAGCAGTCTGTCTTATTCCAAATTTGATCCGTTCAAGACAAAAGTCGTACCTAATTACTAAATGGCTGTTTTGAGAACCACACATGCGTCGGATATCTGGTCGGTGAACAAACATCCTCGTTGATGCAACTTCCCCTACGCAAGGACTCACTTGAGAATGTGGCAACATAAATAAAGGCGCTCAGAGAATCCATCCGATCGAAGCGAAAGCCTACAAGACTACTGATTTCGGGCTGTTGGGAGCTCATGTGGCCGAACGGCAGCGACGACTTCACACCACGTTGTGTGAGAACGACTTAATTATGACAGCCTTTTGCAGGACTTTGGGAAGAAGAAACAAGGGACTTTGGCGAGTCTCTAAAATCGCGATCGATAAGGAGAACTCCAACACTTTGCGATTGACCTCTTATCGATGGGCTAGACGCAGGCGCATCATCGGAGTCACAGTTGGACTCCTTTTGCAGGTGACATCATTTGCCGACAAGGTATGATTGACGGCTTGCCCAGTCATTAATCTCGGAGGGGACTATTGACGACGGGTCCTGCAGCCTAGATCTGAGATCACAGATGTCGCGTTGGGCCAAGATTCTTAGCAGTCCAGCCAAGAGTCTTGGCTTGGCTTGGCCTCAACTTGGCTTCACTTGGCTGCACTTGGCTTCAGTGCATACGTCGATCCACCCTTCAAGGGCCCGAACCTAGATCCAACATCAAGTTCAAGATTGCCTAGATTTTCAACTTGATGCTTGCTCTTGTGGCCGTGATAGAAGCTCAAGAACGACGTGCTGGAGGCAACGAGAGGTCAGGATGGAGGTGAATCTGTCTGTGAGCATAACCTCGGCGCGAGATCGGGGCGGATGACCCCCAAAATGGCAAGGTGACGGGGCCAGTAGTGGTATCCGCTTCATTTCCCATCCGGTTTCCGCTCCTATCCCCTCAACTCTTCCGCCCGTACTAGAATCATGGTACAGCCAGCCTATTCTCTCATATTTACTTGTCATCTTCATGGCCAAAAGTCCTGTCTGGCGGAATATCCGTCATTGCCATCGGCGAAGACCATCACCAGTCGCCCCGAGTCCGATTGCCGAGGCTCATGATTAGACGAGTCGTTGAAGTTCATCTCATCCTTCAGGCGGTGATATTCCCGTCCGCCCACCCGCCCGCTACGCAGCTTCCATAATTGATCCAAGGTACAGTCAGAAGTGGCAAGTTACGCGCATACGCGCATCTTGTTGCGAGGAACTCGCTGATAACGTATAAGCGGACGTGGCCGCATTGTCCACACATGGCGCTCCTTTGATATGAACTGATGCGACAATACTAATTGTTTTCCAATGGATTGCCAGGCCATACCCTGCTCATTACCTAAGGACCTCCCCTTTTCGCACGAAATGCCACAACAGCCTTCCTAACTTGCTTAGTTTTGTGTGTGGGACAACCGCCCATGCGTCTGAATTGCCGGTTTCCCCGGCCTCTCTTGCGGCGCTGCATCGGGCCCATCCGCTTCCCCTTGTTGCCCACATACCGAGATCACCAGACTATCCCGATGCTATCTGCTGTTTAACGGGTTCCTCTTCATTTGCTCAACGGCTTTCTGCCAGCTTGTAATATGCAGGCTACCCACCCTCTGCCTTCCGCACCTCCTCGACATGGATCGAGTTCCCGAAGCTTTTCTTGAATAGACTCAAACTACCCCGACATGTCCTAGTTATGCTTGATTTAGCTCGATTTAGCTCCTGCCAGATCTAGACTAGCCAGGTTCATCGTGAACCGCCCACATTTACGACCGGCGGAGACGTGCACTTCCAGACTTGCCATCGTGATCTCACCTTCTTGACGAAGGAATTGCTCCGTTCGGGCTTATCAGAGCCCTGTTAATGTTGGCCATGCAACCATTCAATCATGGTATCGACAGACAGAATGAAAACAAATCGAGTATTTATATAGCCCAAGTATCCGCGAACAATGTTCATAGTGCTCCTCTTCACTCCCATCCTCAGTCATCCCTCATCCCCCAGGTCTCTAGGTCAAAATGGTTGCCAAGGCTCTCTCCGTCGCCCTTCTCGCTGGTGCCGCTTCGGCCACTTGCCCTCTCTCTATTGAGATCAGCAACGCCGAGAACCACACCGTCAACGTCGCCGTTACCAACACCGGCAGCGAGGCCGTCTCCGTCTTCAAGGGCAACACCGTCTTCAGCGACCATGCCACCCAGGATCTCCTGGTGACCGATGCCGGTACGTGAAATCAAGCGCTCACGCTGGAGGAGTATCTAACAAGAATCAGAGGGCACTGCTCTTCCTTTCGAGGGCATCTTCGTCAACTACAAGCGCACTGGCCTCGATGCCAAGCTCTTCCAGAAGATCGCTGCCGGCGAGACCATCACCGTCCCCGTCAACGCCGCCAAGAGCTACAAGCTCGACGGCATTGCCGACGCCAAGGTCACTGCCATCCAGGGCTTCCGCTACGCCGTCGGTGACAGCATTCCCTCCGCCTTCAAGGACTTGGCCTCCTGCGCTGATGTCACCTCCGGCGAGGTTGAGGTCACTGTTGACCAGACCACCGCTGCTGCGTACGTCCAATTCCAACATTCGGTGCGAACAGTAATCCTCATACTAACCTGACATCTATAGGGACCACATCTCCCGCAAGCGTGAGGAGCCCTTCAACTCCCGCATCCAGAAGCGCGCCATCACCTACTCGTCCTGCACCACCGCGCAGACGACTGCCCTGAAGACCTCCGTCACCGACGCCATTTCCATGGCCAAGGCCGCCTCCACCGCTGCGGGCACCTCGTCCTACTACTACACCACCTGGTTCAAGTCGACCTCGGTCGCCTCCAAGGTCCAGACCATCTACAACGATGTCGCCGGCGTGCAGACCACCTCCCCCAAGATCTCCTGCACGGACACCTACAGCGACTGCACCGACGGCAGTGCTCTCCTCTACACCGTCCCCTCGGACAACGTCATCGTCCCCTGCCCCAACAACGGCTTCTGGGGCTTCCCCGAGCTCGCCTCTCAGTGCTCTGGTGACGACTACGACCGCGCCGGCAGCATGCTGCACGAGATGACCCATCTCTACGGCACCACCGACTGGGCTTACGGCCCCACGGCCGCCCAGGCCCTGTCTGCCACCAAGGCTGCTGCCAACGCCGACACCTACGAGATGTACGCTGAGAGCGTCCGCCTCGGTGGCTGCACCACCGGCTAAGTGTGTTCGTCGATACGGCGCACATGCATAGTTTGGTTTGGGCACTGTCTCCTTTTGGGGATGAGAGCCCTTCCTTCTTTCAATGTCTATAATTCAGTTGGCGGTCCGGGTAGAGTGGGAACTACTGCGGGATATTCATATGCCCGGGGAGCTTGATTGGTGAATGGCTTGATGTGAGCTGAGTGCTAGAAGTAGCCTATGAAGTAACGGTTGAACTCCTGAGATCTTTTAACTATCGCCAGTGATTGTTCGACGGTGAGATATGCGCTCGTAAAAGAGGTTTCCTTCTGATCAGCTTGTGGACGTATGGAATCCTAGACGTCACCAGGCACCATGGTTTCTCAATAAGGAATACGAACAAGCATATGTCCTTGTGGCTGTAGTTCCTACGTCCTTCTGGTCTGATTCCGAATGCGCCCTTGCTCATTCTCAAAGTGTTTCTCCTCAAACTCTCCAGATCTCGCGGATTACCGATCATTTGTTTTCAGAAGGTTTCTCATTCATTTCAACATCCCGACCAGCCTACTTGTAGTAGAAAAACGTTCAGTCGCGACATTGGCTCATCCATGATGCATTGGTGGTCTCCCCCTGGAGCAACTCGCGCTTCCATGTCACTTCCTTGGCGCCAATCGTGCTAACTATGACCTCAGATGTACAATCTTACAAGCCCATGAAGCTGACCGGATGGGGAATGGCAAGACCGACAGTTATCAATTGGGCGTGTGGTGGTGAAGTTGCGTTAGCCGCAAAGTTCATAAACTATATTGGGCAGTTACACCTTGCCGAAACCTTACTTGGCCATTGAGCTTACAAGCTTTCTCTTGCGTAGTAAACTTTGTGTACATATTGAACATCAAGCACGGAAAAGACGGCCTTATAGGATTTTATGTTGAATGCCGTTGCGAATATTTCCAAAAGCCGAACTCTGGACGATCAACAGGGCTTTCCCGCCGAATGTTTGCTGGAAATAGACATGATCTACAAGGTTCAGTATTGTTTCTGTGTCAACAAAGCTTAGTAAATTGCAGCCCCATCTGGCTGCCAGCATCACCGTGAACCCGATCTCGTATTCCATCCATAATCGCACCTGAATCGATGTACCGGATCTTCAGAGCATCGCAGAGAACTCTAGATTCAATAGGAAAATCGTGAAATTGCACCACAGTGACCTTCGGACCAGAGACCAGAGACCAAAGCTTCACTAGTAAATACCTATGCTAGCGATTCAAAAATATCAATGCAGTCTCTGATGCTCGTAACAAAGAGGCAAGCTCGACATACCCTACTTTTGAGAAATGTTTGTCGAGCCCTGCAATTACCAACAAGGTAGATTAGGACTCTCTTCAGTTGCGACGATGACAGCCGTCGCCTGAGCTCTCATGGACCCAGAGCCAACAGACCCAGTTTGAAAGACGTGTGAGCGGTAAGTTGGTGGTCGTATCTCGTGGCCAGAGTCTTCCAACTAGGAACTCCTTCTTTGGTCTTTTGAGCCAAATCTTTCTTATTGCGCTCTAAAACCATTCTCCCCAACTTGCGTGACGCACAATCGCACTGAAGGCAGAAAAAACACGCCTCGTTTTCGCAACTTATCACAATAATCGGCTTTAGAAGGACTTCAAAGCTGCTCTGTGGGTCCAATCAAATATGATCGCCTCCACCGGAAAATAACGCTGGCCTCATCATTTTCCGATGTGTCGCCAAGACTCCAAACAAAGAGTGGCCAAATGACTTTGCGACCGGACTGGGAACGTAGCTATTCCCAATTTCCCCTCCCCTAAAAGAGGAACTTCCTCAATTCTGGAGGCTGACTCAGCTCACACTGCGCAAAGACACAGTGGAAAGAGAAAAAAGCGGCTCTCAGGGGCAAAGCGGGGATAACAAAAGCGCCCTTGCATGTGGGAAACGGCACTTCCGGGGCCCCAAGAGACTGGCGGCGGGCGGCGTCGCGCCGGCCGACTGGGCGTCTATTGTGCGTGTAAGGCTAGTAACGGCCGTTTATGGTTTGATCTATGAAAGACGAACCACAATGCAAGTGTCCAAGATCAAGTTCAACGATCCGACTGCTGTCAGCTTGTCACCCCTCATGATCTGTTGGCTGTTCTCGTTCGCCCGATCGGAGGGTCAACCGCCGGTCGGCACCCCCAGGCCGCCGCCATGTAACGCTGGCTGCAATGCACGGCACCAACCAACGTCGAAGACGCACGAAATGCTTTTAGCCAGAGTTTCAGAATGTTCGACCTCGGTAGCCCGCTCAACCACTCGCTCACTCTGTACGGCCTAGTAGGACAGGCTGCTTTGGCGTTACAGTGGTACACTAAGAAAAACAAAGTTTTGGTCCAGAGGAACTGCTGTCCGCCAAGGTGGAAACGAAACCATGGGGGAAGAGTCGGAGAAGGACTCTGGAGGGTGGGTGGCACGGGTGGGCGATGGGAGGCCTTTCACAACTGCGCTGTTCCTTGAAAGGGGTTTTGACAGTTTCGCGAAAGATAGTTCGCGAACATGCGATTGCGAAAGACCGAAAGAGAAAGAAAAGAAAGAATGCCTTACTCCGATTGCCACTGTTCCCTCAGACCAACCAGCCAACCAACACGCCATAGGCGAATAAACGCGTCCCGTCCAGTCAGCTCCCCAGGGTTCCGTCACATAGTAAAGTTCATCCCCTTCAACCAATCCCCAGCATTTCCACGAGAGCACGGCATCTTTTGTGAGGCGTAACTCTATAGACGGGCTTGTCAACCGCGCCTTCGTGGCCACTCACTGCGCCATGCTCCCCTCTCCCCCAGAGGCCAAGACTTCCCAAGAGCCCAAGTTGGGAAAACCCAATATGGCAGTCATTCGCCCAGTCCGATCTCCCGTTGCTTGAATGCAGTGCAGCGCAGCAAGACGTAAGTGCCCAGCTCCGTCCCGGGCGGCCCGGCGCAAGAGGCATCCCTGGATTCGAATGGAACCCAGGCAAACCTTCCATTGTTGTTGGCCCGCCCTTCTACGTAGTAAGAATAGGGGGTTCGTGCTGGGTGCAGGTTCGCAACTCTCGCATACCGACAGGGCTGCCGCCGCAGAGTCGCAGACGCGCAGAATTCGGGAACCCGTCTTTGGCGCTCGGGGCTCAGGGGTATATCTGACTGCATGGAGCACGAATGCACCTCGTAAGCCTATCAAGATGAACATGCCGATATCGTTCAGCACCTAGACATACTGCAGCCTTGAGCACCAAAGAAACCTGAACAACTCGTAGGAAGAAAACTTGAACATCAGACCAAACCTTGGGGTTCGCGGCACCTGGGTGATCCCTGCCGGCAGTGGTCGTCAGCCCCCCTGCTCCGAGTCATTCGCGCGCCTGTTTGCCGTTGACGTTGGTCCCAGCGGCCCCAGAAAAGCAATTAGTTTGCTTCGTCAACATGGGGCTGTGGTAAACTCTATTGTAGTGCTCCGTAGGGAGGGTTCCTCAACGCCGTAAGGTTGCGAACAGTCTGGTGTTGGCCGCGAGGGGGTCGTACGACATTGAAGTTATTTAAGCAAACCGAGCCGTCACCCCAATCTCCGAATGCTGCTGGTTTGTTAGCGTAGCCTCGAGCTGAACATCTTTCCCAACTTCACTACATTCTTTTGCATCTAGTTCGTTTCTATTCACAACAGCATCATGTCATTCGCTCAACTCTCGCTCGCGGCCATGTTGGCTGTGGGCGCTTCCGCCGCGCCTTACTCTGCTCGCAACGTCAACACTTCTGGCGTCGTTGCATCCACCTATTTCGCTGGTTACCACGCGAACCGCGGATTCCCCGTCTCTGACATGCCGTGGGACAAGTACACCGACGCAAAGTACGCGTTCGCCGAGACCGCCGCCGACGGCAGTCTCAACCTCACCAAGTCGGCTCCCGATCAGCTTCCCGCCTTTGTCGCGGCCGCCAAGGAGCACGTATGTTGCCCGTAGATCAACCCCAGAATCAAACACAGTAACTAACATCTCCCCGCAGAATGTCAAGGCCCTCGTCTCCATCGGAGGCTGGACCGGCAGCCGCTACTTCAGCACCGCCTTCGGCAGCGCAGAGAACAGAACCGCCTTCGTAAAGACTTGTCTTGACTTTGTCGAAAAGTACAACCTCGATGGCCTCGACTTTGACTGGGAGTACCCCAACCGCCAGGGCCTCGGCTGCAACACCATCGCAAAGGACGACACGGCAAACTTTGCCTCCTTCCTCACCGAGCTCCGCCAGAAGCAGACCAAGCAGCTCTACCTCACTGCCGCCACCAGCCTGAACCCCTGGAACAACGCCCTCGATGTTGCCAGCACCAACGGCACCCTCTCCTCCTTCGCCAGCTCCCTCGACTACCTCATGGTCATGGGCTACGACATCTACGGCGCCTGGGCTGCTACCGGAGGTCCCAACGCGCCCCTCGCCATGACGTGCGATGCCCGCAACAACCAGGGCGGTATCAAGGAGGGCGTTGAGAAGTGGATCGGCGCCGGTATCCCCGCCAACAAGCTCGTTCTCGCCGTCGGTGCCTATGGCCATGGATTCTCCGTCAACTCCACCAGCGCCTTCTCCTCGCCTGGTGTCTTGAACGCCTACCCCGTCCAGAACAGCACCAACCGATTCCAGGGCAGCAGCTGGGACGACGACCCATCCATCGATGAGTGCGGCGCTGCTTCGCCTCCCAGTGGAACCTACACCTTCTGGAGCATGATCAAGGAGGGCAAGTTCCTCGACGAGACGGGCAAGCCTCGCGATAGCATTGCTACCGGATACGACAACTGCAGTCAGACTGTAAGCTCCCCCATCCCTTATCCTGAATCTCATCCTTCGATATGACCTAACCTGATAACTAGCCTTTCCTCTACAACGAGACTGCTCAAGTCTGGGTTTCCTACGACAACGTCCAGTCGCTGACCGCCAAGGGCAACTACGTCACATCCAACAAGCTGGCTGGCTTCGCCATGTGGGAGGCTGGTGGTGACTACAACAACATCCTCATCAACGCCATCCGCTCTGCGGTCGGCTTGTAAGGGAGTGGTTGCAGTTGAGCGTGCATTGGTTAGATAAAAAGTCTCGATGACAAGTTGCAATAACATCATCTATGGAGTACATACCATTTCCTTCTCATACCCTGTCACACTAGTATCAGTATCATAACCTTGAATTGAACTTTCGAGTCGCTGAATCAGTCTCGAGTATTGCCTGTACAAGTCGAATCTCACAATCCGATTGTGTGCCTGTCAAGACAAGTTTGTCGTGGCACCTACCTATATGGTGTCTGATGCTTTGTCATCTAAAGCGGATGGGCATGTAACAAGAAGGCATCCACTATAGTAGTCTTCCAATTCTTTTCCCCTTATCATGTCTTGTCTATCTCCCCCAAAACGTTTTGATCATGGTGTATACTGATAGAAGAAGCTTCTCATCTATGCTCGATGTCTGTGTTAACTTGTCGAACCTGATGAGACAAAGGGCCAATATTAAGGAAGCAAGAAGTGTCTCATGTCCATTGTATATGGCCTTTTGTAGGCTGATGCAATAGGAGGCAACAGCCTGAGTCTGTGAGGCCATGGGGCTTGTACAGCGCGCTTTTCATGACCCGGTACTGATTTCCATCCCATCCAGGAAAGAGGCAGTTTTTTCTGGAAGGCTCCTTCCTTGAGCCACTTCGTGCGTACCTGCCTAGCATCAATTCGAATCGAGAACGTCGTCTGCCTCAGCGGAGTGAATATAAAACCGCCTCACCTTTTCCTACAGGGCAACAACTCTCATCGCTTTCACCACCCACATCACTTCCACGATCTCACAAATATCTTGCAACTCATCTCCCTTCACCATCGACTCAAAATACCACGGCTACTAGGGTCCAATAATCCTCTTTCCGAGTGCTTCGCCCACGCATCTGATTTTCACTTTGACAACTCGCGCCTACCTCGCACAGTAAGTATCACGACAGTCTCATCTCCTCATATCTCACCTCATCCACCTTTTTCTCACTCACTCACTCACTCACCGAAATTTCACTCGCCCTCATCTCCGCGACCCATCTAATTACGAACCTCACCAGACACCCAAAGCAGCACCAACCCCAACCTCAAAAATGCCTCCCAAGACCACCACCTCCGAAGCCGCCGCCACGCTCAACCTCACCGACGGCGAACTGAAGCTCGCCCTCGCAATGATGAAGCACGTCGACCGCCCCACCACCGCCGTCCTCGAGAAGATGGCCGAGGAGGCCGGCCTCTCCGGCGCCTCCAGCGCCCGCACCCTCCTCGCCCGCGCCGCCACCAAGCACGGCTGGTTCGCCGGCGGCGGCAGCAGCAACAGCACTGAGGATGGTTCTGGTTCTATCCCCACGCCCCGCCCCAAGAAAGCCGCCACCCCGCGCAAGAAGAAGATTGCTGAAGTCGAGGAGGGCGCCGAGGAGGAGGGCACGCCTACCAAGAAGCGCGGCCGCAAGGGCAAGGCGCAGAAGGCTGCGGAGGAGGCTGCTGCTGAGGCTGCTGCTGAGGCTGCTGCTTTGGCTTCTGCCGCTGAAGCTGCTGCGGAGAAGGATGTCGACGATGAGGAGATGAAGGAGGGTGGTGATGGTTCTGTCAAGGAGGAGACTGGTGACACTGATGGTGGCAAGGAGGAGGCTGTCGAGAAGAAGTAAGATGGACGCAAGCATATTGGGAACTTCACTTTTTTCTTTGGACTCGGCAGGATGGATGGATGGACTACAGCTCTCTCTCTCACTCTGGATTGACGATACTCTCTTTCTTTAGCTTGGACGGTTGCTGTCTAGCTACGTGGTTGCGACCTATGGCCTTGGCGAATGTTTGAGGCTACGTAGTACTGGATGGAAGTGCTTAACACGAGGTACTTCAAGAACAAGACATTTTATCAGATTTTGGCCTTGACTCGATTCGTGAAGATAGAATAACTACCTGCCATGAAAACTTAATTCGTCGCAGGTACCTGCGCAGAAAACATCACGTCTCACTCTGGTGGACGAAGTGACAGGTCACAGAAAAGTGCTCTCGAAACACCGCTTCTGAAGCTGCATTAGTACTGACTTCGACTGTTGTCGACGACTGTTGTCGAATTCATCACTTCCATTCAGTGAAAGAAAGTAAAAATGAAAAACAGACCCTCAACGCGCAGTGACGCGCTTTGGCGTCGACCGCGGAAGTCATGACATCATCCGCCCTCCAGCCCTAGAAGACATCTCAAAAGTCGACGCCGTTCTTAATAGCACCAGACTCTGAAATCAATTCAACGATCCCAACTAATCGAACACCTTCATCACGCCACCAGTGCAACCCAAAAAAAATATTAACAGATAACATCACAATGACTACACGCAGTCAGGCCGAATCCAACAATGATCACGAAGCCGCCGATACTGGCACGAAGCGCAAAGCCTCAGAGGCCTCACAGGCCAACCACGCTCAGGACGATGAACCCGACACCAAAAAGTCCAAAACCGAGAATCCAAAAGCAACAGTAGACTGGCTCCTAAGCGACGAAGCCTTCTCCCTCGCCTTCCCCTCCCTCCCACAAGGCCACGGCGAAATCGACTGGGACGAAGGTCAACATCGCAAAGACCCTCCCCCCGAATCCGCCGGGAAGAAAACCAATACCTCAAAATCCTCAAAGGATAAAGACAACGACGACAGCCATGAGAACGAGGATGACAAAGGACCCCGCCTAACTTACCCAGACTCCACCTTGACCCCCTTCCAAAACCTCGTCGCCGCCCTCCTCCTAAGTAAACCCATCTCCCACCGCCTCGGCCTCCGCACCATCAACACGCTGCTCAACCCGCCCTTTGGCCTGCGCACGCCGCAGGACCTCGACGAAGCTGGGTTCGAGGGGCGCAGGAAGGTGATGTGGGAGGCGAGGACGCAGCACAAGGAGAAGACTGCTGTGCAGTTGGGGGATTTGGTTGAGGGGGTGAGGAAGATTTGCTGTGGGGGTGGTGGCGATGAGAAGGAAGATAGGGAGAAGGAGACAAAGGAGGAGGAAGACGAGGTGGATGTTGAGAAGATGATTGCGTTGAAGAAGATGGTCAAGGGGATGGAGGCGGAGGAGGCGCAGAAGAAGGTTGAGAAGGTGTTGACTGATGGGATTAAAGGTGTCGGACCGACTGGTGCTGGGATCTTTCTGAGAAGGGTACAGGAGGAATGGAAGGAGGTGTTTCCGTATGCTGATCAGAGAGCTCTCGAAGCTTCTGTTGAGTTCGGTGTCATCCATGAAGGTGACAGTGCGAAAGAGTTGGCCGATGTGGTTGACGGGAATCGGGGCAAGTTTGTGAGGATGCTGGATGTGCTTGTTGGTATTCAACTTGAGAAGAAGATGGAGGAGGCGCTGAAGATGGCCAGGGGGGGAGACAAGTTAGATCACTGAAATGGAATTGGTAGGGTTCTTTTCGTGATTCATTAGCTTCAGCTACCTGGGGTGATGTCCTCTTGATCGACCCGCTCTCAATGACATTCTTGTCCTTATCCTACTGCAAATTCCCTCAGATGCTGCTTTGACTTGGCGGACTCACTGAGCGTCCATTCTTCGCTCCCTCTGAGGCTGTTCTAGTATCGCGGGTTCTCGCCATATCCCTGGTTCTGTTGATAGCCCTCATTTCCGCCATAGCCTTGGCCACTCTCATGGCCTTGGTTTCCCCCGTAGCTCTGGTTACCTCCGTAGTTTTGTTGGCCTTGACCGTGACCTTGGCCGTAACCTTGATCCTGGTTCTGATTGTAGTTCTGGTTGTAGTTCTGACTTTGGCCGTAGTTCTGGTTCTGGCCTTGACCCTGGTATTGATCCGAGTGGTACTGCTGGTACGAGGAAGGGGGCTGGTTCTGATCAGGCCGGTACTCCTGATGTGATTGATGCTGCTGCTGATGTTGCTCAGGTCGGTACTCCTGGCTTGGAGGCGGGTTGTATGATTGCTGCGGATGCGAGCCCTGTCCACCATACTGCTGCGACGGAGGCGGCGCGTAGTTGCCACCCTGGGGCTGACCCGAGTGGTGCTCACCACCAAGCTGAGATCCCGCCGTCGGCGCACCGACACTGACATTCTCATTGCCAATGTCATCCGGCACGTTGATCTTGACCTTGGGGAGATACTTTTGCACCTTTTGCTCGACAATGTTCTGCACAAACACCCAGCTCTCGCGCTCAAACTTGCGGTGACCGCCGTTGACGACACCGAGGATACTCTCGCGCAGTGTCTCCTGCACCTTACGCACAAGGGCCCGGATCTTGTTGACTAGCTTCACCTTGATGTCGTCTCCGAATCCGCGGTCCGCGTGTCCGCCAGCGTCGCGGTCGAGCTGGGAGTCAAAGGGGTTTCCTCCCAGAATCTTCTCCAGAGGCCGCTGGAAGGCGTCTGGCAGGAGCTCAAAGAGCTGCTTCTCGATGGCACCAAGGATCTTGCGGAATTCCAGACGGACTTCCCTATGCACCTTTGCCAGACCAGTGCTGAGCTTGTCGCTGATGACCTTGGAGAAGCCACCCTTCTCGCCTTCACCCTCGGGGCCATCACGATCACCGATTCCACGGCTACCCTCCTGCGAACTCTTCTTGTTTCCAAACAGGCCTCCAAGCCCCTTGACCAAATCCTTGACCTGGTCCTCAATCTCGCCCTTGACACCGTCGCCAAGGTCGCGCGTGCTCGTGTTGCCGCGCAGCCACCGCTTGATATGCTCCAGCGCAATCTTGGTGAACTGCTCCGCAATAGGCGCATGCTGCTCCCTCAATTTCATGCCAACCTTCTCCTTGATCTCGGGGCTGATGACACGGGCCTTCTCCTCGGGGTTCCGCGCGGCGTCCTTGACGGTGTTGCTGAGTACCCCAAGGAGGCCGTCGAGTTCGAAGCCCTGCCCGCCGCCGCCTGATCCCTTGTTCTTCTCCAGGTGGTCTTGGACGACGTTGATGGCGGAGGAGAGGAAGCCCTTTGCCCCGCCGAATGAGTCGCTGTGGCTGATGCCGCGGGATTGCGTCTCAGGGCCGCCACCTCCTCCTCCGCGGGCTTCGTCGGTGAGGTTGAAGATGTCGCGCAGGTCATCGCCTGCTTCGTCTGTGATGACGCTGAAGCTGCGGGTGAGCTTGCCAATCTCATCTGCGAAGGGCAGAGATTGAATGCCGTAAGCATCGGGTGGTGTGTCGTTCAGTCCTCTCGAGCCATCGTCTGAGTTCTTGTCCTTGTTGAAGAGTGAACGGAAGGCGTCAACAACCTGGTCTTCAAGGCTGTCAATGGTTCTCGTCTGGAACGTGTCGATCTCAGACGCGATGCGCGGTTGAATCTGTGGAGCTAGAGAGTCAACGTACTCGTCGACCTTTGTCATCAAGACATCGGGGAGGCCACGAGAGTTGGACATTGTTGCGGTGGTGAGATCCGAGGAATTTGGAGGAGATAGGCGGCTAGCTTAAGGAGGAGAGACAGGCACAATAAAGGTGACCGTTAGGTCTGGAATGGTGCTAGCTTGGTGGATGGTCGGCGGCCGGTCCCGCTGGTGCTGATGCTGGTGGTGAGGCCGCCTGGGGGAGCTGAGCTGAGCTCCAGCTGAGCTGTCACGTGTGACGCCATCGCCATGGCGGGGTCGCGACTGCCAGTGCCCAGACGGCTGACGTCAGGTTCGGCACGGACCATCCGTGAGGGGTAGACGGTACGTATCTTTCACTCACTGAGCTCTCACTCACTGACTCACTTACGGATCCCAGTCTCATCTCACTCATACCAATGAGATCCAGGCGAATGTTGAGCTCCAAGGTTCCAGTCTTGACTCAAATTCTTACACATGAACAGTGACATTGGTTCATCTCATCGTGAAATCAACGCACCTTCCACCACTCACAGGTAATATGGGCACAAGGGGGCCGTCTAAGGGCGCCAAAACGAGTCAGGCAATGTAGAGAGCATTGACGATAGAGCCGGTTGAGCTCGGGTCTGATTAAGGCATGTTATTGGCATTCAACTACAAGCAATCGAGAGCCCTTCACTTCAAGGCAGCAAGAATCAGCTTCTTATAGTCCTCCACGGCAAGCTCGAGATCCTGAACAGTGATGCGCTCATCAGCCGAGTGAGCCACTAGAATAGTTCCAGGTCCATATAAGTAACGCTTGTGGGTTCCGTTCAGGCGCGGTACATCAGTGTAATAGTTCACCACGGTGGTGTTGAAGCCTGCTTGTGTCAGTCGAGGCCGTTCCAGCAAAACAACGAGGGCAAACAACATACCTTCAACATCGTAGTCCAGACTCACTGGCAAACCATACCCAGTAAACGTCAAATTGACATACTCCGGCGTCACTTCCGACACAGCCTTTTGCAAAACATCCTGAACCCCCTGCAAATCTTCAGTCGCAGCGCGAATCGACGCCCTCCCTGACGCGCTCTCGGGAATCACATTCGGCGCGACCCCGCCCTCAATCAAGCCCACATTCAACGTGGTATTCCCAAACTCCTCCGTCCACGGCAACTTTGTATCCTGAATGTTGTCCAACGCCCGAACGAGCAGATCAATCGCGCTCCGACCGTACTCGGGATATCCGGAATGCCCCGCAACGCCATCGGCCGTGATATTGAACCCCAGCACGCCCTTGTGCGCCCGGACGAGGGTGTTCTCCGTCGGCTCGCCAAAGATGACAGATTCCCACGTCAAGCCCAGCGTGTTTGCAGCACCCATGCCGTCGCCTCCAGATTCCTCGCCAACAACGTATAGCAGCGCGACGTCGCCCTCGGCAATCTCCCCGCTTTCGAGGAGCTCCTCTACAGCGATAATCTGTGCTGCGACGCTGCCCTTGGCATCAGAAGTTCCTCTGCCGCGAATCTCATCGCCGGAACGGGAGTACGGGATATATGGCGGCACGGTGTCAAAGTGCGATGTGACGAGGACGCGGGCTTCGCGGGCGGTGCCGGGATAGGCAAAGACGTTTTGGCGGGTCCCTTCGACTGTTTGGAGCTCGACTGTGAAGTTCGTCTCGAGGTAGCCTTTGAGGGCTTGTGTTCCGAGGGCTTCGGATTTGGTTGTTGAGTCGGCTTCGACGAGGGTCTTGTGTAGGCTGAGGAGGGATTCGGTGTAGGATGCGGCCCAAGCTGATGAGGCGAGGGCGCAGGTGAGCACTGCCGATGAGAGGGGCTTCATTACGGTGATCTCTCACATGAAGTTCCTTGGTAGATGTTGAGGATTGATGCCTCGGAGCCCGGTGCCACGAGGTATGTCCGGACATGGCCCAAGCCAGTAGATATGAGCGTTGGAATGCTTTTATCATTCACGGCCGGTATGGCGCCAGAGACACTTGTGGGGTACGCACAACCCCGGTTCCGAAGGTCACGTCGGAGATGCACCATGATAAGAAACTCTGTGTTACTTTGAGAGGGGTTGGTGCTGCGCCAAGGTGATTGACAGGGAATTCCAATGCGTAAGATCTTGAAACGGGCAGTTACTGCATCGCAGACGTTGACATTGAGGAGGGGAATACATCTGATCTTCTCCGATCCATCCTCATCGGTGGTGGGTTCGGAGCTTTTGGTTAAATGATTGCCGTGTTCGGTCGGGCTCCCACGAAGCGGGGTGATGGAGACCGGCCGTGTGGTCCGAGGATGAATTGGGTCGGGAGCAAAGCCGAAGGTTGGGAAGGTCAAGGTGCCGATGTTAGATTAAGGTAGCTCGTTTAATCGGGCATTGGTCTCATCCATGAACAACAACCTTTGAGAGAGTTCATTCTCATAGGTGTAAGCCAGGGAAGCCAATTACTGTACATAAATGCTGATGACAATGTGTCACGCAAAGGTTTGGCTACTAGGAACCTCGTTGGTCAAGCGAGACTTGGTCACAGCGCGTTTCATGAGACCGGAGAAAGGTTGAGAATCCCCTCATCATCCTCTGCCGTAGCTCAAGTTCAGCTCGAGTACTGTTCCATGGAAGAATACAGAGGCAGACTATGCTTCAATAGCTCAACTGGACGTTGACAAAGTTAGTTGTTTGTTGGGGAATTCCCTTGCTATATCCAGCTGTCCAGCCATATTTCTAAGCAGAAACAGCCCCTTGGTGACTAATGCCGAAAGTCTGTGCGCCCCGGCACTGCGGATAGCTCCTTTTTGCACCACCTTAAAGGCGTCAATGACCAAACTTATTCGTCCGCGGAAATAACTTCGTGGGGCAGATGCGACTCACTGGGGGATTTTGCAGAGTCTTATTGATTCTAAGCGCGATTCCAAGACCACCCACGGGTACCTTGAGTTGACCAACCTTTGTTCTCGTCCATGGCGTCTACCCACTTGAGCACGCGATTTCTCAGCAACAGCTTGAATGCCAGGTTACTAATCCCACGTGTTATTTCAACAACTCCTCCTCTTGACTTAAATTCGTCTTTATTCCGTCATTCATCTCGACGCTATCACTCTGATCAGCATCTTCAACAACATCGTCCATTGGCTTCAATCTCAGCTATAACTCCCCCAAACACCCAATTGAGACCGATATCATACACAGCAACAATGGCAGGCACCATCCGAGCTCTCGTCTCTCAAGGCGACAAGACCGCCAAGGTCCAAGAGGTATATGATGTCATTCAGATGCCTCTCAAGTGGTCCTCATGATTATGTACTAACCACCATCCCAGGTCCCGAAGCCTCATCCTGGCTCAGGCGAAATCCTCGTCAAGATCTCCGCCGTGGCCCAGAATCCAACCGACTGGAAAGCCACAGCAGGCGCTCCCGCAGGCCGCACCGTTGGCTGCGACTTCGCCGGCACCGTCGCAGACCCCAACGGTTCCTCCCTCAAAGAAGGCCAGCGCGTTGCAGGCTTTGTCATGGGAACCAGCGACGACCCACCCCGCGGCGTATTTGCTCAGTACGCCGTCATCGAGAGCAGCCTCGTCTTTCCCGTCCCCGAGTCCGTGACGGATTCTCAGGCCGCGGTTATTCCTTTGGCTTTTGCTACCGCTGTTCAGGCGCTGTTCCAGCGGCTGGGACTTCCTGAGCCCACGAGCCCGAGCAAAGGGGCGATTCCGGTGTTGATTAATGGCGGAACGGGCAGTGTTGGGTTGTATGCCATCCAGCTGGCGAAGAAGGCTGGGTTGTATGTCATCGCGACTGGAGGCAAGAAGAACCACGCACTCCTGAAGAGTCTTGGTGCGGATGTGGCGATTGATTACCGCGACGCCGATTGGATCGAGCAGGTCAAGAAGGCGGCGAAGAACGGCCTGAAGCACGTTTTTGACGCTATCAGCGAAGTCGAGACCACAAAGGCTGTTGCGACGGCGCTCTCACCCGAGGGAGGCCACGTTGTCTGCATTCTGCCGCGCAAGGCGAAGGAGGTCGGTGCTCCTGAGGGAGTTAAGGTCGAGAGCACGTTGGTTTACTCGGTCTTCGGAAGGGCTCTTACGTATGGAAGCTTCGACAACATTGATGGGGAGAAGCCTGAGGATAAGAAGTTTTGGGAGAAGTACTTGGGTCTTCTGCCCAAGTGGTTGGAGGATGGCTCCATCAAGCCCAACCCCCAAAAGGAGTTTGGTGGCCTGGATGATATCAACAAGGGCTTTGAGTTGCAGGCCAAGGGCGGTGTGAGTGCTGAGAAGCTGGTCTACAAGATTGTTTAGACCACTTGAGAATCAAAGAAACAAATAGCGATTGAAGTTACTAACTTGTAACTTTGGTTATGGATATTGCACGTGATAACATGGTTAAATGAATATAATGTCAATACCCCTTCACCGCTGTGTTTTCCTTTTTTGTTTTTTTTTGATCTGCCTCAGGATCACTATTGCTTTTTGAACGGTCATCTCTCACTCTTGCTTCTACAATTAGGGCTTTCCTTTCTCACCACCTGGGTTTCTTTGAGCTTTTACCTTTCCCACCAATACCCCCAATCTCAACTTCTCAACCTCACTCTCTCACCTTTGCTTCCACCCTTCCTCCCGTCTTTCTTGTCGACCTCAACTTTCGACCCAATCAACTCAATCGGTTCATACATCCATCATCCTACCTGCCTTTCCCTTGTTATCAACAAGGTCTTGGTCATCTCACTTCATTTCGTCCCCCAAGCAAGATCGCTTCCGTCGGTCCTTGTCTCCGAAATTCTCATCAATAACCACAAACGCTGCCAGCGATCTGACCAACTCACGTAACGGATCATTGCTCGCCCTCTCTCATCCAAGCCTCTTTCATCTACTGACGGCCTCATCCCTTCAGCATGTCTTCATCCCACGGCCAATCAGTGTGGCAGCCAGTGGTCACCTTCACCGTCCTTTTGCCCCCCATTGAGCAATACTCGATGGCAGAGAAGGGCAGTGAAGGAGGCAACTGGGCTCTTCACGATCCCAACACCTATGCCTCCTCCAAAAACCAGCCAGAGCGACAGGAGGCCGAGCAGTGCCTGGCTTGCGGCAACCCTTCCACCCGGAAGTACCGCTGCCACTGCAAGTCGGCCAGGTACTGCTCAGCCCAGTGCCTCGAGGCTGACGACCTCCATCAGCGGCTCTGTGTTGGACGTCAAGATGCCAAGACTAAGCCTGCCTTCAGCCTTCCGTTGGAGAGTCGACCATCTAACAACCACTTTCTCGCCGCGTTGCTTCCTGTAGATGGATCCAACCCTAAGCCCATCTGGATCTCTCTTCAGATGAATCGCAAGACTGGCAAGATGAGTTTTGCTACCGACGAGATCACCATTGCGAAGGCGGCTGCCAAGTCCAACAACAGCTCCGACCCTGACATCATCCACGTCGGTCTGAACTCGGTCGCGACTCCCATCCAGAAGAGCCTAGCCCACGGAGTTGACGCCATCAAGTTCGCTTCGTACAAGGACACTTCCCCCGGCAACCTCAATAGCTGCATTCAGAGCTTTGGCAAGCCCGGGTTTCTGGCGTGTTACTTCGGCGCGGTCGTTGTCTGGGCGTACGATCTCGAGTCCAACGGAGCCTTCAAGTCACCCCGTGACTTGGGCGTGCGCGACCTTCGCCACGCTCTTGACTGCCATGTGCTCAATTCGGTCAATCCAGCCGTCTCTCAGCCCAGTCGATTCATCCTTGAGGGCGGTGTCATCGCGGCTCTCAAGATCAATGATCTCTCGGATCGCTGGTTGGAGGCTCTGGGCGTCACCCGCCAGATCGAGAAGGTCCACGTCCCCGCTTCACACCAGTACTTCGAAGCCTTCCCTATCGGAAAGCTTTTCCACCTCGGTCTTCGTTGGTATGTCCGAACTGGAGTCCCCATCGCGATTGCTCCAACGGGAGAGCTCCATGAGGACCACGAGGAGATCCTCCACCACTTCCGTCAAACCGTCCTTCTGGTTCCTTAGGAGGCACGCCAGAACACCGGCATGCGCAAGGCTCAGCTCCAGATGGTTGATCTAAAGCATTCTTCCAGTTTTCACCTGATGCAGGTTTGTGGAAAGCAGATCGAGCCCGCCCACCTCACTGCCGTCATCGAATACTTCAAGCTTGCCAGTGCTTCGGGCACCCCAACGACCGAGAAGGCGTTCCGCGCATATTGGGACTACTTCAAGAACAGTGAGCTGATGAAAGGTCACCCGATGGCTGGAATCCCTTCGCCTTATGACCTTGAGACTGGCCATAGCCATGACCCCAATTCAGCGGGTCTTGTAACCTTGCTCCAAGGTTACAAGTCCTACGAGGACTTTGTTGAGCAGGCCCCAGTCGCCAATGAACACGTCGACGGCGGTCTCAACGCCCCGAAGGGCGAGGTCTCAGTAGCCAGTCCGGCACAAGGCATCGAGCAGGCACTTGGCTTCCCGGCCGAACGAACTTAGAACCTGGTAGATCGCACTTGCCGCTGTGAGTTTATTTACATCTTTCACCTTATTCAGAGATTGACAGTTGAGAACAGCGTGCAATTAGATTGCTTTGAGAACTTCATACACACGTGATTAGAGCGAGAGACGATTTGGAGAATCCGAATATTCTGGGGCAATTGGGTGATATCGAGAGTCGTTGGGACGACTTAGATAGACAGATACCTTCAGAGGACCGGAACTGAGTCTCTCATTATGCTGCGCACATATACACTATCCATGATTCCAAATTCCCTAAGCCTGAAAAGGACAACGTTTGGCCTCGAAGATTAGACACAGTCAAACGCCCCTAGCCTCAGTGCTAACCTCAACGGCTAGTTTCAAACGCCCTTTTCAACTTGAGAAATCGTGGGTGATCCCTCGGCCTCACCCCCGTAACCTCCCCATCCAATCCTTTCCGAAACATCTCAAGACCATCTTTCCTCGTCGTAAGCCCAGACTGTCCATCCGGCACCGGCAAAGCCATAAAACCAGCATGTCTGTCATCCTCCAGAACCCACTCAAGCCCTCTCTCCCGCAAACACCGCAACTCGTCCTCAATAATTCCACCTCGACCAATCTGAAAAGCCTCATCGCGCGTGAGGGCCTTCGCCTCACCTGCCTCAACCAATCTTATCACAGTCGTCCCGTTGTGCTATTCAGGATCAAGGATACCCGCATCGTCGAGCCAGTGGAAGAGTAAACTGCCTGAGCCGGAGTGTGCACCCCAGGGATTGATCTCAATAAGCTTCAGCTCAAACTTGGGATCGAGCATCTCGGCGTAGACGTCTAGGATGCAGCTCTTGAAGTTCAGATCCGGTGCGATGCGCGACCACAGGCGACGAGCCTGAAATGCTAGCCTACCCAGCATCTCGTCAGTCATACCAGCGTGATTTGGCTGATAGAATCTGCTCTGGCTGATTGCAACGATGTAGCCTTCCTTGACGTAGCATCGCCACTCGCTCAAGCGGTCGAGGTCATTGTAGTACGGAAAGAAGTACAGCTGGTTATCCGGAGAATCCGCGTCTTGTCTGAGTTGATAAAACAGGCTCAAAAGGGCCTGGACGGTCCGTTTCGAAGAAGCAAGCTTCACGACTGCTTCGCACATGTTGTTTACAGGTTGGAGATTTCCTCCATCAGCGTCTTTTGGGCTGCAGTGACTTGTGCGAATGAAATACCCAGCTGATGTGCCCGTCTCAAGACTCTTGGTCTTCTGTCCCATCACTGCTGCCAGCCCACTCAAAGTTTGACTCTTTTCAGCTTTCGCGATGTCGTAATTCAACTCCGCTGAAATCTCGAGAAGTTGGCGGACTTCATCTTTGGTCAAGTGGTGGATTGCTGTGGGCGGATTCAGCATGCACTCCTGAATGCGCGGCGTCATCCAGCGACCCATGTTGAACGGCGCGATTTCCTGCTCTCTTCGGTGTAGGTAGGAAGGGGTCAGATAGCCTGTCTGTTCGAGCCATGGCGCCAGAGCGTGGTGATTGTAGGAGTTTAGTCGGGCTGATGGTGATGTGTTTAGCGGACGCCGCTGGATGATCACCCGTGCTTGGTTTTCCGATGTCATTTTGAGCATCAGACTGTTGGATAACAACAAGTAGATGGAGGCAGAATGATGAGATTGTTGCTTTGTTGCTGCATCTTCTTTGTTAATTATGTCTATTGCCTGGGAGAATGGTGATGAGTCACGCCGTGTGAGGTTATTGAGGCCTGAAGGATTTGGGGATTCTGGAGCTAGCATACACGGTGATGATCTTTCCAAATTACCGAAAACTCTCACTGGAGTCAGTGCGAGAGCCACTCTCCTCCAATGGCCTCATGACACCCAGAGACACCAGCCTCAAGACGCAGGAGGTGCGGGAACCCTAAATCTCCCACTCGTCACATCTTCCTGAGCTTTCAAACTTAAGTTGACAATCTCAATAATAATATGCTGCCTCTCCGCCTCGAGATGCTCCTCCGAGATACCGCTACCATACCACACGGAGGCATAAATATCAAGATACCTCGTCCCAGCCACACTGACATCCCTCGCAGCAATATTCAACACCCCAAACCTGGTATTCTTTTCGTCTACCAGATTCTTGTCACCGCAAGCCTTGAGTCGAAACTCAGGCAGCGATCGCACCATCGGTCTCTGCGCACATTTTCGCGGGCTGTAGTTGGGAATACTAAAATTGGTCATCACCCCGCCCCAACTCTCCAGGATCCGCGATGTGCCAGTCGCTCCTCCTCCAGCGTAACTCGACTTTTTGAAGTAGTGCTCCGCATTGCCGCGGTTATTAGCAGCGTCTGCGAGAGGTGAGGCAGACCAGGTCGAAAAAGCCCACGCGTTGACGTTGGGAAGTGGTACGAGAGCACGACACTCGACTGCTTTCCATGTGGTTGGGTCATGCAGCGTGGAGTTGGAGTTGACATCATACCAGAACTGTTTCCCATCTTCAATGTCCTTGGAGAAGAGCTCGAGGAAGCCTTGGTCGCCGATGGAAGCTTTTCTTTTGGCGAGGATGTCCATGCAGAGGGAGGCTGGGGTCGGGAGTGGGATCTGGCTGTTGAGGACGCGTGTGCGCTCGTTGAGGAGTCTTTGGACATAGTGGCATCGCTCGAGTTCGAAGTCGATTTTCTTTCCTAGGGTAATTGGGCCTGAGAGGATGTATGGATGACCATTGAATTCCTCGGTCCAGTTGCCAAATTTGGGCCAGGGTGTGCTTTGCCCAGCGGCAAGAGTAGCGAGAATCGTGACGATTGTGGACAACATATTGAATTCGAAGGAACGATGTGCGAATCTGAACTCTAGTTGCTGCTACCAAAACTGGAATTTTATGACTGGAAGTAGTTGCGATTTTGAAGCAAAGTAACTGGCAGCGCTTACATGCTTGACGTCGTAAATTATCCAATCGCTCACAATGTTTGCCGCGGGCCCCACGGCTGTCCTGTATCGTCATTGCATGGAATAGAAACCAAAAACCCAGTAGCTACACGATAGAAGTTTCTATAGACATGAGCTTACCAAAGTCTCCGTTATGTTTACCGAGCCAGGCAATGGAAGAGAAAGAAGTCATGCTAGCTGGTGCCCCTTCCCCGCACCTCTCGATGAATTCTACAGAGCAAACAGGGCGCGGGGTTTTGCAGTAAAAGGGATGAGACTAGATCAAAGGAAGGTTGTGCAGAACCCCGGGCAGGGCCGACTGCCAATGGGACAATACTGCTCAAGTTTCACCGCCGATCTGGCCGGTGCTACGAGGCGTTGTTACACGAGCGAGTCTCTGCAAGCCACCGTAGACCCCGAAGCCTCGGCCGTTGGCAGAATAAAGACGTCTTGCGCGCCAAGGCGCCTATGGTCGCGACGTTGACGTGCCATTGGCATACATCAATGTGGAATGGCCCCTTGTCTATCGGCTCGAAGGAATGCACTGGAGCCTTTGATGTCCTTCCAGCTCACACGTGTCAAATAGCTGATTACATTTACAAAGATCAATAGAGGTGCAGGGCGTCTTCCATGAGAAAGAGTTTCGCTTACATGGCCATGGGAGGGCTGCGTTCATCCAAGGTATTGCCCGAAAGCCTCTTGTCTAGGGCGAACAAGACTCGGGAGTGGTGTTCATCATTCTGATCATGTATGTCCAGACATACCTTGACGTCTGCAAAGCACTACTAATGACATGGACCCGTAATGGTCAAGTGATATCGAATGATTTTGATCAGCAGCCAAAAACAAATCACATATGGCAACATGTCACGTCTTCGTTGCAGGTACATATGGAGGCAGTGCTCAAAGGCTGCAGCTTTGATGCTACGTCGAGACGCACGCAACTTCTTGGCCTCACCGACCGGTAGATTTCGGTTCTTCTCATAGATTCGTCCTCTTCTCTTGCCTCCATCCAATCTTGCAACGGGATAACTCATTGCTCACGAGTGGATTAGCGAAACTGCCAAAAGTACCTACGTTGGCGCGTCGCCCAACTTTGCCACCCCTCCCGCTGAAATGGAGCATTTTTTTCGTATCCCAATCATCACGATGTAGTTAGGGTGATTGTTATGAATTCAATTCTCACCGGCTGAGGATCTACTGAAGTCGAGACTCCCGAGCTGTGAATACTCTCGCTGTTTCACTCAGCCATTATCACTTCTCACGTCGCGCTAGTTGATGTCGCTAGTTCCCGTAAGACCTATTACCGTGGAGCATCTTTTCCAACTTGTTTCGCTCGATTGTCACCGGCATATCTCGCCATCGAAATCAGCTCATTCTAGAAGAAAGAAGGTGATTTTGATCTCATGGTCATGAATGGCCCCTGTCGTTTCATTCCAAAGATAAGTGTACCGTCTACCTGGATCCTACTTTAACCGTCTCACCGACTCCACGTCTTCGGATCCAGGTCCGGTGGCTGGCTTCGAATGGCAGCGCCCCGAAGCCACCTTATACGAGGGAAGAAAAAGCAATGTGAAGCTATGAAAGTCGTCCAATCGTCGCCGACCAGAGTGTTCTTTCGGCCCTTTCCAGCCGTGTCTCCCAAGACTTGGGTGCAGAACGTGGCAGGGTTTGGCCACGTTTTATGCCGGTCACACCAATCCTTACGTGGAGATATAGCTAAGTGCCATGCGTGATAAGGATCCTTGGGGGAGCTTCGCGTAGTTGGAGGTCTAGACCGCTCCGAGTCTCGTCACCATGATGTGACCTATCTAAGTGCACCAAGGCGGCAGATTGTTCTTGCGACATGGACAATCACGCAAGAGAAGAGGTGAGGGTACTATGGACATCACATCCCCAACTGAGCGGGGATCTCGGTCCCGGAAAATCAGTTCGCATTATATTCCATCATAGACTAGGCATTTTGGCCGGTATGAAGATATACATCACTTCTCAGCCTCTGCCGATTTCGAGAATGCGTTACCCAAACTATTATCGGGCAAAATTCAATGGTTCACCGGACACCGCTGTAGATGACGACGGATTCAAGAGAGTAATAGTTTCAAGGTGAGGTACTCAGAGGCGTTAGGTCTCCAGAATCTGTTATGTTCAGAGTACGGAGTCGAGAACTTGTGCTGTTCTTCCGCCGACTTGGTAGAGTCGATGTCTGCACGACATTGAATTGCGTGAAAACACCATCGAGACCTGGCGACTGCAGAACTCGAGTCATTGCCATCGTGGGCTTAAAATACCTGCATTGCAGGAAGCATGTGTTTTGGCGTATGCCACATTGAACTAGCGGTAAACCAGCCCCGCGAATCAACGTCCTGGGGACGGCACTAAGGCGCCGGTCGCGATCACCGTCCGGCCAGTAGGCGGGCTTACATATAAGTGGCAATCCCGCTAGACGTGATCATCGGCCTCTTTGTTCGCCAAGCGCTGATGAAACACCGTTGATCGATTCTCGTCAACTTCACACACTCATCACTCCTTGTCAACATGGCCATCACTGTTGATGTTGAAGCGACGATAGGAGCTCAGGCGTTTGGCACGGCCGTCTACTCCCTTGAGATACCAAGTATCTACTTTGGCATCACAATTGGTCTCACGATACTCATTGCAGTGAAAGCCTCACAGCAGACTGTCTCTATCTACATGAAAACGAAGTCGTTTTTCAACCTTTATGTGTGGATGTGAGTGTCAATTCGTTATTGTCAAGTCAATTCCGTTGCAGCGATCGTGAGTGATAACAGTTGAAAGGATATGGGTTCTACTTATTGCCAATTTGCTCCAAGCCATCATCAACTGGCTCTTCATTCGAGGTGATCTGTTGGGAACGTAAGACACCGACATCAATCCGCAAAGATCAGGGTAACGTAGCTAACCCTTCAATCTAGCCTCGGCTTCTTCTTTGGAAGTTGCATTTTGTGGACGTTGCAGACGCAGCTAGCCCTCCAAATCATCGCGAATCGCCTGGGCCTCGTCATAATGGACAAAAGCAGAGTAAAAATCATGAAGATCTGCTTGCTCGTCATAGTCGGCATCATCAATATCTCGGTTGCCTGCATATGGATCCCGGCGCGTTTGACACATAAGGAACCGTTTGTGCGCATCAATGAGATCTGGGATCGCATGGAAAAGATCATCTATCTAATGGTGGATCTCACTCTGAATGCAATTTTCCTCCGCAAAGTGCGACGGGAACTGATTGCCGGAGGTCTCACGAAGTATTGGTTATTGTTCAACTGCAACGTCGCTGCCGTTTCGGTCTCTTTGTCAATGGATGTGAGTTCATCTCTTCAATGTTTGATTACTATGTAGCCATGCTGATAGCTGCGTCAGATTCTCATCATTGTTATGATGTCGCTTCCCAACCCTTTTCTTTACGCCATTACTCATCCGGTTGCTTACAGTGTCAAACTTGTGATTGAGATGTTGATGGCAGATCTGATATCAACCATCGCCCGGCAACCACACCAGCTTCTTAGCCGCTCAAATGTTTAACAGACAGATTGCAACGAGGAGAGTTCGAGGAACATTACGACGGGAATCAGGACCGTGATGGTTCAAATGTTGGAGATCTTACGTACAAAGCGAAACAGATTATGAAAAGCTTCACTATGAAAAAATATCGTGCAACGGCTTCACATGACGAGTTTGATGCATGAATGCCGTAATTGCTATATTGTTCGGCGCTCAATATCAATTGCTTCCGTATCACACTTTACAGGAAATAAGCCGTTGCTTTACAGGCTCACGGGCGACGGCGACCACAACAAAGAAAACAAGGACGACGACATAGATGACCACCGGTTTTTTGCCTCTAGTGCTGAGCTCTCAGCCATCCCATGGACGCGTTTTTGGGTACCGGACAGAGCGAGACTGCCGTTCCCACTCAAATACAGAGTCTAGCATGTCGTAGAGAGAACAAACAAAATTACAGCTTACAAGTATCCAGCTCGAGTCTTCATCCTCCTGGTCATGTGAACCGTTGCCCGTGTCATCGCTTTCTTCACCTGAAGAGCGAGCAAATGGTCGGCAGTCAACGGCCTTGATGTAGACGCTGTTAATGACGGGCTTCCCAGTTTATGCTTCGAGAGATCTCAAACAGTCATCGTCGACTATAATGCAATAGCCGAAACGACGGTGGTCGCGCTTTTCGAGAATCGGGATTTCTTGCTCCAGGTCGGCACTATGGGATAGTCCTCCAAGCCAAGATTGAAACCTTAGCATGACGTTCCAGGTTGTCATGCCGTCGAGTTCAGCGTCTTCTATTATTGACAGGCGATGATAGGGCCGAATGTAGGTAGCGTTTGCATCGTATCGTATGAGATGTCTCCTAGTATGCATTCGCGCAAGTATGTGACGTAGCGCTCCCATAACGCCTGATCGCGGTAAGTTATCCGGTAAAGATAGAACCCAGGACCTACGGGCCGAAGATAGAGCGACGGTGTTGAGGAAGAGTTGAGAAATGGTAGGTGGCTGCGAAAGATCCAATGCCAAGTAGAAATGCAACATTCGACGACGGTATATAGTCATCAGGACTTTTTTCGAAAATCTCGGCACTGACCTCGGTGAAACTCGCAGCATGTCTACCTCACAGCGTACCTCTTTGATCGAAGAAATAAGCTTGCCGAGCAGATACTCGGCAAGCTTTCATGGCATGTTTCAATTTGAGTTACAACGTACTGGCGGGGTATGGAAACCAAGGTGCGGCTTTGGCTTGTCTACCTTGAGAGAGCCCGATGACACTTCTTCGACAGAAGCGTTTCTATGTAAGAAGAGCTATGCGGCAATGTGAGAAATTCCTCCGCTTAAAAATGTCAATTGAAGATGTCATGACTCAGCGGTACGTGTAAAAAGAAGGGAAAACAAAAAATCATTCGCTAACATAAAGATCATTCGCAAGGGAGTGAAGTCTCCCACCTCCAGTGGCGTAGCCAGTATTACACTTTCCTAGTGTTATCATCCTTCACATCGAGGTTCGTCACCAACCTTTCACAGGGCGCGCATCGACCTCATGGTGGCGGCATTCAAGCGGAAAAGGAAGAGCTATGCGCCTTTGGCATGGTAAATGCAAGCGTACTACGAGGTGTCATTGGGGCCTTGTGAGAGGTAGTGCAGTATATCCTACACTGCTAGCAATATGCCAGTTTACAGTACGGAGATTTGCGGTGTTTGGAGCACTTCCCAATTATCCGCGTGCGATGGGTCGCCAAACGGCTTTAACAGCGCAAATCGAAGCCTGAACAATTGAAATCAGCTTTGTGACGGAGATGTTATGAAATTGGAGCATTACGTACGTGTAGTTGCCAGCAGCGATTTGGCTTCCGTTGCTGAGTTTCCCGAACCACCAGTGCTCATCCTGTTCGTAAGCACCGTTGCGGTTGCGATCCATGATTGGATACGTAAATGTCTCGTTCGGGTCGTAGATGCTGGTGTCAATGGCCTCTACCCTGCCGGACCCGACCCAGGAGGCGATAGTACCGATGTGGCCATTCTCTCCGGGTACTGGGGGATACTTCCACTGTCGCTCCGTCCATCCCGCCTCGAAGACCTAGTATACTCATTAGCATGAACTCAATATCTTCTGGCACCTTGGTTGGCCATGACGTACATCCCAGCGAGTCTCCTTGATGCCATAAATCGGTTTGCTGATGACTCTTGGGAAATCTTGAGCAGCCAGGCTAAGGTTGAAAGTGAAGCTAGACGGTGTTAGCATCACTCTTCATTCATTCGCGAATAATAGACTCACTATGGCTTGCTAGCGACTGGGGTGTTCGAAGTCGTTGATATCATGAAAGCGTAGTTGGTTTCCTCCAATGGCGTCACCTCCTTGCGAAGGTCACCACCAAGACCTAATCAAATTACCAGTCAGCAGAGTGAACAACCGAAAGTCCTCAAGAATACGAACCAAGATATGGAACAGAGAGGAATTCTCCATTGCTGCCAGAGATAAGGACACGACCGCTGTACAGGGGCAGTCCAGACGCATTCCAGCCAAGGGTGTCTGGGTTCTTGAAGTTCACTCTGGATGAGGTGTCAGCGCAAGCCGGTATGAAGGGGTTCCAGCACTTACGAAACTGTCTTGCTTTCTCCAGATTGCAAAGTAAAATCTGCAGGAAAGCTGATCTCTGGCGCGCGCGTCTCGGGGATCATGTCAAAGAACTCCTTGACCCTCTTGGTTCCAGGGGCAGGGTTAGCAATAACCTGGTCAGCTGCGTACCAGCCAAGGATGTCAGCCGAGACGATGCTCTCTGCGGAAAACTTGTAGGTCACGGCCTCTTCGTCGTTATTGGTGACGGAAATCTCGTGGTAACGATTGAAATAGCGCGTGTCGTTCAGGGCGATCTTCTCGTAATCGATCACGGTCTTATACTGGAGCACTTTGTAAGCATCGACCAAGCCATTTCCGACTTGAGCTACACTAGCAGAGTGACCGTAGTCGGTCTCCGTCAAACCGTCAGCCCAAGGAACACTGATACCGCTGGAAATAATACGCTTGCCGAGGTCTTTTGCCCAGGCACTTCCGCTCGGGTGCGTGTTGCGCCCGCCGTAGACGGAGACGTACAACGCAGCAACACCGGCGATGTACGGTGCAGCCATAGAAGTGCCGCTCTGAATAGTGTAGGAGTCGTCGATCCATGTACTGTAGATCTTGCCTCCCGGTGCAGCGATGTCGGGCTTGATCTGAAGATCGTACACCGGTCCGATGTTGGTGAAATAATTCGGATCACCGCCGAGGGAGTACGTCAGCGCTACCGGAAGTCCGTGGTTGACAGAGAAGTCTGCGGTGACGTTGCGACCAGCCTTGATTGCGTCGACGATCTGCTTTCCTGCAAAACTGGTTATGAACCCAACGGTGCTGTTTGTGTTCCCGATAACGGGGTAGCTGAGCGGGCGGTCGTCGTTGTAAACTAGAACAAGTGTGCCACCGACAAGAGCTAGATTCTCTTGCTGCGTGTGGATGTCGCAGGACACGGCGGTACCACGTCTGACAAGCACAATTTTGCCAGTAAAGTCCAGAGATCCAGGTTCAAGCGGTTCGCACGCGTCAGTTGTGGCGTTGGCGTCTAGAGAGAATGGGACAATGGGCACGTCCACGACTGTCGCTGGGAAAGGGTCGTAGCTAATGGGAGGGATGAATCCGAATCTGAACGTCTCTTCGCTACCGCCATCGACTCCGGAGAATGTGGCGTCGAATGGGAAGGCAGGGAAAGTTTGGGAATCAACTGAAGCTACGGCAAGCACATTCTTGCCAGTGGCACCTGTGCTGCTCAGGAACGGTCCGACTGTGCCCACGTTGCCGGACGCAACGACGGTGACAATGCCTTCGTCGACGAATCGAGATGCAATGACCGACCAGGCCTCTGTAGCCCAGCCAATGTTCGAGCCGACGCTAGCTGTGATAATATCCACCTAAACCAAAAGTCAGCGGCACTGAAATTCAAGTAGCTCTGAAAGGTCAGTGCTTACTCCGTCATCATAGGCGCGGAAGAATGCTTCAAGAATTGTTGCGGTGTCTGTGAAGCCCTGGAAGTGATGTTCAAGCATTAGTCTTATCGGCTGTATCTTTCTAAGTCGCAATAGAGCTGTTGCGACTCACGTATTGCGAAAAGATTTTATAGGCGTAAAGCGTTGCCTCGGGTGCAACTCCGGACCATCTATCGACAATCAGGTCAGATAATAACAACAATCGGGATGCTTTTCTAACCTACCCAACACCTTTGGCTGCAACTATTCCTGCAACATGAGACCCGTGGCCCTGTTGATCGAGGGGGTCCTCATCAGGTTGCTTCTCGCCCTCATAGGGCCATACTAGACAGCCCCACGATCAGCGACCCGATAATAATCGGAGATCCCCATGCAACTTACATCCGTCACCAGCGAAATCGTAGCCTCTCTCAACTTTGGACCCTGGTCCGAACCCATTGCCAAGCTATGGAGGTACGGAGTCGTAAGCAGGAGTCGTAAGCGGTGGGTGTGACTGAGATGCTCTCATTCGACACGACTCACGTCAGGGTGTTTGTACCAAATACCAGTATCGACAACGCCAACCTTGGCTCCCTTTCCAAAGATACCTTGTGCGTGTAATTTGGAGACACCGGTAGCATTGTGCGTCGTGTATGCTACATCCTCGCCCTGAACCAAACGTTTGCTTTCCACAGGGTCGAGCTTGACTGCCACGTTTGGCCAAACGTTCACGACATCAGGAAGACTCAACAAAGAGTCGAGAGTGTGACTCTCCGTCTCGACACTTGCGCCGTTAAACACCTTGTTGTCGAAGGTCTTTACCACTTTGACACCCTCAGTCGATGCGAGCCCGTCTCGGCGTTGAGTTGAGCCCTGTTATCGCTGGTCAATGGCGGACTCATTCGAGAGGCACAGCATGCATGCTCACCGGTGCGAACTCTACAATAAAGCTCTTTGAGATAGGCCGATTGTTGCCTCTGAAGTCGACATTCTCGCGACTCTTCAACGCGGAATCACTCCCTGCTTTGACAAGCGGGAGTGCAAGGGCGAAAGCGAACAGCCGCATTGTGGTCTAGACGCTGCGCGAACAGGCGTTCAGGAAAGGACAAAAGCTCGGTGCTCTCATTTGTGTCGCGCCCTTCTAGCTCGTGCTCTCCTTGCCTTGATATAAGGGCAGACTGCTCTTTATCTCTACGAATACATCTCATACCTTTAGATACGCGGGGCGGTGGTCATTCCAGCCCGGTGTTGATCTCAAGATCCGAGGAAGATAACGCTCGTTTTCGGACTCAGTCTGCGCGAAAATCACGAAAAGCCCCTGGTCAGACTACATTTACGAGGTTACAGTGCATCACAAGGCACTGCGTGCCTGGATCGAGGTCGCAACGCCGTTGCCAAGATGTGATAATGAACGGCCAAAGACTTCATCACGCGAGATGAGATGAACCACCCCTAGGTATTTATCATAATCCATGCCGACGCGACTCGGTCACGTGCTTGATAGATCACGGGACGGCCTATGGTAAGAGAGCTTGACATTTAATGTTAATTGATCGCGTGCTGCACCCCAGTTCAGTGCTAATCCACCTTCCTCGTTCAGCTTCTTGGCACCTGCGGTATCGGATAAGTCTGGCCTTATCACCGAGGGTTCGTTGCCTCTGAAGAACCTTATTTGAATTAGACTGTGTGTGCGAAACCTAAGCATTGCCATGTTATGGTGACTGTTCGTAAGATGGTTTTGGGCAATGGCTCTTACAACGATGGCCGAGCTTAGGTAGATAAGGTACTCCGTCAATTGATCTAGAAGAGGTTTTATTCTGGCGAATGTTGTTCGAGGAGAGCGAGTGTGTTCTATCTTTCCCGGTGGGATGGGCGATAGCGCCTACTGTGCGAGTATCCCTATTCTCATATCTTCCTATGCTCTCAGATGGATTCATGTCGCTACGTTAAGGTTTTCCCTGCGAATGTGAGGGCCAATTGAGCCGTCGTCGGGCACTTTATCTCGTACCATGTCTCGGCCCTGCATCGATTTTCTGGCTGGAGAGCTCAAGCCGCAACGCTTGAGGATACCGCTGCCGTTGACGGTTCCGAAGCCCGGGGGCGCAGCTCAATCGGGGCGTCGGGGTTTGTCTGCGGACCCGGGTTTGGGTGCCGAGCCGGCGGAGCGCAAAGCGACCCCATCAAGCTGGTAAATACCGGGCGTCTAAACTCACTTTGTATACTTTCCAGTGATCTCCCGCGCGTTTCGGGCATGAAAACAGTTAAAACAATCGCCGTGATGACAGTCAGACCCCCGAAGAGAAAGTATGCGCCATACGCTGAAGCAGATAGCAGGATCGGAGTGATGAGTGCCACCAGCCAATTGGTGAACTTTGCCATGTTAGCGATGTCGAAATCGAAGAAGGAGAACATCACTCACGAATGAAGACGCCATGCCAATTGAGTTTCCCGCCGCTCTGGTGTTGCCAGGCAGAATTTCGCTGGCGTAGATCTTTCCGACAACATTCCAGGTAGCGCAGTAGGCCATGCCGAATGCGAAGACTGAGATTACGACAACCCAACGAGCAGCTCCTGTAGGGCCCACTGCACCAGCTGCATAGAGGCTTCCCATGAGCATCATAAGCCCAGAAAGGATGATGCCACCGCTTATTGCCGATGTTCGTCTTCCCCATTTATCGGCTAGGATAGAAGCCGGGATAGACACGACCAGCATCGTGATGGAAGAAACTCCGGATGCGATGAGCGAGGAGTTGGACTGTGAGATGCCAGCCTGGTCGAACAATGCGGGCGCGTACTATCTTGGTCAGTCTATGTGTCAAATAGATAGAACGATCAGGGTATCTTACGTAGGTGATTGCATCGATCCCTGATAATTGAATCATTGACAGAATAAAGAGCGCCAACAAAGTCCTCGACCTGTACGGCCCCCGGAAAGGCAAAAGGAAGTTTTGCCTCGCGGAAAGACTAGGCTGCTCTTGAGGCGTGTTGAGAAAGTCTCGCCGAGCCTCGTCCATGTCGAAGTCAAGCAACTCAAGAGCTGTCACAGCCTCTTGCGTCGTGCCCCAAAGCAGAAGCCACCGTGGTGACTCGGGTAGAACTCGGCAGACGAGGGCCAGCATGATAGAGACCGCGATCTGGACCACGTAAGGGAGACGCCACGCTGTGCTGTCTTCAATCGAGCTCGTCGTGTAGCAGGAGAAGTACCCGATGCAAATGCCGAGAGTTGACATGAATTGTGGCAAAGCGGCAAGTCGACCCCTCCGGCGGGAGGGAGCTATCTCTGCGAGATAGACGGCGATGTTGCCCAGGAAGACTCCCTGGCCAACGCCGCTGACTGCACGACCGAGAATGAACTGGCCCAAACTGAAAGATGTCGTTTGTAGGAGTCCGCCAAGGGCGAAGAGCGCGGCGCCGGGTGATATGATACGCAGTCGTCCGTGCTTGTCTGCCAGCTGACCGGCGAGCAGTGAGGGGATGATGCCCGTCAACAAAATCATTGAAACTGTGATACCTCGAACGGTCGCGGAAAGATCTCCGAATGTTGTCGTAAACTGCTTCATATGCACTACCGAGCCAATGGTGCCTGTATCATAGCCGTTGAGGAAGCCTCCAAACGATAGGGCGATGGTCGCCGTCACATAATTCGGCATCAATTTGGCGAAATGCGGCATGTTCGGCATGTTGAGGCGTCAGAAATGATCACTGTCTCACAATTCAAGCTGATTATGATGAAGTAGCAATACAGCACACTGATGCAGTGTGTAGTTGGCAAGTCGAATCCGGTGGTAGTTACAACCCCGCAGTAGTTACGCGCATGTCATCTCACTCGTCGATCACTTCTTTGCCCGTCGGGGTACTTCATCACGTGCGTGAGATCACAACAGCCACGCTCATAGATACTAAGGGCTACAAAGACTTTATTTCGTTTCTGCATGTGTGGTTCTATCGAATTTGAGGTATTTGCGCTTTAGAAACGTCAGTTGAAAAGCATTGACTATTTTACTGCATTTTAACTATTCATTCAATTTGGGATGATTGTTGCAATTGAAGTCAGAAATCGGACGAGCATATCGACTTTTGCTCAAAAGCCAAGCTGAGTACAAATAATTCATGTTTATGATTCACTAAACTTCCAGTTAGATCAAGACTACCTTCGCTGCTAAGCCCACACAGCATTATTGAGCTCATTGGCGTGCAAGCAGGACGCTGTTGAGATAGTTCAAGAGCCTACCAGTTCTAGTCAGGTACTATCACGTGCTTCATCACGTGAGACATCCTCCCAGCGCTGAGATGAACATGTATCACTCGCTTAGTATTGCAATTGTATACGTAGTGCGCACGATGTTGAACTCAAAAGCCTCTATCATCAATATATCTAGTCCTGCATAGTCTCAATTGTGATGGACACCCGATTTTTCGTGCTCATTGCAACTGCTTATCTGTCCCCATGTGATTCGGCGCGCATGGTTCACTTTTCTGTATCTAAAACTTCCCCAAGAACAGCATTTATTCTAAGACTACGACAATATTCGCTTTTTATCCTGTCACTGTTACCACGAAGCCCTCTTCACATTCGAAATTTGAGAAGCGGAGGAGGGCGTTCCGTATTTTTCGGTCGGGATTGCCTCGAAATTGAAAAGTGGGGACCCAGAACTGAGAGAAACCGGCAGAAAGGCGATCAAGTAACCGGCAGCTTGGTCCGGGCTTCAAAAGTCCGGCCGAGATGGTTTCACAAGTTCGGGCCCGGCAGCGGGCCGGACCAAGGGCAGAAAAAAGGTCCCTTATGAAGTTCCTTGAGTCGTGGCAGTTCCTCCTCCGCCGATCACTTGCATCCGGCGGGCGCCGTACACGTGTGAAGAGAACAATGTTTTGACTTTTGACAGCGCGTGCGACATCTCCCGCGGTAAGACGTTCTTCATTAAACTGTATTATTTTCCGTGAGCTTATTCAGCGCTTGCATTGGACTCTCGGTGGCCAATGCTACCCCCGTCGGTGCCGTCGGGCGGGGAATAACTGACTCAGCTTCACAAAAGATCAGCGCTGTGTGGTCAGCTTGACTAAATCAACTTCATTGAATAGAGAGAATGTTGCTGAAAAGTTGGATACCAGTCGAGTATGCTCTGCCGAAAAGTGTAAGGCTGTCGTGGTATATATGATTTTCAGTGAACAACGTGAGGTTGCAGCGACTATCTTGCATCGAGACATTTCCATCGGAGACGCGTCCCAGTTGGTGTCGGATGTGGTGCTTGAAAGGGGAAGGTTGATGACACCAACCCCAGTAGATCCACCAGACGCAGGACCCTTGACTCTGGAGGCATCCCATCCCCCTTTTGGCTGCCCTGGATGGAAGTGTGCCCAATGGAACCAGACCAACATCGAGGGACAGAAGTTGGCACGTACCTTGCATGTGCCGCGCATGCCAGCCTTCCCACAGGCGCGAGAATAATTCCGGCCAACACCACTCGCAAGGGAAAGTCTAGTCACTGGACCACCTCATCTTGACCCGAACGTGGGGTTCTCCAGTTTCCTATACGAATACCGAGTGCTTGTCGTGACAAACAGGAACTTCTGCCCAAATCTAGTGGAGATGACTTCACTTTTAGCGACCCAAACTTCTGGACATTTACCCCAGCGTTGTCAGCTTTCATTCACCGCTTGGGAACAGTCAAGCGACCTGCCAAAGTTTCAGGGCTCGTACGCAAGGAACATTAGTCGTCGGAGTCCGGAACACGGTCAGAAGATGCCACATCGTCTTCATGTGATTATCTGTCATGATTCAGTGATGCTGCTCGGGACAGCCCCAAATGCAGAGATGAAGTCCAAGTCCCGACCCCTTGAGGCTTCATCTGAGAACCCACGACGATGGGTACCTACCCGTACGGATACCCCTTAGCGTTTAAAATGCGGTTACAGCCTCAGCCTTGGTAAGTAAGGGGAATGAATTCCACTATAGACCCGCAAGCAATGTCACATAATCGACGAGTAAGTTGTCAAGGAGTACTCTGTAATACAACCAACGTTATTCACGAGTCTCACTTGCAATGGTATTCAATGATGCTTAAGTAACTTTAACGCTTGAATATGAGATCTATCCATAATTCTATTCCCAGTTCTATACACAAAAACAAGACAAAGAACAAGTATAACTCGCAAAGAAGATGTGCGGGATGTGGTATCAAGGACAAGGGTGTATTGGCATTATATCGTGCGTATCCTCGGTGGTTCTAAGAGAAGACCTCCAAAACTCCTATCCGTTCCAGACGTCCCTGAGATTTGATGGGCTCTCTCGCAAAGTTGGCAGATGGTTTCTCGGCAGGTCCTAGGGGTATCGATGGCCGCACGAGCGTTGGTGGCAGCGGGCTGAGCCGTGGCAATGTTACGAGCCACTTATTTGTGCTCACCCTGGCCGATGCAGTAGGGGACGGGGTAGCTGGTGCTGTTGCAAAGACGGATGACACCCTTGACCCAGGCAAGGTTGCCGTAGGACTGGTCAGAGTAGGTGTCGGAGGTGAAGGCATCGACGGAGGGGCTGTCGGTGCATCCAGAGAAGATGTTGCCAGTGACGCGGCGGACATTGGGCTGGGAGACGACAAGGCCGTACTGGCCGTCGGGGACGGTGAAACGGAGGTTCTGGGACTGGGTGGTGGTCCAGGTCTTTGCGTAGCTGACGGACAGAGAGACACCGAGGGCGATCTTGGCAATGGTGGTGGACAGACCGGCGGTGACGGTGACGGAGTTAGCCAGGGAGTAGCCGCTGTCGACAGAGACGGCGACGTCGTTGCCAGCAGCAGTGACGACGGGGGAGACAGCAATGTCCCAGTTGAGGAACTCCTCGTCGGTAAGGACCTGGACCTCGGTGGACTCGTCGCAGCCGCGGCGGGAGAGAACGTCGCCGAGGGCGGGAGCGGGAGCGACGGGAAGGGCGGCGCGGCGCTCAAGAGCGTCGTACTCGGAAGCCTTCATGACAGTGTGGGAGCCATCCTCGCCAACAACGATGACATCGTCGAAGTTGAGAGGAGCGGGGCCAGGAGCCGGGGCGGCGACAGCAGCGCCAATGAGGCCGGCAGCGGTAAGAACGGAGAAACGCATCTTGATGGTTGATGGTAGTTGGTTGAAAAGAGTGGAAAGTGGGTGGTTGTTCTTTGCAAAAGAGCGACTTTGGAAAGTAAAGACTGAAGAGTTGCTGAGTGACTCGTTGAGAAAAGAATGTGGGGAAGGAAGTGTATTGGAGAATAGACTGATGATGCAAGTAGAAGATATTCCGAATCTCTGGGTGGGAAGAAGGTGTTCTTATACAATGTTGGTGTCAAGATGTTTAAGCTTGTGGATGATACAATGTTCCCCAGTTACAAACTTAGACTTTGGACTTTCGCTCTCGGATGTTCGCAAGACGGCTTCTGCGTCTGTCAAGCCGCCCGCCCATGTCCATGACTCTCCATGGCATCCACGGGGAAGCGCACATACGCGCGCTCGCCGGGCCGAAGGGGTTGGAATGGATATCGTTGCCAAGATTCCCTACGGGGCTGCCGGCATGACCACCATGACACCAGAACGTGGTGATCGGGCCAGCCGGTCAGGGTTCGATAGGTTCGACATAATCAAAATCCCATTTGGGAGGACTTGTTATCAGCAACCTGAACAATATGACTGAAGCAGGTCCAGCGGCAGTACGACCATGCACTGACTCGGATCGTGGCAGGGCGGCGATCGGTGAGGTCCCGTTGTGGGGGAGAGCGCGCGGATGGGATGCTGGGCCAAGAGGCTAAGAAGTTGGATATCAGATGGGCTGGGCTAATGTTGGAAAATGGGACGAACACCAACAAGGCAAAGGTAGGGCGTAGCAGTTTCACATTGAGATGGTAGACGCCGAATCCGGGTAGCGGATGATGTTGTGCGCGTGGAGCAATGTGCGGCTCTGGGGTTGTATCGTGTAGTCATCTGATCCAATGGACTCGCGGGAGCGGCTACGAGTCAGTCAACAACCGCAAGTGGTCCCGACTCACCGTTTCATGCAACGCCATCCATCACCCCCTACATAGCCTAATGCAGAAGGCGGCTGGAGATTATTTGCTCATGCGCGTCTTCTCCCCTGTAGAAACCCCGTAAAGTCCCCCCCAATGCCAAGATGCCCGTGTTAGACGCAGATGGGCACACTTGAACTCAATCAGCCCAGCTAGCAAGGACTCAAAGACGTTCAAGCTCCAAAGGGCTGAGGTTAACCCTGGGAGTTTCCTCTTTAGAACACACATTAAGTTTGATGACGGATGGTCTACAGAAAGAGCCCTGTTGAATAGCTGCACCGCCTTGAGGGGCGCCCAGAGGTCACATCCATCCACACGGTGAGTCCGCTCCTCAATGATGATCAAACTCCTATTGCGGGCCACGGGTCCTACGGAGCTTGGAGACGAGCGTGCGCCGACAAAGGCGCGCGGAAGTGGGACTTTGGCCTGCCTGACAGTGGGATCATGGATGATGGTCCTTGTCTCGTTGCCGAACATGTTGGTCAGAGCATGACCTTGGTTATCCGAATGCGATAGATTGTCTATTGGGAAACATGGCAAGGCCGTGACTCGTTGTAAGTTGCCTTTGATGTTGTGACCGTGGATATAAACCTCCATAGGTTCCTCCCCGATATCATGAAGTTTATCTCCATCCTCATCAAACTCCACACATTCTTTTCTTCGGTCCAGATCCAGTAATCTACCAACTCCGTTCATTCTTTTCACAAACACCTCCGTTACAGTCACTACCTTACCAACTACCCAACAAACAACCCACCCAAACCGCCAAAATGCAGTTCTCCATCGCCAAGGTTGCCTCTCTCTTCGTCCTCCTCTCGGTTGCGTAAGTGTCAATCCAGCTACCTTCAATACTTTGGAGCTTTCTACTAACCGAACTAGTTCTGCCGATCTTCACGACAACTGCGCCTGTGACAACGGTGACAGCTACAACTGGCGCATCACCACCAAGGCTTGCGAGCTTTACGCCTCCAAGAACTACCAGTGGGGCAAGGGCACCTACAACACCGAGACTGGACGTGTAAGTTCACCCCATTGAGCACATTGAAAAATCAACACTGACATCAAACAAACAGTGCGTCCAGAACTCCGCCAGCGACCAGCTCGCCGGCAAGGAGTGGGAGGCTGCTTGCCGCGAGATCGCCACCACCGGCTTCGACTGCGCCGACGGCAAGGGCCTGTACTGCAAGGCCAACCCCGACGACGTCCGCGGCCGCTGCTAAGCGTCTCTCGCTTAGAGATATCCTGGGGGGCCCAAAGATTCGGGAAAGCCATCCTCTCCTACTTCACACTAGCAAGGCCAGCCTGTCCATAAGGCTGGATGAAAACAGCCCAGTCATCATGCACTCCACACCCACCATCCTTAGCCGGCTCTCTGGATCGTGGTGCCTTCGAGGAGAATGAAACACAAGAGGCTGCCTTGATCTGGGGAGGTGGCTTTACAACATCGGTAGTGGGAATTTTGGTCCGTTTAGTTTTTCACGAAATTCGAGGCGTTGCTGGTGTTTCGTATCAATACCTATAGATGTGTGGCATTGCGAGTCCTAAATATGATGGTCGCTCTCTGAGCATCTTTCATAAATCAAACAAATAGATCTGCTATGTTTTGCAATTACCTGAAATTTTATCTTCCACATGCTTCTCTTGCACGATACACCTAGCTCTTCGACGTTTAGTGAGAGTGCAAATTAATCGCAATACTCGGAGTCTTGAGCAACATACTACTGACGAATACTACGATCTGGCTTACGAGCATACATCAACACTATGTCGCATAGCTGCCATAATACTTCACATATTTGGTTGTTTTGTGTGATTCAAAGCCAAGAGAGACGCCGAAAGGCTGCAGCCCGCTTCATGCAGAGCCCAAGGCTCTCCCAGCTGGTTGGACACAGCTCTGCTCAAGACTGGCTCGCCTTGTTGGTCTCGCTCATCTGAACTGATACCGTGACATCCCGCTCGCGGGGCCGCCGATGAGCTGCGCCTCTATTTTCGACATACCGCTTGCAACCATCCATACTAGCAGCTCGCTTCACACCATACTATCGTCAAGCGACAGGACGACCCGCACCAACAGCCTCGTACCTAGGCAAGGATTACTTGCTTGCTTCTTCAGTTGCGATTAGATAACAGACTCCAACTCGTACTCGGTCAATGTCGGGTTACAGTGCAAGTGTTTTTAAATTTGATATGGGGATAATCGATTCCTTCGTTGCCTATTCGTGAGAAAATGGGAAGGTTGACACGCCAAAACCAATACGATTCTAGAATAAATGTCGTGATGAGCAGCACGTCAACTGGCGTGGAAGTCCTAGCATGCTTTTGGCGAAACTCTAATTAAGGGGACACATTCGGTAGCATCCGCGCCCGATTTGGGATGGGGGATGATGGAGACGACATGGGCCTTCGTGGGACTCTTCGTGGGACTGCGTGGCCGCGACTGGGGTCTACCTTGACATGACTCTCCAGCAACCAGAAAACCTGCAAGACTCCTGGTTCTCTCCTGCACAGTCAACAAGTCTAACGTTCCAGATTTATTTCTGGCCTGCAACGTCATGCCCCTGAACTTCCTCAGTGAAGAATCCCCTTTCTTGGCATCCCAACACGTGCCCGCTCTTATTCGATCATATTTATCATATCATTAATTGCCATTTGTTTATCCTCTTTGTGCTCGGATACCGCGGAATGATGTTTGTCAGAGGATCGTTGTCTTTCGACTCTCAAGGTGGAAGATCTGCTATTTTTGACCATCAGGGTGGTGATGTCGATATGAGTACGAAGTTATGTGTCATGCTATAGCCATTGATATGTTTGTTCGCATTGCACGATGCCTAAGCAAGCATTGGCCTATGCATTTTCTCCCTTTCCCCATCCCTTCATCCCTATCTTTTTCTGCTAGGCACAAGTCAATGCCCCCTTCACATTTCCGTCTTGGCCAAGGATAGACGTAGTTGCTGCTGGACGCAAGGAACGGGTGGTGGACAATGCGCCGAAAACGTGAAAACGTGTTGACATTACTCGTAATGCGGAAATGTCGTCCACATCGAGGATTTCCTTCTTTTTTACTTTCGGGCGGAGTCACGCGTCCGCAACTCAGAAATTCTGGGGCCGCGCACGTGTATATTCGGCCGATCGGTCCTTGTCTGGACCCGAACATACTGACCCGCCGTGGGCAGACAAACTGACTCGGTGAGCCCGACCATTTGGCCGGTGCTGACGCGGAGGAGGACTCAGAGGCAGAAGTTCACTATCCATGTTTATGGGGGGCAGAATTGAAGGAGAGAACTTTTGCGGACTGATATGTTCTTACCACTGGGACTATTCGACGTACATGAGATACAGCGGAATCATAGGTGTTAGTTTCCAAAGTTGAGATTACCTCTTTGCTACATCAGACCAGGTTTTGGCCCTTGTAATTGTGGAACTGATCGGCTCTAGGCTCCAGTAGAACCATCACATCGCCATCTAACCAGCGTCATGGAGGGTAGACAATCGCCGATCAACTCACCGAAGCTCTCCGCTATGCGATCATTCGCCGTCACCAGACTCCAAATCCGAAATCCTATTGAAGTGCGAAACTCTCGGTCTCAACTCGTTTATCGAGTAATTCGAGTCAGTCTCAACGTAGCTCCGTCTAATGAGACATTTACCAATATTTCTGCCCCGAGTTCATCAATCCTAAAATGTTCGAAAGACTTCACGCAGGTCACGCTAGTACATTGATGGCTTACGTTTATGACTCAAGCCGCAGCAAGCGCGCGCTGTGCGGGATAATATCAAGACTCCCACAATTCGGCTTGGTTGCCTCTTTGAACACGTTGACAATGACATGAGCACTCTACATTGACTTGCGGACTTCACTTTACCTTCTTAAGACCGAAGAATCTAGGCATGCGTATATAATCACACTTCTCACTCAATGATGCATTTGTAGTTGTCAACAATGCTCCCCCAAGGTTTACACAGAGTCACCAATACCTCACAGCGATTGTCAAAATCAGGAGCGAAAATCTTTCCAAAGATCATAAGGGTGTTCCCGTAAGGTTGAAAGGGTATCACGTCTTATTTCACGTAACACGCATATCATTGAGCTGTTTTAGTAGGATCTTGACACACGGATATGATTTCATGGGTCCCCATGGCCCTTTACTCGAGGAGTCTAGACCTCTGAACCGTCTTGTGGCAAAACGATTGGCAAATGCAATGAAGAGTCATGTCCTTCGGGCGATGGCAGAATGGAGATGAAGATGGGGGGAAAAGAACCAACAGCGATAGAGGAGTTCCGCGATGCAAGTTCCCAAGCGCCGTGGTATGACGAAGGTAAGGTGAGACTGGGACGACAAATTCGTGTTCCTGATATTCTGATCTGTGTGGTCTGACTCAGTAGATCGAAGAGCCCTTGAACTGTTTATTGATGAGAGTTGGCCGCAGCTTCCTAACTGTTCCAGTCCCCGTGGCATCTCAGACGCTTTTGGCCCACGGTGATCTGTTCTTTGCTTGCCACAGGCTGTCGCAAATCAAAAGGAATCTAGTGCGACGTCATTCTGACTCCTATGTCAGACGACTGGATGCGATACAACTATTTGATCTCGCAATGGCATTGTCTCATCAGAACTCGTCCCGGGGCTTGTGGGCAGTGGTTCGCTGAACTTGAACTGACCGGAAAGGAGGGGCCAACGAAGCTGGGAGCACCAATGAGAACATAGCCGTGATTGACATCGCTCCTGGCATCTTGACTATGTTATATGCTTAGGCAATTCACCAATGTTGATTATGTGAGCAACAACACTAGCTCATTGGTCCCAATCACATTAGCACGCATCATACCTGATTACCCGTTGCTTCAGCCAGTTTCACATTTGCATTTTCATGTCACGGTTTTACAAGTTGGAGATAACATGTCATTTCTCAATTTGTAATCCGAAGGCTACTTCTAAGACCACTCTTGCTCATTCTGAAGCTGTGTCTTTGTATTCGATTTGGGCGTTTGTTGCTATTGTTGGTGTATTGTGGTTTGGTGCAGGGGGCCAGCCTTGTTGTTATGAACAGACTTGTGACTGCGCATCGTAGATAAGCCCGATTGACGAAGATTCTGAGTCTCAGTTGACATGAAGCAAGTCAGTAGTAGCTTTTAGTTGGTGACTTGCAACATGTTGGCGCATCTGCCGCGCTTCTGCCGCGCTTCTACAAATGCAGCTTGACTTGGTCCGAGAGTCCGTGCGATGGATCCTGGTACGCTGCGACAACCATGGCTGAGAGTGCGCGTACTGATAGCCATATACTCCTGGCTACAGAGACACCGGTCTCCTGATGATCCCAAATCGTGAGGAGTCTACTTGCGGCATCTCATGCGTTTCGTGTCCGGGCCCCAGGGAAATGTCTTATCTATCTCCAGAAGTGATGCCTCAGCCGGACATCCCCTTGGCCGATTTCCAATAACGAGCGTTCCATAATGTCCCATACCCACCACAATCCCAAGGAAATTTCAAGGGCAAAGAAGGCTTCGCAGATGGTGACGCGGGATTCCTTTATGCATGTGGATATTGCCAACAGCATGAAGAAGATAAAGCTGATGATGAATAGACCCGCGATACCCCCCATGCAGAAGCTATCAGTCATACCATCTCCAACGTCGCTTGTGATTCGTATGCTGTCCGGTAACCACAGCGCGTTTTGGATTTGTTGAATGCATCGTACAAAGCCTGTCTTGTAAGGCAGGAACAAGTACCTGAGTAGTTGACGGAGGGCGACGTCGAAGATATAGTGGAAGCCTCCATCGACCCATGAGTCGGACATGACGCTTAAGCTGATGTAATCGTCCAATTCAGTCATCCAAGAATCGTCGGCCATCTTGAAGGACTTCTGAATCGATCAGGAAAGATCTGTCTAGAGTTCGACGAATCCAGAAGTATGACGTGTGTTTTTGGTTTAGGATCAAAGGCCGAGAGAAGGTTCAGAAGAATAGTAGTGATGATGTGAGTGACTGAAGGGTCTGGTGAATAGCGATCAAGAGGACGGAGAGTCCAACATATCTTCCAGGCGTATCTCTTATATAATGCTTCAGGTGCATCGGAGATAAGAAAGGTTAATTCCAAAGTTTACTCAAAGCACTCCGGAAAGCGAACTTAGGTAGTCCACAGAATCCCTTACCTTTGCGGACACCTCTGTGGTATGCTCGGAAAAACGGCCATCCGACTGTAGATGGGTGCATACCTGCTGTCGAGTGAATACTGAAATTGGACTTGCCGGCTGCGGAAGGACCTTAGCCGTGAACAGGCCGCAGAAACAAGGCCGACGGGGTTGGTCCTGCCAGGATTGTTCTCATCACAGCAAGACACGGAGCGAGACTCACCATTACACTCCTCGTAGGCATCTATGGCACTCACAGCTTCTGAACGCGGACTTCCGTTGTGACTGAGGTAGTAAGAACTTCCGGTGACAAGCAGACATCTGATGGCAAGAGAGATAAGAGCGTGTGGCTGTGTGGGATCGCCTGCCCCAGCAAGCGTCAATGTGGCCAGGTTATGGAATGCCGTGACAGGATTATAGTGACAATCGACAAAGCCGCCGCGCCCTCGGCATCGAGGTCAAGAAGCGGCAGGGTAATTAAAAACCACCATGAACGCATCAAGATAGTAGCAAAGGACAGACAGAGAATTACTCTGACAGGAAATGTCAAGAGATGCCTCGATTCTACAACTAGCATAACCACGAAATTATTCACACTATCTACCGCAATCCCAAGCTGTGTGACAGGGGGCCCCTTCACCAGTGTCATAGTACGTTGGTGCGGAAGGGACCCTCGAGAAAATTTGACCAAATGTATTGGTCGACACAGGAGACACGGGGGATCGGGCGGATACATAGGCGTGAAGGAAACTCATCGTCGTTGTCAGTCCATCTCCGGAATGCAAACCATAATCCTGGCATGCCCTGTGAGTGAATATGGAAGCCATGATGCTCACGAGCAAGAAGTTAGTCAAAGCCACTATGGAGAGATACGACGGGGTAGATACTCACAAGAGTTGTGGCGGGCTGTCCAAAAACCATTGGAAAGGACAGCCCTTGAACCCCCGGAGTCCAACAAGATAGGGCACATTCATCCTGGAGGTATTGTAATACCAGGAGCTGAGAGTAGAGAAGAGAGAGAGCCCAAGGAGTCCTAGAACTCGGAAAGATAGGCCACAGCATCCTGGAGGTATTGTAATACCAGGAGAACAGAAGAGAAAAGTTCCAAAAATTGTCGGGACAGACAGAACTTGGTTACAAAAATTGAGCCGATACACTTACATCACGCGCTCGATTTCACGTCGGGTGACTGAGAGCAGTGCGTCCACAATTGCGATTGCAAGCAACGCGATGAGGAAGACTGGGAGGTATATCGCAATTCGGAGTGTGACCTGGCCCTTGAGCCCCGAACTCTCCAACTCGTGTCCACTGGCATCCCGAAGGATGGCGATCCCGGCCCGCGTGAATCCGGCAATCCGGTTGTGGGCCGCGCCACGAAGGCGGGCTAAGAGGTAAAGAAAAGCGCTGTGAAGATAAGAATGCATCTCGAACGCTGATGATTAAAGATCGTAATAGATTGATGCGGATAGAGAAGAGGAAAAGAAAAGATGAGTGGCAACAGACGATTGTGGGATTAAATGGATGGGTCGAGGCATCTGGTGTGTTGGATCACCCATGTTGCTGCCTCTCCGATGAAATGCACAATTGAGGGCAGGTAACGGAGGGGAATTGAGCATGTACCGGCAAACGTCCCCTGCCGAGTTTGGAACATCGTGCCTCCTCAACGAGACTTTCAGCATCATTGCGAGTATTGCAATTGCCCAGTTTTCGAAATGTTCGTCGGTACATGTTCTGTCTGGAAGTCTTGGCCGTTGGCACACTTCCATCGGACATGGAGACTATGATCGTGGCTTCTTCATTGCCCATGGCCATAGCCAATAATTCCACCTGCCCCATAATGCATCAAAAAAGAGCAGCCTGCATCACTGACCTCGAGGTGAAGGAGGGCTTAGTCTTAGTCTATCCTTCCATCGAAAACTTCTTGCGTCACTGAGCGAGCTACGAGAGGTTATTCCCGCAGTAACAGCAATGTGCACCTCCCCAAAGCATTTGCTCTTTCACCTCCCCACATCACTTACCATTGGCACCTGACGAGAAGACTTCTATCACTCCTTCATATCTTGCGAAAGGTCAAACCTTGCCTTCCCGAACTGTCGACCAGGCTGGAAATGGAACGGCAGACGTGATTTCAACACTTGACCTTCGTAGAAGGAGGAAAGTTACTTCAGATACCTTACCGTAGACAAGAGCGGAGACAGCGCTCCTTCTCACTAAGCATCCTTCTATAATCCCCAATGCCTTCTTCGGCGATTACTAAGCGGGACATTAGCGGAGTCGCAAAGAAGCCAGAAGATGTGAGAAGACGTCAGAAGTAGCCAGCCTTGCTAGTAGTACATACAAAGAGCTCTCATGCTTTCCATTTCAGAAAACAGAATTCCACAGTACGGCCATGTTCTTCGGCAGTTTCTCGCGATGAGGCCTGACATCATGTCATCAGCGGCTGGACCACCTCTGATGAGTGATGCCCGGATCAGTGACCCCGTTGCGACCAGTGAACTCGCATGTAAGGCTTGACACGACTTGGGGCCCTAACAATCTGCTACCTGTGTGCACTGAAACAGTTGTTGTTATGTGAAATTCCCTTAGTCAACGTTATCCGCCGACTGTCCGACTCTCAGGTCCAATTATTCGTCTCCTGTGGTGACTCGCCAAATGACAACTTTTGAACTGGCGCCATCCTTCGAACGGCAAAGTGGACTGGCTAAGATGCCACGGTTGAGACCGAAACATGTGAGTGCTTCTACTATCATTGCGAAACTGGAAATTCTCTGTCTCATTAGCCTTGCAGTCTTGTTTTCAAGATATCGACATGAGACATCGCTCGAGGATTACGTGGGTCATCAACCTCCCACCCTGGTTCTCTGCATCGGCTCAATTCATGAGGGCAGTGAAATTTGCAAAACAGAGGCAAGCATAGGACTCATGTATTCAATTCCGATAATCATTCGCAAATTTGCATGTGCAATTACGATTATGAGGTTGCTAAGCGTCACTTTCGTTGCCAATATGTCATTACTGAGCCACAAGATTACATCCGATGTAAACAGGCTACAGCGCCGAGATCATGGCTTTATCTCGTATAATTCTTTGAATAAGATGACTACGAAGCCGTATGTAAGACCAAGAAGCTTAAGTAGACGATTCCGTGGATCAGTCCCCTCTCGACATCCGGCAACGGATTACATCCTGAGAGAGAAGATAGTTTCACAGCATTTTCACATAAGGTATTTAGACCAGATCAAGAGCATAGAAATACGTGAGCTCCACCATACAGAATAGAGAATGGTTTATAATTTATTCCAACCCATAGAATCATAGTACATCTGATATATACTAAGCTAAAGCAGCGCATGTATTCGAGGCGTCCATGGGGAAACAAAACTGGTGTCCATTGTAAGTAGGGAGTGGGTCAGTTACTACCACTGAAAGGGCTCCGTAAACGCAGTATCACGGCACAAGTGATGAACATATTCCAGCAGAGCTTGAATTTCTCAAAGGCATGTCCCATTTTAGTCTCCTGCCCCTTCTTAGAATCTTGGAAGTTCTGCAACGAAGCACATCCTGGCAACAATGATACCTGGAAAGGAATGGCCATGCTAGTGTCCCTTATGCGGGTTGAAATTTTTGTGGGATCGAAAGTCCATGTAGACTTCGTCTCGTCTGACTCCCTTCTTTAGAATAATGAAGAGCTGTCACTCGTGAAGGATCGAAGGATGGTTGGCATTCTTCTTTGCTCAAGGAACGAGAACTACTTCTAGTAACATATCGCCTTCCTGGGTATCTTCCGAATATCTGTTAGTAAATAGCCAATCGCTTGTGGATGACTGTTTAAAGGACGTAAACATACATTAAATCTTGTAGAGGCGAAGAGTACCTTGAATTGAGTCACGTTGCACAGGGAGGAACAAGAAGTCGATTGAGTTTCGTGACAGGAAAGAGCCTGGGAAAGTCCAATATATTTGTCAGTGAAAGCAGTCCATTAGTCATAGAAGCTAGGCTAAGCTTCTTAGCCATCCGTGGGTCAAAACTGCTCCTCGTCGATTCAGGTAAGTTCAGTGAGCAGATAGCATCAAAGGACTACCCAGCATGGCTATCTTAAGAAGTAGGGTCAATCCAATTCGTAGAAACGCATATCCTGCTGAGACAAGCGCTATGGGTGATACTTGACCCGTGGATACTGAGTAGGGAGATGGATGGTTTGCAGTCAGCGAAGCATGCTGCAGTCCGTGTGAGAGCCTTCGGAATGTTGTTTCCGTTTACTTCCCCAAAAAAAAAAAAAAAAAGGATGTTCATCAGTGCGACCACCTGGTTGTTCAACATAATTTCAAAGATTGAAGTCTCTCCTCCAGCCAGGCTTGTGGGCGTGGGCAAGGTTCGTACCGGATAATCCTACTAATTCAGTCGTCGTCACGCGAAAAGAAGGACGCGCTGGTGTGGACCTTCGACCTTGGATATCTCGTAAATAAAGGAACCGACAAGTTTCAGATGTCGCGAATATCGACAAGTCTTTTTGCTCGCCGCCGCAAAGGTAGAACTGATCTGACAACAGCTGTCGAGTGATAGGTAGCGTTGTCCATAAAGCATGCGAGTTGTTGGATGCGGAAATGATTTTCCACCGACGGCAACCGGACGCCTCTTCATATGAGAACGCGGATTGTCGATCGTTTGGTCCAGCTCTCTAATCTTGTGATCAGTCGGTCCTTCAGATCCTCATTCCTCTTTGGGGGTATTCCGCAAGGTGGAGCAGGTGATGTGCCGGATACCCGAGCGGCAGCCGTTGCGGCACAGTCGCGCACGGCAAAATCGCCATCCCGTCATCCAGATTCCGAATGGCGGAGACGTTACGCTACGCTCGAAGTGTGCCTTGAGTCCGAGATATGTCAAGCATTCAGACTTATCGATCCCATGGGTGATTGGATCCATGGCTTCCCCCCCAGACCTCGGCTTTGATCACACACCACCATGTCAAGTCTGCAATCATCTACAAACCCCTGCCTTGGCGGCGTGGTGCCAAGTAACCAACCAACACCAGCGCAGCATTTTGCTTATCCGCCGGCCGAGTCCCCGCAGTGCTAAGCTTTCCCGGCACTTATGTTTAGTCCGCGCGGATAGCGCCATACCTTAAGGCTACTCTTAAAAGGAAAGTGGTATTCGCAGGCGGATCCCTGGATACAACGGTCAACACCAACGGCTTTCACGATGGTTCCGGATAAGGGAGGAGCTCATTTGACGCCGGATGCACTTCGTTGCAACAGCGTGATTCTCCATCACGCTCTATGACTTGACCTCCATTTTCAAAAAGTTCCTCGGGAAACGCGGCATCGCGATATCTACTGACCTGCGAGAAGCAGAATAGCGGCTTCATTGCATCGGGAGGCCGGGACAATGGCGTAAGATGTTGACTGTCGGATGGCCGATGTCAATGTCAATTCAAACAAACATCACAAAGGATATAAAGATGGGCAAGATTCTCGGCCAAGAAGATAGATTCTAGAACAGCATCGCCAGCATCAATCCCAAGAAGCCCCTTGCCATCTCACCTTCGGTCTCATCCCATCAATCCTCATCTACCTCACCAGCCAAGATGAAGTTCTCCGCTTTCGTCCTCGCCGCCGCTGGCATTGTCGCCGCCGCTCCCGGCACTCAGCTCGTCCAGCGCAACTACTCTCCTCTCACCCCTCGCTCGTCGCGCTCCCGCTACAACTCTTCTCCCATCAAGAGACTCTCCACCGAGGCCGTCGAGACCCTTGAGAAGACCTCCGGCGTCAAGAACGTCGACTACTCCAGCAACTGGGCCGGTGCCGTCAAGATCGGAACCGGATACAACCACGTTACCGGTACCATCACCGTCCCCGAGGTCAGCGGCTCCAGCGGCGCCGCCGCCTCCGCCTGGGTCGGTATCGACGGCGACACTTGCCAGACCGCCATCCTCCAGACCGGTATCTCCTTCTACGCCGATGGCACCTTTGATGCCTGGTACGAGTGGATCCCCGACTACGCCTACAGCTTCTCCGGCTTCTCCGTCTCCGTCGGTGACCAGATTAAGATGACCGTCGACGCCTCCTCCAAGACCAAGGGTGTTGCCACTCTTCAGAACCTCACCACCGGCAAGACCGTCACCCACACCTTCACCAGCACCCCCTCCACCCTCTGCGAGACCAACGCCGAGTGGATCGTCGAGGCCTTCGAGGAGAACGGCAGCCAGGTCACCCTCGCTGACTTCGGCACCGTCGTCTTCACCGGGGCCGCCGCCTCCGGCTCCAGCGGCTCCACCACCCCTGCCGGAGCTGATATCATTGATATCTCCCCCAACAGCGGCCGCACCATCGAGGCCTCTGCCTCCGTCAGCGGCAGCACCGTCACCGTCAAGTACGTCGGTTAAATATTTGCTCAACTGAGTACTTATCACGATTAAACGACTACCACCTTGCTTTAAGGTGGTCTCATACAGGGTGGGATCCTGTAATCATGGGGTTGCGGGGAGTGGCGAGGGGTAGATGCTTGGTTGTTCCTATTCTGAGTCGAATGGAAGCATTCCGCTCCTTTTTGGCGATTGATGGTTGACATGGTGTTATGACGCGGCCTTTTGGCCATTCATCTTGTGCATATTGGATAGCTTCCATAGTAAATGACAGAACATATTCTGCATTTGTCTTCTCCTTCGCGCCATGCATTGAATCTGACATTAGAGAACTTATCTCTGGTTGGTCTGGTAATTCATTTCCTTAGAGCTATATCTCCTCAAGACTTATGCTATAGCGACAGTGATATGAAGACTGGTTAGATCCTTCCGGCAGTTTTTTCGAGGGATGCGTACCCCAGAGATCTCGGGAAATCCTACTTGGTTCGCTCAGGCACGGCATTAACAAGGTTGAGATAAAGTTCTGACGCCGCCATGTACCAACGAACCTTACCTAGTAGTTAGGAGAGGCCAAATCAGATCACGTTTACTTTCCGGGTCCGCCCAATAGTCACAACCTACAAGGATGGAAGGATGGATGAGACGGAGATTCAACAATGCCAATTTCGATGCTTGGCTCGCGATGATGTGGGTTAAGACTTCAAGTGTGATTGGTAATATGTACATGAATAATCTAACGGATGCTTCGAAACCTCATCTTACAACCCACCACTTCATCCTTACGTCTTTGACATCTCAGAGTCACAATCTCTGTGGGCACGTACTTTTGACGAGAGTGCAAGAGTTACGGGGCCTAATAAGGCCACTGGAAAGTGGTAGAAATGTTGACAGACCAAGGTGCGCCAGCAGACAACGAGTCCACGCGGCGAAGCATAAACTCGCTGTGTCTGAATGCCACGCTGGGTGCATACTGGGGCACCATGTGGCCACTGATCTTGGCAGTGGAATGGGTAAAGCCGCGCTCAGTGTGAACGGACCCTTGAACATTGGCACCGGCCCAGCTCGGAACGTTCTCGTCGACGTTGTTAACTGTAGGGATGAGGAGATCCTCTGAGGGCTGCTTCTGGAATCCCTGCTGGCCGTTCCACTTGACGTACTGGATAGCGAGGGTGGTGACGTTGGGCTTGATAACGTAGTCCGCCAGACCAGAGCCGACGTGAACGTTGTTCGTGCGCTCTACGAGAGTTTGGAACTTCTCCTCATGCTCAGTGCCGTTGTAGTTGTCATTGTAGTCGACGAAGACGGGGTCCTGGCACTCGCTCCACGTAGGGTAGTCCACGGGAACGTGGATCGCCTTCCTGACTTCGGGCCTGTTGAAGTATAAGGTGGTGTTGGGAGGGCTGTACATGATGGATGGGAAGCCCAGAACGTCCCAGAGAACGGGGCACGTATCGAGGATGTGGTATCCGTTGAAGCAAGGGTTGATGATTGTTGAGATCGCGTCAAAGTGAGCAATGATATCGCACTCCTCCTTGACGTTTGCCGCTGGCCAGGGACGCGCAGGCGGGGGATAGGCCAAGTGCTTGTTGAAGTACGCGTCCAATTGACAGTTCTTGGCGTCTTGCTCGATCTGCTTGTCGGCACCGCTGGGAAGCGCAAAGACGTTCTTCCAATAGCGATAGAATGATGGGAAGGCGGCGTGGTCGAAGTTCATCGCGTCATCGTAAGGCATGACTGGGTCGTAGTAGACCGCGCCTTTGACGTCGAAGTAGGTGGTGTCGTTCTTGTCGAGCATGGCGGCCCCGACATAGGGCACGTAGATTCCGGCGTAACTTTCGCCGGCAATGTAAATCTTCTTGCCCTGCAGGTCAAAAGTCTTGACAAAGTTCTTCCAGAAGCTGACAAACTGGTCTGCTGTCTCGGCGTTGTCTGTGGCAGTGACATTACCGCTGCTGAATCCTGTGCCGATGGGGTACTCGACCCTTCCAAATCGTTAGTATTAGTACGGTCCTCTTGTGCATTAGCACTTCGAGATTTCTCACCATATCACGTTGGCCAGCTTATGCCAAGACCAAGCATTGGCGACAGGCTTGATGGTGCCATATTGCCACAAGAACGGGCCGTTCTCTTGAAGAAAGCCTGCCAATCTTTAGTAACTCATCATGAAAGGGTTACAGGATTGAGCTTCGCTGACCTTCCATAGAGGAGCATCCCGGGCCACCATTGAACCAGATGATGACATCGTCCTTACCAGCAGGGTTCTCGGTGGGGAAGAACCAGAAGAAGTTCTTCTGCTGTTCACTCTCCGGCTTGGAAGCATCGACGGGAATAAGACCGGCATAGCTCTCGCCAACATCGAAGTCAACGTCCGGGATTCCCGTTCCGTCAACGTAGAAAGCTGAAGTTTCGATGTCAGAGAAGTGGGCAGATTGAAGAGTAAAAAACATTGCCTACCACTGGTCTTGTTGTTGAAGTACTGCAAGGTGCTGCTGCGACGCATAATCGCCCGCGGCGGAGCTTGCACCTCAGCATGGCCAGGAGCGACACGACGGAGCGGACTCCGGTGTGACTTGGGCGGCACGTAGGCAGAGATCAGCGGCAAGTTGAGCACAGCCGTCAGACCGGCGATGAGACTTGAGGTGCGCATCTTGAAGGTATGTCGTCGTCTCTTGCCAAGATGTCAAGCTCCAGAGCCTCAAAGTGACCCTGCAGAGCCAAGAAGAGGCCAAGAGATGCAAAGGAACATGGCATCGCTATTTACATGTCGGTAGGCAGGAGTCCAGCGGGTATGGTGGCAAGTCGGGCGCCGGCCAGTTGGGACGGACAAATAATACGAGATTTGTGCATATTACGGTGGGTAGCGACTTGCCCCAAGGAGGCATGTCGATTGCTATGGCGCTTTCCCCTACTATAATTTTCTATTGCTCATTTTGATCTTCACTCTGCGCGCCGTCTCCCGTTAGCCACTGCATGAGGGACGGTTTGATTCATGTACAAATCAGGCAGGTCAAATGAGATAATCTGGGGCAACCAACTGATAAGAAAGCAAAGTGCCGACATAGCCGGTGTCGGGGTGGAGAAAATTGAGATTGATGTCACCGTCTTTGGTTCAATTAGCAAAAGCTTGTTTTGTTATCCCACGACCAACCACGGACGTTGTACGGCTGTTCCCGTCGATGCACTGTCACCGTCAACGGCCGTCATACTTATCAAGTCTAGCGTCCAAGAAAAAAGTTGATGTGTAGTCCGATTCGAAAATAAAATCATCAGCTCTTCTTCACAATCAACAGCTATCATACCAACGCGATGGTCACAAGTTCAGCATGATCAAACCACGTTTGGTCAATGACCTGTCCGACCCCAAGCCTCTTGAACCGTCTATCTGATCCGTCGCCGGGATCTGACTTTATTTCTGCCAGAAACATCACGTTGAAGCCGCCAGGCTTTTCGTTGAATTTGTTGGTCGAAATCTCAGCAAGACAGAATGGCTCAGCCGGCCACTCGTTCAAGTCGAAGACCACCCACCCACCAGGCGCCATATCTCTTCCAGAAAACAACTTGGTATTGTGCGTCACGAAACCGCCGTACGTGATGGACCCTTTGGGATAAAATTCCATGAAATAGTAGTCATCCCCAGATCGAGTGGATGGGTCTCCTTCTTGTCGCGCCTCCCACTTCTTCAACCGAGCCGAAAACCTCCACGAAGATACAGAATCCTTTGTCTGCACGCGGTTCAGTTGTTGAATGCAACTTTTCGCCGCCCGAGCTGGTGCGAGGAAGGATATCGCTCCAATGGTAGATGTCCAGGACCAATGGGGTTGATCTCGAAGAGCGAGCGGACGAGCCAATGTCGATTTCGCGAACCAGAGCAGTTGAGTGAGTACGCAATGCGCATGGAACTCTTCGTTGAGTTGTGAGTCATCGTGGAATACTCCAGAGGTGTAGTCCTCGGCAATCCCTTTGCCGACCTCAGTAGCCAAGCCCAAGATTGCGACAGGCTTGTCCGACTCGTATGTGAGGCTTCGTGCAGCGTAGGTGGACACCAGATCGCACCAGTCTGCATAGAAACCTAAGATCTCCTCGTTGTCTACGTACGAGCCATTTTTCGGTTTCCCTTCCTTGGCTTGTCGATATCGCCTGGCGCTGTCAAAGAGCCTCTGCTCATCCCCCGATGTCTCATTCTCACCATCCTCGCATTTGAGCAAAGTGCGACACGCCCAGACCATTCGTGCTTTTGTATAATGTATAACACGAGGGGAGAGCATCCATTCTTGAGTAATCCATGCCCGACTGCCGAGCGGGGTTTCGCTGACCGTGGTATCCAGTGCGTCAGGAAACAAAGTTGCCGACATATATTCTCTTTGATCCGGGTCTCCGTAGGGAAGACGGACGGCTGGTTGCAGTGGAGGACGTGGAACGAAGCAACCCTCGGATCCGTTTTTGGCACTCGACGCGGCGACAGTGATTTCGGCATCTTTGTAGATGCGCCCCATCTGAACTGACTCCTTGCGCCAGTCATCAGCGTCATCCTGCACGATGCATAGACTATCGATCCAGAGGTAACGTAAGCTGAGAAACCGTACGATCTTGATGGCATCTTGGAAGGTCTTGGGCAGACTGGAGAACTGAACAACCACACAATGCTGGGCCAGGTTGTGAGATGTTGTTGTCAATATTCTTTCCTTTCCCCAGCAATGGCTCAGAGCGGCATAGGGGGCATTGATCCCTTTAGTTACCAGAAGCTTCGGCTCTCCTGATCCATCAGCCGGACCAATGTCAAGGACTCTAGTAGGCAGTGCTGGCACAATGCTTGAGTGGCTGTTTGCCAAGGAGTCTTCTGGCCTAGTAAATGTCTCGTTGCAATCCACGTGATTGGTTTTGCAAGTGTTGTACCAACGCTGTACAAGCCCAAAAGCCTCACTGGAGCCTGAAGGTGTCAATAGCCTCGTGCCGATAACGTCTTGGTTGCGAGCGGGTGCGCTATCTGTAAAATGAACATCTTAGCCTACCTTGGCGGCTATGGACCTGTTTGTCTGTTGGAGCTCTTACCAGGATCCGAGAATAGACTCATCTTCACTAGATCATAATCGTACTCGATGTCTGGGATATGCACATTGATGCCGAACAACATTGGAGCCTGCACACGGGCTCCATGGTCGTCCTTTGCCGTATCTTAACCATCGCCGACTCCAAACAAGTACAGAGGTTCAGGCTTCGTGTTCGTGCGAAGTTGTTCGTCTGTGATCCATCGCGAGACGTATGAGTCTGCAAAAATCGCACGCCTTGGCCGAGTCAATGAGGTCGTGTGCACTGGCGATATGTCGATATCCATCAGGCCGAGCCAAGACTTGCGGGGCAATGCCCTTGCAAGCTGGGCAGAGAGATACCATGGTTGCAATTATCGAACCCAACCGAAGATTGAACACACCTTGGTGATGGAGTTTGCAATGTTCGGAGGGAACGACTTAGCACTAAACAGTATGTCTTCAACATTGTCTCGAGGAAATGGTGAAAGCGATTGCGCGATATTCCGCAACTGCTACAACTGTTCAAATATCCGCCAGCCATTCAATGCCACTGTTTCATGCATGTCATTTTAGCCAAGCTGGAACGCTGTTGGCTAGATATCGCCAAAAAAAAATGGTCAGTAAAGTGGAGCCACGATGAGACCAGTCCCCTCTGCCTCCTCTTGCTGTGATTTAAGAATCACTTCTGTCTTTTTGGTCATGCGCTGTTTGTCAAACCTTACATACATTCCATGTATCCCAATTCTTTTTGCCAAAGTGTAAGTTGGCTGCAACATTCCGCACGTCAGATTTGAGGCTTGATAAATTCATATCAAATCATCGGGTTCAGGCGAAGACATCAGAATGATGGACGACCCATGGGTTGACGCAAAGATCATACTTAGCGTGCCAGAGTCGAGGGAATTGTGATTATCTAGACGCTCCTTGGCAACCTCAGCAGCCCGAACCGCAGCCTCGATTCGAATCGTTAGTGGAGCAGTCCGAGAATTCCATGCCCATTGAAAAGCTCCTCTAGATTTCTCCAAATCCGTGGCGTCACCAGCGTGGAAACTTCGCGCGTGGAGCACATCCCCCAAGCTGAATTCCAAGCCGAATTTCAAGTATCCTCTCTCGGGGAGAGTGTCTGGGAGACCACCTTGAAGGACGTCTCCGAGAACATCAAAAGCCTCGTCCAAATTGGCAGCCTCGCCATATTGGTTGTAGTTTTCTTCCCGCATATTCGAAAGAACGTTCGCCAATGCCGCGCGCATTCCCATTTCATCGCCGTCCACCTCCTTAGCCGCTTGTCTACTGAGGTCGATTGCTTGTTTAATATCCTCTGGATTCTTCGAACCCATGCTGAATCGTATACCCAGAAACTGGCTGGGTTCCCTAAGCTAATTAGTCCGTTCCGGATAATTTGAACGCACCAGGTGTAAAGCTTGTTGCCCATAATCAACGGCATCATCGAGATTGCTGAGTATGCCGGTGTACTGCGCTCGCTCAGCAAGCCTATTTTCTAGATTGTACAGCTGAACAGGTCTATCAAAATCATCATTGCTCATCAACTGCAGTGCACTTTTCGTGTATGAAATGCTTGCATTGAGGTCGTCCACATCGCCTTGTTGCTCGGAACGTATGCCCAGCAAGGTTGCCAGGTAGCTTGTACCGACCACATAGTCCATCTGGTTGTTTGGGATCAGTGGCACAGTGTCAGTGAGAACGCCGACTGCACGATCCAGATCCTCAATGTTCGCTGTTTGCTCGAACCGCCTCCCCATAATTCTTGTTAGAGTGTTGGAACCGACTGCCACACCTTGAGCACGCGAGACGGCGAGCTGACGCAAAATCAGGGCAGTGTAACGCCAGTCCTTGGGTATCCTCTCCACTGCATCTTCACCTACGCTGATGGCCCGATTGATATCCGGCTTGTCTCTCGTGCAGTCGCACCGGTTTTGTAACATTGTGTTTAGGTTAGCTAAAGCAAAGATCCGCTGCTCCGTTCCTGGGCGCGGGGCTGGGACGTCTTCTTCGGCAAGTTGCACGGTCCTGTTCAAGTCATTCACGTTTCCGTCGGATCCCATCATCGAGAATCATTGATAGAATGCGACGGAGAGGTCGTCTAACAAAGTCGCACGGAACGCATGCTTTTCTGGCACGACCGATGAAACCTGTTCGTTCCACTCGATAATGAGATTGACGTCTTGAAGCGATCCCGTGAAAATACTATGGAGCTGTTCCAAAGCTCTCTGGGCAGCGTTTATGGCTTTTGCAAGTGCTTGCTTTGCACCAAGATCATCTGGATGTTGGAAGAGTACCTCCGCAGGCTGGCGGATGGCTTCGACAATGTCCGCAAAGTCCCCCATCGGTTCTTGATCGGTCTAATCGACTATCAGACAAATGCAACAAGAGAAGCGATTCAAGAGGAAGTCGATGTAGGTGTTGGACAAGATAAGATCAGATCCAGCTGTACATCGAACGAGCGTCGCAATCTTTGTGCAGGACGTTCAATACTAAGATTGGCAGCTTCAGAGGTTAACATTAGATTATTATAACCGTACAACGCATGCTTTCAGCCAAGCAAGAGCGGGGGCTATATGATGTTGTTTTGGACGCCATGGTAAGAAGGGAGCAGCTTTCCTTACGGCTGACCTCCCGAATGATATGTGGCGTTCTTTTTGTCACTTTATTGGACGCCGTGGCGGCAGGGGTGTAGCAGTCCTTGTGACTGAACTCCTAAACGGTACATTGTGTGGAAAGCCGCAGGCCTACTTTCGGTACATACATCAGCAGAGCAACCGTAGGCTGGGTACCAGAGTCAAGAGTTGATTGTCCTGCTGCGTAAGTGGTATGGAAGGTGAAGAATGGGTAGAAGCCCAAGACTTTTCCAGAATGTGTACTAGGTCAATGGGGGGAGGGTCTAGGGGACTACACCACCTTCTAAATTCATATCTTCTGCAGACTGCTTACATTTCAACGCTTCCAAATAACACAAGATACTGAGACAATCCTTACAAATTGTGTCATAGGCTACTGCGCGTTTGGGGTGTCTACAGGCATCACTAAGTCACCCCAAACGGATTCTCAAGCCTCGAGGCTGGATGCTGATGGAAAAGATATCTTTGAGGGCCATTTGTAAGCCCACTGAGTGAATGACTCGCTAGTCCTTGGGTTATTTCTTTATAGATTCTCAGAGAAAGGGGCTCGGCAAATAATCACTAATCTCTTGTAATAATTCGCACGACGCTCTAAATGACGTGGTTTATAAGCAAGTAATGACGGGTATCCTTGCTTTGAGGAACTACATCGTGTATTTAAAGCAACAGGCTGCTAAGAAAGACTGGTTCATCCCAAGTCTCTCATCAGTCGATCAGTTCCTCAAATCCTCGTCTCAAGCTCTCTGCTAGTGTCTCAAAACTCATGATGCATTCTTTTATCTTCTCTGGGCTGGCTTTGGCTGCTACTTTAGTACGGCCCGTATACTCCATAGACCTTCCCAACTACACCGGATTAAAGACAACCCAAAATGGCAGCGTTCTCACGGTGACTTTTCACAACCCGTCGTCACCTATCAACTTGTGGAACCTGGATACACAGGATGACTTGACCGATCTGGTTTCTCGCCTCCAAGGTAACAACGAAACCAAGGTCGTAATTTTCAACAGCGATGTTCCTAGGTTCTTCATGGCACATCTAGATCTCTCCCTGCCTGAGTTGGCGGATCGTAAGTGCGCCCTCGAAACAAACCTGAACTCTCTATTAGCTTTGTGGCACAATCACTGACATCTTGAAGCTGCATTTGGTCAAGAATTTGGAGCTCTCATCTACAACGTTTCTCAGTTGCATCAAGTCACCATCGGGGCTGTAGAAGGCCGCGCCCGCGGTGCCGGCAACGAGTTCCTCGTTTCTCTCGACATGCGGTTCGCCACAAAGGGCGAGAGCCTCTTCGGTCAACCTGAAGTCGGAAGCGGCCTCTTCCCTGGTGGGGGCGGCAGCCAGTTTCTCCCGGGCCTCATCGGCAGAGGGCGCGCCATGGAATACGTCCTGAGCTCCAACGACATCAATGCAGAAGACGCCGCGCAGATTGGCTGGATCAACAAGGCATTCGACACCTCCGGTGAAATGTACGGCTACATCGACAAGCTCGCACAGCGCTTCAGTTGGTTCCCTCTCTCAGCTCTCAGCGGTGGCAAGAAGACGATCAACAGAGCTTCGGCGCCGTCGCTTGAGCAGGTCATTGAGGATACCAAGGACTTCTTCCAGCAACAACTTGATCCGGAAGCGCAGGCTATTGCCAAGCGGTCGGCGTTGCTGTCTCGCAATGTCTCAGCCGTGGACTTGGAGCTGAACTTGCCTGAGACGATTGCCCGTCTTTATACCTAAGGGGGAAAATCAGTTTGAACGGACTGTGTTGTGAAAAACGTTTGGGACTTCGCCTTCCTCAGCGGCGTAGTTGATATCTCAGTTGCGGAAATTTCTTCCTTTACCTTAGTTCAACTTGGAAAGATTGGAGTATTGGTACATAGGTAGTTCATCAAAGTAAGCCGATGCTAAGTCTTCATCTCCATCACCTTGAAGTAATCCGTAAAACTTTATCGTCATCTCATTCTCGAAATCATCTCGTGCTTTGAATAAAATAACGTTAATACCGAGCCTCCATGATTTTAATTGTCGTAATTTGATACTTTGGATACCGAACGTTAGCCCATTGGGATTGTTAATAGTACCTCAAGTTGGGATTGTCGTTACCGTGCAAAAATCCCAATAGAATTGCGTATCGGAATATTTGTCACCAAAATCACAACTCAAAGACACTTCTAGGTCAACAAAGTAGATACGATCCTGCTCTGAGGGTTGAGGGGACAACCATTGGGCTCTTTTGGCCAATGGGCACGCAGGTATCGATTGGCTTGAACAGAGCTTTGTCCTGGTGTAACGCGCGCGACCAACTCGGGCTCTACGACTAATACCTCCGACTCAGCTGCAGTCAGCGTCAGCTGAAAATGATTAGTGAACGCGTCGTGTTGGGGTGATAGAGTCGGACCAATGCAAGTTCCGCTTCCGCATTCGTGTATCGCCGGGGGCGCATGCCAAACCAAAATAAGTCGCAATTTCGCAAATACTTTTCATTCATTTTGAGAAGACAAATCTTGGTCAATTGTCTTAATTTGTGGACTAGTAGTCGGATTGGTCAGCGAGTTTTCAACTCGGCGCCAGCTTTCCAAGCTCTTCGATCACCGCACAGCCGCAGCCATGAACGATAAAGCAAAAACAAAGTCTCCGAGACAAGCCGTCATATGAACCAATCAGTTGGTATTGGCCGCGGCTTTGAGATTTTGCCAATCAGTATAATATGACCCATTGGCTCTGCTGACCGTCGCTGAGCCCTCGAGATTTACAGCATCACATTGGCTTCTAAGATACCCCTTCACCTCGTTTTACCCATTCGAAGCATCATCGAATCAACATACCCAACTTAGTCAGTACCACGTAACAACGCGCCCATTTCATCCATTCACTTTTCCGTGAAGTCGTTCCCGTCGAAAACTCTACTTCACACCACGACGTTACCATGACATTTTCCCCAGAGAAGGACATACCAGACCTGGCCGGCAAGGTCATCATCGTCACAGGTGGCAGCAGCGGTCTGGGGAAAGAAAGTGTTATTCAGCTAGCAAAGCATAACCCCGCGGCAATCTACCTCACGGCTAGGACAGAAGCCCGTGGTAATGCCGCCATCAAGGAGGTGGAGCAAGCCGTGCCGGCAGCCAAGAACAAGATCAAGTACCTCGAGTTAGACTTAGGCTCCTTCGCCTCGATCAAGAAGTCCACCGACACCTTCCTCACCTCATCCGACCGTCTCGACATCCTGATGAACAACGCTGGTTTGATGGCTACGCCACCAGGCCTAACAAAGGATGGATACGAAGTTCAGTTTGGATCAAATTACATGGGTCCGGCTCTGTTCACCAAGTTGCTGCTTCCGATCCTCAACAAGACGGCCGAACAGCCCGGTTCAGATGTCCGCGTCGTCAACTTGAGCTCCGAACTCTTCAAACAAGCGCCTTCGGAGGGAATTCTCCTCTCAAAGTGCAAGACCCCGCTCGACGACATCTCCAGTCTGACTCGCTATGGCCAGTCCAAGCTCGCTGACTACTACCACACCCGCACGCTGAGCCAGCTATACCCCTCCATTAAGTTCGTCGCAGTCCACCCTGGAGTCGTCAACACCGGTCTCTTTGACGACTTCAGAAAGAGAAGGCCCTGGGTCGGCGGAATGATTAGCGTACTTGGGTCGATCTTCCTGACCGACGTCCACGCGGGCGCGCGAGCTCAGCTTTGGGCCAGCACGGCTGCGAGTGCCAATGTGAAAAGTGGTGGCTTCTACAATCCGAAGTTCAAGGAGTATAAGGAGGCGAACTTGTACGATGATAAGGCGGCCCAGGAGTTGTGGGATTGGACCGAGAAGGAGCTTGAGGGTCATTGATCTCGTTCATCTGAACTTTTGAGCATAGGTTCCTTTGACATTTCAGCCAGGCGACGGACTGTTTAAGAAAAGGAAAGCAACCCATGTTACGTTTCTATCCCATGAATTGCTATAAAGCGACGGTGAATGTTTGAATACTTTGAGAAGGGATCACAATTGATCACAAATTAACATAATCTTATTTCCCTTGTATTCGCCTATGAAAGATTCCTGGGAAGATGAATGATCTGAACTGATGAGTATCATTCTCCGTTTTCAAGGCTCCATCTGGATTATGTTGATGAGATTCCGATATGCTCTTATTTGATTTGACCAGATTTTGTACAAACAGTGAAAAACATCACCCCTCAACTGTGATATGTGTTCAATGCTACCAGTAATGATCCATACTACCTTGTTTCATCATCGAGAGCATGACACAACTTTCTTGACACTCTTACCACAAGCAGCTGGCCGAGGGAGTCGAGTATGCCTCGAAGCTTTTCAGCCACGCAATGCTCAAATGTGGCGGACCGAGGCGCTGCAAAACTACTGTTTAGATGAGTGGCTGGAGTGACCATGCGCCGCATGTTTGTGGCTGTGCCAAACACTGAGCAGAATTGTTCCTCGGTTTCGGCCTCAGATGCGATAGTGTCTTGTTGGCCCAACCTTGTCAAGTTACATGTGACTTGGCTAGGAATTGAATATTCTTCAAGGTAGCTGGTCTGACAGTCACACCTTCTTGAGAGCTGCAATAAATCCGTCAAGTCGCGGGTAAGTCGCGAGGAGCAACAATGTGGCGCACGCAGCCCCTCAACTGTTGCGAAATAGCGCTTGATCACAGCTAATTAGCGTGAGATTCGACCATTCCTTTGAGGCGTCAAACGGGAAGCAAAAGGGTCTGATCTCTGCATTGCTCGAGCTTCCCTCCGCATTGCCAGGGGACAGACAGCTTCCTCATTTGACGTCATCGCGAGCCTAATCTGACTGTCTGACATCTAGCTCTCAAGCTCTCAACGAACCAGCGCCTTGTGCCCCTCACCTCATCATCCCTTCTCTCAGGGACTTGTGTTGTGTCTCATCGCCCGCGAAACCGGATGGAGGCGCTAAGCAATAAGCACTGCCCCCAATGGTCTACTCAGCCGCAGGCAGCCAGCAGATCTTCAAAGTATCGAGGTTCGAGCTGAGGGTAGGAGCTTTGGTGAGCTTTCACGTGTGTCTTACTTAAAACCAGTCGCCATCCCTCGTCTCCGCTGCTTGGAGTGTTTCCAAAGATCAGTACTTCAGTCAACACCTATCGCGACTTCAAAATACACGGCAAGAAACGGCACAAAAAAGACCCAGTAATATCCCTCCACGCGAAAACACCACGAATACGCATTATGGCTGCCCCAGCAGTTCACAACCTGCCCCAAGCCGGAAATTCGGTCGGCATCTTCCCGCAATTGACGGCGCGCCAGAGCGAGACCCTCGTGCTCAAGGAGAAGATCCTCTCCATCACCGGTGACAGCTTCGACATCAAACTCGCCAATGGCCAACCGATCCTCCGTGTGCAGGGCAAGGCGCTGTCCATCTCGGGCCGCAAAGCAGTTTACGACATGTCGGGGAACCACCTCTTTGATATCGTAAAGGAGCACCTGCACCTCCACACGACATTTGCGGCGCAGGATCCCAAGGGCAATAAGATTATGGAGGTGAAGAATAGCTTTGCTCGTGAGTTTGCTATCCCCGCCTACCTACCTAGTGCTAGTAATAGCGGATAAGAGTACCCAGCTAACCATGTGGGTTGCACCAGTCATCGGCTCAAAAGCTACCGCGACGTTCGTTTCACCGCAGACAGGCAAGACGGAATCGCTCGAGATGAAGGGCAATTGGCTGTCGACACAGGCCGATATTGTCGACACGAATACCGGCCAGGTGCTAGGGCGAATTGACAGAAACATGCTCCGGGCGCGCGACTTCTTCGGTGGCAAGCAGACGTATGCCCTAACAGTGGCGCCGGGGGTCGATATGGCACTCATGTGTGCCTTGTGCATCTGTCTGGACGAGAAGAAGAATGACAACAAAGGTTAAGAGAGAGACGAGAAGAGAAAGGCACCTTCTTTGTGCCCTTGATGATGAATGCGTTTCTTGACAGTCATTGCGATTGATACCTAGTTGAACAGAACCTTACATGTTCTGAATTCCAAGTACCTATTTCCTATGGTCGCCATCCTTGCGGCAAGAACATGTCCCAGCTTCGACCGACCCCGGCAATGGGGTGGCAACGGCAGAGAAAGGAGTTTCTTTTCTGTTCTCATTCCCGCAAGTCAGTCTGATCCCAGGCCCGTCTGATCCCAGGCCCGTCGTCTCGTGCTGCGTTCATAGCATTCATATGATGTTCCGGACCTCTTTCATCGGCTCGGTTCGGTCCGGAGACCAATCAACACCGTTTCACAGCGATGAAGTGCCGATGAAAGTGATTCAGACAGCCGGCATACCACCCCGAACAGCCTTCCCCGCGCATTTCCCCACAAACATATGCCTGGGTCCGGGGAACTTGCACCTAGCGCGCCTGATCGGGGTGTTCGTCTGCAAGCAACCCCAACCAGGCGGTTCCTTTGCGGATTCTGCGAGGGTTCCTAACATGTAATGAAAATCGGGAAGGCCCTAACGATCACACGAGTCGAAGATGAGGACGCTCTGCTCGGCTACCGATGGCCCGAGCAGTCATGCTTTCAGGTGCAAGGGTGACACGACGTAATCTGCTCGGTGTGGATAATGCGAAGATTTCAGACTACAAGACGACGCCCACAAGCCGAAGAAATTGAGACTGAAATGATCGCTCTCGTTGAGTCTTTCGTTGTGAGAGGAAGTTCTACTGTTTTGCACTTCCGAGACATCGCTTCGATCTCTCCTGCCCATAGCATTGGGTTCCGGAAGTAGGAATGGCAGTCTCACGTTTGCTGCTGGCCCTCGCAGCCAGTGCCACCGGTGTTGTCGCCGGTATGTCAAGCAGAAACTCGACCACGAGGTATGACACCAACGCCTGCCATCTCCCACGGAAAGAGCCAATTCCTAACATCAAGATTTTCAATTCGAAGCTTCACGGCCAAAGGCATCGCTACTGGCACGGCAGCACAGCTCCAAACCTTCCCGTTCACCCCTTTCACTTTGAGCCCGGAAATCCCGATGGCTACCTTGGATTACGGAGCCGAGAGAGCGGGTTATCCGATATTTGAAGTCTCGGCCCTCAGCGCCCCGGCCCAGATCGAGGTGAAGTACACGGAGCACTTTGACGGGCTCGATCACCCGTTCGGCGACGGGCCGTACACCTTTTCGAATCAGCTGAGCAACAGCTTCCGCGTTGAGACATTCAACATCACGTCTATCGGCCGAGTCAAATCCCTGCTCATTCAAGGAGGGCAGAAATGGCAATCCATCAAACTTTTGACGAATGGCACTGTTTCGTTTTCTAGCGTGGGCTTCGAGGCGACGATCGATACAACTGAACCAGAGGAGTTACCTGGACAGTTTGAGAGTGACGATGAGGTTCTGAACGACATCTGGAAGCTCGGTGCTCGGGCAGCCACGGCGGCTTGCTTTGACAAGGGTACGCAAAAGACAATCTGGGAAGTCTCTGAAGAGAACGGGGTGTTTGCGCGTAGCACCAGACCCTCGGTGACATACAAGGGTACAGCCTGGAGCAATTACACTCTTGAGTTTGATACCAAGATCGAGAGAGGAGGGAGCTGGTGGGTGACGGTAAGTTTGGACTCATGCAAGTTTCGGCGGGAAGCAAATGCTGATGAGACTCGCAGGGAGGAGTCATTGCCGGCAATGGATACACCATGCTCCTCACCGGCGAGCTTCCCGAGTCGAGCACCTTCGCCAACGTCAATAAGACTCTGACACCGCCCAACACCATCTCGTTGGCGTACGGTCCCGACTTTGTCAACCAGACAACGCTCACAAGCTACTTGCTCGACGTCTTTAAGGTCCCATTCACAGTAAAGGAGGACGAATGGTACCACATCAAAGCATCGATGGCTCCCACCGGCCACCTAGCAGTCTCCATCAACGAGACCCAGATCCTCAACATCTCGCGCTCCGACTACCCGTGGGCTCTCAGTTCTGGCACAGTCTCCTACTCCGGATCCCCTGACTTCAGCGGCTCCTTCGGCTTCGGAGCGTACCAAGATCAAGCAGCCTACTTCAAGAACGTGCACGTCTACGACACCGCTAACGGCTCCACGCTCTACTCAAACACCCTCACCGGCAGCGCGGAAGACATCCTCGCCGAATACGGGACTCAGGCCAACAGCGAAGCCGCATGTCTTGACGGTCCGAAGCGAGATCGCCTCATCTGGCTCGGTGACTTTTACCACACGGCACGCATCATCGCCGCCAGCACATCAAAGACGGAGCAGGCCAGAGGCACCCTTCAACTCCTGCTTGATTCACAAATCGCAAACGGGCAGATGAACATCTCACCTAATCTGGGCTACAACCTCTCCTCCGTCGCCGATGCGCTGGCGCCGGCGGGGAGCTTCGGGCTGCAGGATTACCAGCTCCTAGGCCTGATGGCTTTCAACGACCACGTGCGTCTGACGAACGACCTCGACTGGGCGAGATCTACCTGGCCACGGTGGCAGAGGGTGCTCAACTGGCTTCTGCCGCAGATCAACTCCACGACAGGGCTGTTGACTTTCGATGGGGGGTTCGCGTTTACGGGGCCTGCGGACGGGGGATCCGCGATCGGATGCGAGGCTGTTCAGACTCTCAACGGTGCCGCTGACGTTGCTGATGCGCTCAACGATACGGCATCTGCTACTCAATACAGAGGCGCTGCGATGTCGCTTGCGAACGCGATTAACGAGCGTCTCTGGAACGAAGAGGCAGGCGCGTACGGCCTTTCGCTGACAGACCTGGACGGCATCTCGGTGGCTGCGACGGCATTCTGCATCACTTCAGGCGTGGCGAACGCAACGCGCGCATCACGGTCTCTTGCCGCTGTATCCCGCTTGAAGCTGGGACCGGGATACAAGGATACGTCGGTGGTGAGTTCCAACGACTCGAGCGTCAACATTTCACCGAACACCAACGGTTTTCTCCTGGAGGCACTATTCGTCGGCAACGAAACGCAGGCAGCAAGAGAGTTGATGGAGAGTCTCTGGGGCGCCATGCTCCCCGGCGACACAACCGCAGCACAGAACAGGAGCGCGGTCGGCGCGAGCTGGGAGTACGTCAACGCTGCGACGCGACAGCCCGGCCTGGGACTGTTCACGAGTCTAAGTCATCCATGGGGCGGCGCCGCAACGTATGTGTTGACGGAGTGGGCTGCAGGGCTACGGGCTGCTGCGGGTGTCGATGGGTTCGGGTACAGGAATTGGATGGTGTCGCCTGCGACTGGTGTCGAGATGGGGCTGAAGAGGGCGAGCGCTAAGGTTGTCACTGCGTTTGGAGGAGAGTTGAGTGTCGAGTGGAGGGTGCGTGAGGGTGATATTGGTGTTAGTATTTGGGCACCTGTCGGTACGCAGGGACGGTTTGTTTACGGGAATAAGAGCATTGCGTTGCATGGGAGATCTGAATATCAGTTCACTGTCGACGCATCGCTGGATAATGGTATTATTTAGACTAGCACAGCCTACCTTGCTTATCTTAGCTTAATAGGGTGATGAGTCCGAAGTGAGAAAGAGAGATTGAGTGCTGAAGGAATCTGTACGTGCTTGCCCGGAAGCATAGATGGTTGTGCATCTAGTTTACCTACTAGGCTAGAGTCGTGACGTCGTAGATAGTGATCTCGGGTTGGACGGTCAGTCACGATGTGGTTCCCCGTCTGACGCGTCTGCGCCGTTTGGTCATAGCCGAGACACAGTCAGCGCTTGGTCGTTCTTATTGTGGATTCTCGCTTTGAGTTGCCATCGACTGGCCTCCACTCAGTCGATGGGTCATTCAGACCAACTAGAGGTTGTATAGTGTAGCGGTTATCACTCCAGATTTTGATCGCATCAAAACTTCTGGTAACCCCGGTTCGAACCCGGGTACGACCTGATATAGTATCATGTTCCTTGATCATTTCTCTCTCTTTTGCATTTTTGCAACATGTGATGCATGAGAGTAGTTTCAGTTTTAAGCATCTAGGTAAAGGTTTGCATGCACAACTAGTGTGATGTGAACATGGCCTCAAGCTCTGTGTATCATCACTGGGGAGAAAACCACTGATAATATCATGCCTCCACCGTCAGCCGAGCCCACTGACTCAACTGCATGCCGTCTATAGTGTCAGTAGCATAGTAAAGTCGATGTCGAATTGTACACACAATGCTTGCCAGAGTGAGCCAGTAATTGAGACTCCAGCCAATGATCGATCTAAAAATAATTCCCGCTCATTAATGAACATTACTTACCTACGTGATTCATCGGCACGCTGCGACGAGACGAGTCGGGCTCACTTCCGGAACCTCGTAGCCCGGCTTTCACAACGCTCTGCCGGCTACTTTCGGCACCGAATTCCGGCATCGGAGCTGCCAAACAGAGACCGTGCCCTGCCACTTCCCCTCAAACCCCGAACTCGAACCGCTCCACCTCCGCACTCCCCGGTCACATGACGCCGTGATTGATCTCTCCGTGTGAAGCTTTCCCCTCCTTGGTGCTGCGATAATGTCAATGTCAGCCAGAATCCTCAGAAGCAGCTTCGTCCCCGCAGTTCGGAGACCTTTTGTCACTACTAGACTTGTCTCTTCACCGTTCACTCGCTGCCGCACAATGGCTACCAAGGAGTTCCTCTGCATCCTTCCCGACAAGCCCGATGCGCTTGCCCGGCGTTTGGAGGTCAGGCCGTATGTCACCTAGTTCTCGGAACAGGTCTCTTGTAAGAGGCCGAGTGTAATGGCGGGCCTATTGCTGACCTGTCTCAGTACGCATCTCGAGAATGCCCAAGGTCACAAGAGTAACGGAAAGGTTGCCGTTGGTGGTACGTATTTGACTCCGATGCATCCTATCTCTGTTAGAGTTGGTCACGATATTCACGCTCATGAATAAAATAGGCGCCATGTTTGAGAAGGAGCATCCTGTCGAAGGCCAGACCCCCGGCTTCAAGGGTAGCGTGATGATCTACACGGTTAAGGACGCCGAGGAAGCCTGGGAACTCATCAGAGGCGACATCTATGCCAAGAACGACGTGTGGGACCTGGAGAAGGCTCAGGTCATTCCGGTAAGTTTGCGTTCTGCTCTAAGGCCAGGTACCTTTTCATAAAGAATCAAGCTCACATGAGACACTCAATGTAGTTCAAGTCGGCTATTCGCGAGTCTCTGTAAGATCTTGATGTCCGAGTGAGCTGGTACGTCTGGAAACCACCATGTCGCAATCTAGACTTGGCTACAACGTATTCCGCCAACTGAATACACAGAAAGCCCATATAGGTGCCTCCATCGCCGCTCCCGTCACCAGCACAGTAGGCGCCTTCCCAGGTCGGTTATTCAGGTCAAACTGGCTGGGCGGTGGAGTGGTTCAAGGTCAACAGTTAATTACGCCCACAGCCTACTCGACGACAGGCTCATAAGTACCCGAGTTCGAATCCCAGCATGAGCAACCAGAGACGTAGCCCCACCGGGGGTGAACTCTTTGTTCTATTGCGCCGAGAGCAATCCTCTAGTAGCATATGACTGGGACAGAGACGAGAGCACAAAAATAGACCACCAAAGAGCCTTTTGTTGCCATTATCGTAATCCATTTGTCTTTAAACTTTTGACTACCGTAAATCATTATCTTCTGTCACCATCCCCATCAACAGATTGAATCAAGTCCTCCACATCCAACCTCTCCGCCAAATCCAGCAACGCCTGCGGAGAAAGACCGCCCATCCCGCTCGTATCAAAAATATCCCACCCAGCCTCCTCCATCTGATCCAAGAATGACCCATGCTCGTGCCCGTGCCCATGATGATGCTGAGAATGATGATGCGCCGCACTCGTCGGCGGCGGCGTCGGCGGCTCCTCGCCCACAGGCGTCAACGCAGACATGATGTGTTCCAACTGACTGAGCTCCAGCTTCCTCAGCGGCGCCACAAGACTCCCTTTTGAAATCATCTTGTCTAGCACGCACTTGATATTCTCGCACCATGAATCGTCGTGAAGAAGGGACGGGCTGATGACGCGAATAAGGTAGAGGAGGAAGGCGGAGGAGAAGGCGTCTTCGAGCTGAAAAGGGAGGAAGGCTTCGAGGAGGTCTTCATCGCCGAGCACACGGAGGGTTCGGAGGACGGTTTGTGCCGAGTCGACGCAGGATTGGAGGAGGGATGCGACTGGTGGTGTCAGGGAGACTGTTTGTGGGTGTCGCGCGTGGCTGTCAGAGTGTTCGATGTGCATATGGAGCGCGCACATGACCAGTGGTCGAGTTGTCAAGACGACGCACTTCTGGAGTTAGCCATGTCACTGGAATAGTGCGGAGAAGTACTTACGTGGTGATAAGATAGGATAAGTCGTAGTGCCATCCTAGAAGCTCGGCTGACCGAGCCTTGAAAGTGGGTGTCGAGGAGTGCGGTAAGATCTCGTGATAATCTGGCTAGGTCCCTTAGGATGGACTGTGTATTGGGGACCAATGAGCCATCAAACTCTTTGCCCACACCGTAAATAGCTGGTGACATCATGTCAGTATCCCACAACTTCAGCTCATGTTGTTTTGTGGTCGGAGAACTCACTTGTAAGAATACGGGCCATGAGCCGCGATAGCCGTACGTGGAGGGTCATGTTGAGTGCATCGAGGGAGTTATTCATCTGTGAAGGGAGTTTCACAGTGATGTCCTCGTCTCGAATTGAAGTCGGCGCTCCCATCAAGGCCGAGAACTCTCTGTCTAGAGTGTACACCACCCAGAAGACGATGTTGCAGCGTCTCGAGTATTCAATCCCGACAACTTCTTCGGGCATGTGTCTGTAGATGCCCTCAACAATACCGATTCGCAACGCTTGTCCGATCTAAGATCTCATTAGCGTCCGTCTCCTCGCAACCTCCAGCCAAGAGAAAGACAAAGCAAGAAGGGATTCAGGGTCTCACATGTTGATACGCAGCCAACCGCATATCTAAACACTGAAAGTACAACGCGGCCAGAGCAAGCGCCTGGATAGCTGGGATCGTATCCGGATTCAGCCCTGATAGATCTGGCAGCAACGACATGGCTCTTGCAGCATATTGTACTCCCGGCGGTGCCGTATGTGAGGTACTATTCACAACAAATGCCTTGCCGAACGCCAAAACCAAGAGGTACTGCGCATACCACAACCTCGCCGAGCTAGCCTTGCCCGCGGGGTCCTCGTACAACTCATGCAGATTCTTGAGAAAGGATGGCTCGTCAATTACATAGAAGACGGCGCCGAGGTAGAACTTGACCGTGTTGAATAGGAAGAGGGCGTAGTCTAACGGTGGGAGGTTGGAGACGTCGGGGGTCTCAGTGGCACCTAATGGCGTCCATTGCATCCTGAAGGCGCCCTCGTGAGGGAGATGCCATGGATCTGGTGCTGCTTCTGGTAGGCGTTTGCCCAGGAGGGCTAACACTCGTCTACAGAACGACCATGATGATGTTGGGCCCATGTACCCTGTGGACGTGTGAGTATTGGCTCAACTCACTCAGTACTAGGAGAAACAGCATATGGCTCACAGTATCGTTCCCCGACCTTTGCAAAGGTGTAATCGTTGTCGACCAGCGGGTTTTGCCTAAACCCGGGGCCAAAGTCGCCATGATCCCCCTGATTCGAACGGGCACCTCCTACCTCAGTATCCGGCTCGGATGCCGGAGCGCCTATTGGTTGTGGGCTGTCTACACCGTTGACAGCGTCAATAAGAGTTGACTCTTCTAAAGGTACAAGCTTAGCGACAAGAGACAAGCACAACTCACCATGGCTCGGCGTCTCCAACTGCCCGGTATTGTCTTCACCCTGAGAAAGAGAAGTATGATGCGGCGTCGCATACGCGTCCGCATCCGCATACCGACTCTGTACGTCCTCGACGTCGTCTCCCCGGCTTAGAGCCCTCGTCGAGCGGTCCGAGGCTGGATGCTCACTATTCCGGTTCTGAAGTTCTCGGAGGTAACTGGAAAGTGGAGTCAGTTGTTGTTGTTTCTCATCCCGACAACTGCACGCGCACGGGTTCCGACAACTCACCTTTCCGGCACCGATATCCTCTTATCCTCGACAGCAAAGATGCATCGATGCTTCTTGCGATCGCAGCGAGTGCACGGCTGAGAGCCGGAGCACTTGACTTTCATTACCCGACATCTTTCGCAACTTTATGTTCATGTCGCAAGTCAGCCTTTAGCCAAAGAACACGAAACTCCTCCGAGCATCGGAACGCCCGGGCCCCTCCATTTTCCACAAGAGACGCACGCTTTTTGGCATTTTTTGGTCACTTTGTATTGTCCCTGGCTTAATTGCGGCATGGCGGACGGTTCTCGAGGGGCCAATTCGATAACTTCATGTCTCTTGCCCTCTCTCGTTTGCTGGGATTTGGGTAGTCGTCGCCGTAACTTTGGGGCCCTTTGATATGTCGGAGCAGGGTTCCGACAAGTTTTATATGTGCGCGGCTTGACCTCTTTATTGGCACTGGCAAATTTGGGGCAGACAGTCCGCTAGTGCGAGACCGCAGGATGGCTTATCAGCCAGGTGTTGGGGTCGATGACTCGCCGTAGATAGCCGACAGAGGAGGGTCTTCGCGGTCCTTGCGCCATTGTTATCTTTGGGATGCTTGTTCCTCTACCCCACAGTGTCTACGGATGTTCGTCCGTTCATTGTCTCCGGAGGCATCGGAGTCGATATGAATGACGGAGAACGTGGTATCTGCTGAGCTGCACACTTCATCGCGGGGAAGATCGGCAGGTGTGTGTCAAACGTCAAGGGATATGGAGATTTTGCCAGAAATCCGGGGTTGAACGATCACGAGACCATTTGACTTCGAGGGGTAGGCTTGCAAGGGAGAAGAGGCGTCGATGAAGTAATTTGCCCCAAGCAGGTGGCCCAAGCCATGGGGTAAACCAGGCGAAGGTCAAACCTATTGGTATTTCCATCCCAAAGCACACGAACAGATGAACATCGCACTTTCACTCGAAAGCAGACCCTCGTATGTGGTACAAGGTGTCGTATCAACCAGCATTGCGATGAAAGTTGAAGATAGGACCACCGAAAGAACGAATGATGAGCCCTGACTTTATCAGCGTTGTCGGCATGCAGTGAGCAGAGGATGCAAACCCCAGGAGTCTTCGCCGAAATATCACCTTGGCATCGTGAGATAACCGTTGCGTAAGATCTTCAATGGCAAACAGCTAGGTTGTGTTTGAGAAGGAGACTTGGAAAGTCACCGGTTCTGCCACGGGGTGGCCGAGTTGCGTAATGTCGGATGGCGTGTCCGACATTCCCCAACGCACACTAAGGTGGAGATCGGATTCGCATTCCGACTATTTGTGAACCAATAGCGTCATTGTGTCTTATCACACCTCCAAGACGGCTTCTTGCCAGCACGCCATGGCTAGGCGAACCGCCGACATGGAGAACGAGGTTGTCGGGGTTTGTAACAAAGTGAACTCCGTGCTGTAACCAAGATCTCTGTAATTAGAATTGAGGCAGACTTTGAAGCAATTGGGGTGACAATGAGATTTCCCTTGCTCAGGCGCTTGATCCCTCCAAGGTAAGTTAGTAATAGCGACGCGTATGGACCAAATGCTAAATAAGCCGCCGCCTAGTAGACCGCGACTCACCCCGTGTATATTACCCAGCCAAGGGTGGACAGTCCGAATGTCTTCAAGCAAATCAGATGACTCCAAAGGAGCTATTGTAGAGCGTCTCGGAAATTTTGAAGAGGTACAATCCAAGCGCCCAGACTTTGAACACTCCAACGCCCCGATTGATGTCACAAAATCCCCCGATCCGACGTGGTCTTACGGCCAGGGAGTCCGCACCCGGAAAAGTAACTCCGCATCCCACAAGGGAATTGACCCATACGCATCAGATCGATCAATGATCAATAACTACCGCCTTCTCGTTTCTGGAATCGCACCAAGGCCGGTTGGCTTTCTCAGCACCTTGTCAAAAGATAGCAAGAAGAACCTTGCGCCTTTTAGCTATTTCCAAGTCATTGACCATGACCCACCCATGTTTATAGTCGGCTTCTCATCGAGACCCGGTGCTGTTAAAGACTCGTACCGGAATCTCAAGGAGACGGGCGAATGCGTCATCAATACAGTATCGGAAGACATGATTGAGGCTGTCAACGCAACCTCCATCGATGCTCCGCATGGAGTCTCCGAGTGGGATATCTCAGGGCTGCACGAGGGAGAGACTACAACGGTGAAGCCATCGAGAGTTCTGGAGTCGGTGTTCTCAATAGAGGCAAGAGTGGTAGACATCAAAGAGTTCAGTAACCATGCAAAAGATGGAAAAAGTGTCGCCGGAATGGTTTTGCTCAAGGCGACGCGATTCTGGGTCATGGAGGATGCTGCTGATCCAGACTTCAGTCATATTGACCTCGAGAAGTTGCGTCCTGTAGGTCAGCTGGGAGGAAAGTCGTATGGGCGCGTCACGTCAACTTTTGAGGTGCCTCGCAGGAGATGGCAGGATGAAGAACCGAAAAGCGAATTTCTGCAGAAACTAGATAAGTCCACCACCAGATAGACCTTTCTATTTCTCAATAGAGACATACGGTTATTTACGTCATAGCTAAGGTAGATCTCGTCAACTAATTTCAATCTCCGGGCAGGCAATGGCGCGTGCATCCATCACAACATACCTTTCAATAAGATCAACTACTCGTGATCGTATCTGCCTACCTACATGTACTTCTACCTACCTAGACAGATTTAACCGCCACTGGGCCCTATGTACATATGTGGAAAAATATCCAGCTTGGCTATGCTTATGGTGTGTAAGTGATCGATGGCTTGGAAACCATAACCTGGGATTTATCCCTACGTGATTGGACGTCAGTCAAATAAGTCTTACGACGGTAGGGATTTGTTGGCCAATCAAGTGTTTAGGGCTGGTGGTGTTGTTACATTTGACGCTGACGAGAGCCTTGAAGGATGGTAAGATGAGGCTCTTATATCGCAAAACTCATAAGTAAAGCCAGCTCAACGCTGCCTGAGCCTAATGCTCCTGTCACATTCACCACCTTTTTCCATCAAACGCCAGAAACCATCAAGATGACCTCCGAAGCTGTCTCGACAACTTCACCCGTTGTAGAAGATGCGTGGAAGTCCCTCGTCGAGCGCAGTATTAATGAATGGAATGCGCCGAGTGGGAAAATGCACGATTTCGCGATGGGCTTTTTGCAGAATTACACGAGCCTAGACGATTTTCTCTGCAGTCCACGGGAACTACCGCTCTTTTGGTTCTTTCAAAGAAGAGAAGCCTTCCTTTCGCAAAAGACATTCACGAAATGGAACAGAGATCGGCTCGATGACTATGTTCTTCTTCCTGCCCTCAACAACTTCGTCATGCGGTCAGAGTGTTTTTTCGTCAGCCACTTCTGGACTACGAGCGACGATCCAGATCCTGATGGCTCTTGCCTGCGTCTTCATCAGAAAGAGCTTGGGCTTCAGAGTTGGTCGCACATCTGGGTCGATTGGACTTGTCTGCCCCAGTACCCCCGGAGCGAGAGTGAAGAGGAATACTTCCTGCGAGGGTTGGAGACGATGCCTGGAATCATTCGAAACTGTGGTTTCTCGTGGTTCTATCCAGGGTTTGAGCCGCGACTCTGGATCCTGTATGAAATTGCAGAGTATACGCTGACCTGTGATGGCGGAATCGAAGAGTTTGAAGATAATCAGGAGTTTGTGAAGCACATTCAAGAAATGCAGGAAACTAGCGTTCGATCGGTGTTAAGCAAATACGGATACAGGTGTAGCGACGATCGGGACAAAGACTACTTGACGTCATGCCTGGAGATTCTTTGTTACTTGATACGGTTTGGCATAGACATGGGCGATGTCAGAAGACTAATGTCCAACGTCTTGTGGTTTTCTTTCACTCCGGATATAATGTACCAGAGTCACCTTGGACTTGTGCGAATTTTGAGATTCGAAGGGGTGCTGGAATTTCAAGGACAACATTACGAGTTCACACCGTTCCCTAAATGGGCAAGTTGTTCTCTGTCATCATCGAGCTGATCATCATCGCTAATGAGCTTTTCACAGGGAGAGGGCAAGTACTCCGCTAATGCAAGACATTTGGGGAACATCGAGCCTCCTAGTTAGGTATGCCCGTGTAACAACACGAGCAATGGCAGAATAGTGAAAGCAAAGCAGACGTGCATGGTTCGGTTACATATCAAGCAGCCAGGGATATATGTGCAGTTGGGCAGATCAATATCTTGTAATTTTCTCAGTGTTTTTGAGCGTCTATTATTGGATATCTCTAAATCAAATCATTATGCATCGCTGGAAACAAAAGTAAAAGGTCACATGGGTTCAACCGAAAACCCGGCGTCTGAGCTCGGTCTTCAATGAGCCGAGCATGTGAGCGCTCTCCGCGACAGCTCCCTTGTTCTCGACCGCCCTTCTGTGCAGGTATCCCATGCACTCTGAAACCGAACCCCACGGCAGATACTTGAACGGCTTGGGGATAGCATCCCTCTTCAACCCAGAGTCCGCCACGCACGTGTCGTAGTTGTCCAGCAACTCGCAGCTCAACTCATCCGCCATACCAAACAGCTGACCACACTCGAGCTCGGTCGTGGCCTGGCCGTCCAGGATTCTACGGCGGTGGGTAGAGATCGCGGTCGCGGAGCTAGCAGCGTTGTGAGTGGCGAGGAAGAGCGCGCTGGCTGGGAACTGGCACTCCTTGGCGTCTTCCGGGAGTCTCTGGCTGATGAACATGTCGGCAATGTCGTCAAAGTTGTTATCAGTATCTTGCTTGGTGTCGTGGATCAGGGATCGGACTTCGTTCTCAATGTATGCACCGCGGACCAGCTTAACTCCCAAGCTCCAGCCCTCCTTTGCAGCCAGGGAAATGTGACGCTCCGAATTAGCCTTGGAGCCCTTGAGGTAGCCCTGAATAGTGTTGTAGATTAAAGGCTTGCTCTGGCGGTTGTGCTTTCTCATAAGGTCGATGGTCCACTCGTCCAGTTGTGGTTGAAGTGCTTGTTGCTCCGCATCGATCCAAAGACGAGAGCCCTGCTTGTTGGTCTCCTCGCAGAGTTCGTCCAAAGCCTTGCTCAAGACTTCGGGGATGGGTGCCTTCGCCTTTAATGCGTCTACAGAAATAGGACCAGCGCCGGTAATCCTGCTTTTGTCAGCGGAGAAACTCGTGGAATATTTTCAGGATTACTTACTTCACAGCCAGGAAATCGCCCGGAGCCATCATGTGGAGGGTTTCGAGGTTTCCCTTCTTCCATTGGTCGACCATCTGGTAAACCTCCGGTGCGTACTCTCCAGCTTTCGTTTCCGCTGCGGCTGCTTTCTTATCCAAAACGATTTCCTTTGCGTAGTTGAGGATGACACCCTGATATCCCATCTGCTTCACTTCAGAAACTGTCTTTGAAACCTGAGGGATGTTCTCTCCAGCGCAAAAGTGGTCGTAGATAGTCCATCTGAGTAGTCGATTTAACAGAGGGTTCTTATCGGGGTTGAAAAGTGCGAATTTTGTGTTGGCGATAAAATGCAGTATGGGTAGTGCTGGCTTCATGAGAAGTGGCGTTGACATGAATTGTGTGAGGAATAATGACCGGACCAAGGCCTTGGTCGAAAGTCTAGATAAGGGTGATTTCTTCGGGGTCGGTGTGAACGTTCGTGGCGCTGTTGGAGACAAGGTCTGAGTCTTGGCTGCCGTGGTGCTGACATATCTCGCCGCTCCCTGTTGCAGTCGAAGGGATCTGCAGAAAGGCACCGGCGCCCTGCTGCACGCGACAAGTCTTGTGGTCATCTTAATAGCTAGATAGGTAAGACTTCAATGTTTGGGTGAGACGATACTTGACACACCAGAGATGGTGGGAGGGTGCCTGGGTACTTCTATTTATCGATCACGAACGGCTACGGCCGGCATAAACTTTGAATCGCGACCGAGCCATGGCATCGTGGGAGGTATGTCTCCGAGCTAGCCACCCCCCGCCGTCGGCGTTCCGATGGTGTGTCTTTGCGCACGCCCCGGAGAAGACTCGAGGTCTACGTGTGGTATTTGCGGCTCTTCTCCATCACGGAGCACGGCGGAGCCGTCTTTGGACTGGATCCTCACTTCGCAGGTGGATAAGACAAGCCCGCCACCGACGCAAAATCAAGACATCATTGGGCCTCGATGAGATCGAAATCTAACAAAAGCCCGTTATCGGAATGCTTTGAGTTTAGATCCATGAGATAAGAATGACCAAGTGACCAAAGTCGGGTGACTAGACAGTGAGGGGCGACCCCGGATGTAGCAGGTGTCGGTGCGCGCGTCCCGACATGTCGGATCCAAGAAGTCGGAAGGGCTTATCTCGTCGGGAGCGCGTCCCGACAACAACACTAAGACGCTCGATCTGCCGCAGATCATCGACTCTGTTCCACACACAGAACTCCCATCCTTTGCAGCACAATTACTCGTCCTCTTTGTGATACATCCTCTGCAATAGTTCCAAGAGACATGAATGGTATCTGAAGTTGTGGGGGTAAGGCTCAAGTGCGTGGGCGTATGACAATGTGTCCATGCTCGTTTCCTCTACTGCCAAAGGGCTTTGCCTCTTGCCTGTACGCTACGTGATAGTTTAACCCATCGTCTCCATGGTCCTTTCAGAAGCAAAGTATCTCGTGGGCCTGAATTCAACATGTTGGGGATGGGTTTGGCTCTACGTTTCTCAGAGGTGCACATGCTTTCGTGCCGATGTTGCCAACTCCTGCGTGACTGAGATGTACTTTGAAAGCGGATTGAGCTTTAAGGCCATTGAACGCATGTAATTCAGTTCAAAGTTCCACTAGAAGCCTCTAGTCTGCAAGATCGTACAGGATAGTTGACTACGAAGTGAATCGCTGCTCTAACGTATGTGTGCAAAATCTGTATGAACCTTACTACACTACGTTTGCCACTTTCGAGAGAGTTCAATCTTGAACAGCAATCGTGAGCCGTATTACATTCAAGACAGGGCAGGGCACAAGTCACTATTGGAAGTCGTCTCATCGATAGCTAAAGCTTGCAATATTTCCTCCTCTCTGTATGCAGTAAGACATTCTTTCAGCGCCTATCCTCAATGCCAGTCACTCTCGTGTCAAAGACAGCAAAGTCTCCACAGCCATGGCCTTGCTGCTTTTCATGTTCTTCGTCGGAAAACCGGCATCTAGGCATAATCCAAGTAATTCAGACTCCTACAGCTTTGAGTCAATGAAAAATTACAATCGTCTCGTGAGATTGGACAACAGGTCTGTGAAGTTGAGTTTTCCCCGCTTGAAGCAGCCTATCGTTGTAAGAAACTCCAGCTATATCGGGCTGATTAAAGTATCTCGAAACCCGTTGGTCCAGTAATTAATTGAAAATCGAGCAATAACTTCAATGACCCCTTACACCCTCGGCGCGATGCAGCCTCAGTCTTCAAAGCAATGACCGAAGGTAATGTCGATGAAAAGAAGTTATTCGGCCAAGCTAAAACATTCTCTTTACGAAGCCTTAGCCTGTGACAAACCCGACATAATTGACGCTGATACACAAAGTTGAACCCCTCCTATCACGATCCTGGTTCAATCCATGCTTCATCTTGGATCAAGCGATCTTCGAACTGACATTCAAATCTCCCTGATGTTCTCAACCTCCCAAACTGCGCCCTTACACTGCGGCTCCCTAAATCGGCCTTCTTCGCCGGCTGAACAGTGGTACAGGAAGCCGTACCCGTTGCAGTTGACCAAGACTGTTGAATCGACCTTTCCAGCGCGGAGAACAAGCTGACTTTGCTTGTGAACGACGGAAGTCCCAGAGTCACCGCAGAAATAAACGTTGTTCGCATTGAGGTTGCAGTTTGAAACCCTCTTGTAACCGTTGTATTTTCCGTTGAAGGTTCCTTCTCCGCACCCTGCGTGAGCTTGACCCGACAGCAGGACCACAGCCAGGGTAGAAATGGCCGAGAGATGCATCGTGCTTGTCTTTAATTGAGTTTGAGGATTTCTTCCTTGTCTTGAAGTATGGACTTGGTAACGTATGAGGTTTGGGTTTCTTGTTAGAGAGATGTGATATTGCTTGGCATTTATAGTAGCATTCGGTGTTGGTTTGAAGGAACATCTATAACACACACACACACACACACACATACATATATATATATACATCAACTCTGTACAACTTCTAGCACAATACAAGTAGGCGTAATTGGCGGAAATTTCGGCTAAACTTTCCTCAGGAGAGGATATCGTTGATCCAAAATGGCCAATATAAAGATCAATAACAAATTAGTCTATGGACTAGACTGAACTCTCTGTGATTACTATGGGCCCTGACGATGTTTTTGCTGGACGCTCTCCTGTATGGAGTATGCATCACTCAAGATGGCTTTGCCGCCGAGTCAGGTAAGCAGCGTACCTAGCGGACGTGAGTGCGAGTCCAAGTTGGAAATTCGGGAGTGATGCGGTCTCCGAGGAGGCTTCAGATTCGCGATTCAAAGGGGCCGAGTCATAGAGTGCTACATGTGTTGTTGGCAATTTCGCCTGCGAGAGATGAAAAGTCAAAAGGTGTCCCATACCCAGTCATGCGACTCGATGCTTTCGCTTCAACGAGAGAATCGATTTCGACGAGAAGTCGATAGGGCTAGAATACCAAACGCAAGTGTAATTGATGTAAGAGAAAGATGAATTTTCTTTTGGTTGAATTGGTTGATACACCACGTCAACAACACCAAACTTCACAAGTCCGCAATTCCGGGGAGAATTAAGGGCTCTTTCTGGGACCTGTGAAATGACTCGTGTCCCTAGCTGATCCATCTCCAACAAGCTTTTCACAACCCGGCGCCTCCCGCTGCACCTCACTCAAGTTTGCGACTAAAGTTGGGTAGGAAGGACCAGGTGAGCAACAAGAACGCCAGCGCTCCGAGCAATATCGGCGACAAGACTTGCACACCGTGGCGCTGGGCTTGAGCTCCAATGACGAATGGGAGAATAGCCGCGCCACTACCTCCAAGGGCAATGGCGAAACCGATAGCACTGACGTGTAAGTGCCTCGGTAATAGCTTCGTGATGGCTACCATCATGGTGGGGAACAGGGGTCCGAGGAAGAACCCCTGGAGCGATACGGTGATTGCGGAAATAAAGAATTCGGGAATAAGCCAGAATAGGAGCTGTAAACAAACGGCAGCGCCGAGGTATAGCTATCAAAGTTTACGGGGAGTTAGTTGATTCGGGTGGACTTAGTTACGCCAATTTTGAACATGACTTTGGTTGAGTTATCAAACGTACCATGACTGCGAGCTTCTCGCCCACTCGAGGGGTCACGAGACCCAAGGCAACTCGGCCTAGAGCCAAGCCCGCCCAGAACCCGGTGGCTGTCATGCCGCTGGCAAATTCTTCCCCGTGCCGAACCTGTAACATGAAAGTGACTATCCAACCGCCGAGTGACACCTCCAGGCCGACATAGCCAAGGGCGAATACTGCGCATAGCCAAGTAACCCGGGCCGAAGGGAGTTTGAATAAGGTCTCGTGAACAATCGACTCTCTCGGCTCTTGACCCTCAGGATTCTCTTCACGGTATGCACTTCCAGTAGCAGACCAGAAAGCGGAGGGAGTCAGACCGAGCTCTGCCATAGCCAGACCAGCCTTTACGCAGGATGACGTTGTCAGTAGGAATTGAAAATACATTGATTGTTAGAGTTTGACTCTCACCATGAAATAGTAAAACGTGTGCCATGGAAGTTGAGCCTTGCTTATCATTACAGTTGCCGTCATTGGCCCGAGGACGGCGCCGACACCATAGCAAGCATGCATTAGACTGATGACATGACTTGAGTCGGCCAGACTCCCAACCCATGAGTTCCAAGCGGCGTCGCCGATGCCATTGCCTAAGCCAGCCAACATGTAGATGAAGACCAATGCCGGGTATGGTGGATGTAGTGAGATATCAATGTAGGATGCTAGGTGACAGAAGGAGCAAATTACTGCGATACCCCTTTGTCCAACACTCTCGTGTAGACTATTGTTCAAGATGGCTGAAAGCGTGTGACCGATGAAAGGCGCAAGAAAGATGAGGGACGTGAATGAGTACGGTAAGTCGTAATAGTTTCCCAGCTTAGAAACACGATCCTGTCAGGTGTTTCCGGAAGAATAAGTCTGGAGCAGAGCTTACATGAGGGATGATTGCCTAGTTGAATATGAGGCGTACGTTAGTCACCATGATTACGACATTGTATCGTTCATTGTACCAACTTACACCATATGAAGCATCATTTGCTCCCATGACCAATAGACTCCAAAAGACAGCCACGGTTCGGACAATATTCGAACGTGAACTTTTCCATGTCTGCAAGGCTACAATCGCATCATCGGGTGGAAAAGACGATCCGGTGCCCTCATGATGGACGATTTCCGACGAATGACTGGACACACTAGGATATCCGGTTTGTAGATAGGGTGAGAATATTTCGCTATTGGGTGTGTCATGCTCCCTGTCTGTCGGTAGACGAGGAAACTGCCGCAACTCGATGCATTGAACGTGGGTATTCGGCGCCATATGGTGAAATAGAAGCCTTGAATCCTTGCCCGGAGGTCTATGACTCAACGCGAGAAACGAGCCGCTTTAACACAAATGGTTGTGAGGTG